AGGAAGGGGGGGGGGGGAGAGAGAGAGAGAGAGAGAGAGAGAGAGACCAATGATGAGAGAGAACCATTGATAGGCTGCCTCCTTCACATCCCCTACCAGGGACCAAGCCTGCAACCTCGGCATGTGCCCTGACCAGGAATTGAACCATTATCCCCTGTGTCATAAGGTCGACCCTCGAACACTGAGGCACATCAACAGGGCTCATGGTTGGCTATTGTAAATAGTGCTGCAATGTATGAGATTTCCAATTTTCTCCACAAAGTTATTTACCCTATTTTTGATTATAGTCATCCTAGTGGTATCTCATTCTGATTTTTTTGATTTGCATTTCCTTGATGAATAATGATGTTTATAATCTTGTTGTGTTTATTGGCTATACATCTTCTTATTCAGATCCTTTGTACATTTTTAAATTCAATTTACTTGTTGTTGAGTTGTAAAAGTTCTTTACATATTCTAGATAATAGACTTATTAGGTATTTAATTCACAAATATCTTCTCCCATTCTCAGGTTGTCTTTTTACTTTTTAAGAATGTCCTTAGACGATGGAATACTATGCTGCGGTAAAAAAGAAGGAATTTTTTTTAAAAAATATATTTTATTGATTTTTTACAGAGAGAACAGGAGAGGTATAGAGAGTTAGAAACATTGATGAGAGAGAAGCATCGATCAGCTGCCTCCTACACACCCTCACTGGGGATGTGCCCACAAACAAGGTACATGCCCTTGACCAGAATCAAACCTGGGACCCTTCAGTCTGCAGGCAGATGCTCTATCCACTGAGCCAAACCGGTTAAGGCAAAGAAGGAATTCTTAACATTTGCAACAGCATGGATGGAACTAGAGAGCATTATGCTAAGTGAAATAAGCCAGTCAGAGAAAGATAAATATCACATGATCTCACTCATTTATGGAATATAATGAATAACATAAACTGAGGAACAAAAACAGATCCAGATACAGAGAAGCATCGATCAGACTGTCAAACCTCAGAGGGAAGGTAGGGGAGGATGGGGGTAAGGGGGAGAGATCAACCAAAGGACTTGAATGCATGCATATAAGCTTAACCAATGGACACAGATACCAGGGGGGGTGAGGGCATGAGTGTGTGTGTGTGGGGGGTGAGGGAGCAATGGGGGGATAAGGACACATATGTAATACCTTAATCAATAAATAAATTAAAAAAAAGAATGTCCTTAGAAGCACAAAAGTAATCAATTTATATGATGTACAATTTATCTTTTTGTTGTTGTTAACCCTCATCTCAAGATATTTTTCCCATTGATTTTTAGAGAGAGTGGAAGGGAGGAGGAGAGACAGAGAAAGAAACATCGATGTGAGAGAAACACGTTGATTGGTTGCCTCCTGCATGCCCCCCCCCCTGCCCCCCAGGACTCTATCCACTGAGCCAAACCAGCTAGGGCTAATTTATCTTTTTTTTTTTTGGGGGGGGGGGGCTATGCTTTCATGTCTATGGTAAGAAACCATTCCTTAATTCATGCTTATGAAGAGTCAGGCCTATGTTCTATTCTGAGAGTTTTACAGTTATAACTCTTCCATTTATGTCTTTGATCCATTTTGAGGTGTGTGTGTTTTTTTTTTTTTTAATATGGTGTGAGGTATGGATCCACATTCATTCTTTTGCATATGACTATCCAGTTGTCCCATTTGTTGAAAAGACTGTTCTTTTCTCATTGAATTGTCTTGGTACACTGGTTGATAATTAATTGGCCATAAATATCAGTGACTATTTCTGGACTTTCAATTCTGTTCCATTGATATATATGTCTGCCCTTATTACAGTATCAGACAGTTTTGAATATTGAAGCTTTGTAATAGGTTTTGAAATTGGGAAGTGTAAATCTTTCAACGTTGTTTTCAAGATTGTTTTGGACAGTCTCCATATGAATATAAGCCAATAATGTTTATATTATTCCCAGATGGATAAGCTTGTCGATGTCTCCTAGAAAGGCAGCTGAAAGGGATTATGTTGAATCTGTAATTCAGTTTGGGAGTATTGCCATCTTAATAATACTAAATCCTCAAATCCAGACACAGGATGGTGCGGGGGCTCTTGTTCCAGCATCTAGGAGGGTTCAGCAATCTGGAGAAGGGCTGTGTGTAACTTAATAAAGAGTCCAGAGACGAAGCATAATTTTGAAAGGCATTATAGGGAGTCAGAGGTGCCTAGCTAAAGAAACTAAGATCTCCTCGGCTCAGGACCCCTTGCTATTTATTAACACAAATTGTCCTAAGGCAAGGTGGAGACATACACTTCAAAGGTGAGGTACAGAATCCATTGTCAGATTTGAGGAAATGCCTCCGGCTGTTCAGGTGTTTGGCCAGTAGGAGGCAATAACAAGTAGATGAAGATGCCCTGAGCTGTCTGGCAGCAAGCAATCATCCCTTTTCAGGTTTGGGGAAATGCCCTTCAGCCGCTCCAGATGATTCAGCCCTTGCTGACATGCTGGAACTGGCTTCCGGCAGGACGGATTTATTTAGGTCTTTAATTCTGTTCAATAATATTTTTAGTTTTCGGTGCAGAAGTATTAAATCTGTTGTGTTAAATTTACTCCTACGTATTTTATTCTTTAGGAAGTTATTATAAATGAAATTATTTTTCTTAATTTTTGGATTGTTCATTGCTAGTGTATAGAAATAGAACTGATTTTGTATATTGACTTTGTATTTTGCAACCTTGCTAAAGTCTTTTCTTTGCTCTAATAATTTCTTTGTGGATTCCTTAGGATTTTCTATATATAAGGTCATCTCAGCTGCAAATAGAAATAGCTTTACTCTTCCTTTTTAACCTGGATGCCTTTTATTTCTTTTTTCTTGCCTAGTTACTCTGAATAAAAGTTCCTATACAATATTGAGCAGAGATGGTGGTGGTAGACATTCTTTTCTGCTTCCCTGCATCTGTAATTAAGACCCCTATTTATTAAACTGTGCAGAGAAAGCAGAGTTCAAATCCATGTTGCTCTGCTATTGGAAATGGAACATGAATATACCTTGTTTCAATCCTCCCACTTTTAAATGCTATGAAATATTTATTAGCTTTCTATTTTGGCATTGGGAAGATAAGTTAGAATTCGACAGTCCCCTAAAAATTAAATATTATGTAAATTTATAGGACAAAGTTATGGGTATGATTAGGAAAATCCCTAAGTGTGGCATGAAACATCAGGTCCTAACCATTTTTCCTGGTTAGAGGTCAGAATTATTAATAAGTCCTGATCTTTATTTTTAAATGAAACAGGCTGGTGTCCAGGCGACTTTCCTGGAAGACACACTGAATGCTTGCCTGCCCTGAGGAACCAGAGAGAAACATCCATTGGTTGCCTTCCACATGCACCTTGGACACCCTGACCAGGGACTGAACTCAAAACCTGAATATGTGCCCTGACTGGAATCGAACCTGCCACCTATTGGTACATGGGATGACGCTTCAACTAACTGAGCAACACGGGCCAGGGCCCCAGTATTTTATCATTGAAGATTGTTCATCTTAGAAAGATTAATGAAAAGTTATTTCCATTATTCCTCTATCCTGTCACGTGTAGACCTTGACACCTCAAATCCATATCTAAAACCTCGATGCCTGGGTAACTACGGAAACCTCTCAGCTGGTGGAGCTGCCTCCACGATTTCTACTTTTGGTCCATTTGGCCCCCTGTCCACCAGGAGCTGTCACCTAGGGTGGAAGAAGGCAGCCACTGTTACAATCTTGGCCAGGCAGGCTTAGGTATGGGCTAGTGGGGTCTCAATTAAATATCCACACCTCTCTTTCCTCCCACTCTCTGATTTCCACAGCAACCGGAGCCAAGGGCCTGGAAGGCTGGAGGGTACAGATTACTTACTGCAGAGGTTGGCTGAGGGGGGAGGGGGAGTGGGGAGCAACTCAAGAATAACCAACAGGCTAGCAGCCCCCTCCCCCTCCCTCTCCTCCCCGCAGAGTTAATTTCCTCACCTATAATTTCTCATTCCCCTTCTTTTGACAGACTGCCTCTGAATCCTTGCCTTTTTGCATGTAGTGTTTTCTCTGGCGGGAATCCCTTTACTCCATTCCTTTGCCTGGCAAATAAACTCCTACTTATCTTTCGCGATTTGTTCAAAGGTCACTCTCTACACATGCAAAGGAAGCAAGGCCCTAAGAATATTTATTACAAAGAAAATTAAGGTCAGATGCTTAATTCCCCACTTACTATTTGATGCGACCTTGGCTGAGGCACTTCTTTGATTTTAAACCGCCTCCACTCCCCCCTCCTCCCCACCTTTTTTTTTTTGCAAAATAGGAATGGGAATAGCTGCCTAGACATCCCTTTCCCAGGAAACCGAAAAGGTCAGTGAGATAAAATGTTCTCTAAAATGCAAACCATTTTACAAATTCAATTTTGTCCTTGCTTTCCCATTGCTTAGAATGTTTCCCCTCTTTGTTCACGTCTGTCAGTGCAAAGGTCAACTTTGGTGCATTCAAATACGAATCCAAACCTTTACTCGGCCCCCCTTTGCCCAATTTTACTTCTGCCTGCAGCTCCCTTTTTCTGCTCTCTTATCTCCTTGTCCCCATTTCTCCCCTCTTGTGACTTGCTTGTTTTTAATAAACTTATCCGACACACTGCTTGACTTTGGAGGAACATTACATAGTTAAAAAAAGGTAAGTTACTTAGTAACGCGGAGTAAGGGAATCAAAACAAAACAAAACTCTGCATTCTAAACTGTAAAGTTCTGGGCCCCGAGAACCCAGATTGGCAGGGTCATAAGCGAATCCCCGCAGAGCGAGGGTGCATGGCTGGGCTGGGGTTCTGCCAGGAGCCCGCGCCCAGACGCGGGAACCCAGGCAGGCGGGCGCGGTGGCAGGCCCGGAATTCCTGGACCGGAGCACGACTGGGCCTAGAACTACAAGTCCCGACGTGCCCAGCGGCCAAAGCCGGTTCCACCTCTGCTTGCCTCCTCATTCTTTCCGGTCCCTACCTGCGAGACGGCTGTCTGTAAACTGCGTGGTAGTCATTAAAGAAAAACCCGCAAGCTCCTCTTGGGACGCAGGGCCGGGAGCAGCTCGCGGAATGGCTCTCACTGGTCGGGTGGTTCGCCCCGGAGTAGCGGAACCCGCTGTCCCACGGCCCGAGTTTCCGGGGGGACAGTCATCGTGACCGGACGCTGTGGCGCGGCGGTTTAATTCTCCGGCGGCGGCTGGTGGAGCGGGACGCGATGGTTTTGACGGGGCTCATCAGGAAACTCGGTAACAGTCAGAGCCGCCCTCGCTGGATTCGTCCTCCTGTCATTGCCACTGGCTGAGAATGGCCGTGTCACGTTTCCTTTCTGGTCCCGGCTTGGCTAGAGCAGTCCCCGGGGACCCCTGTCGGACTTGGTGTCAACGCCGCAGTGCGTGGCCCGAGAGCACCAGCGGCCCAGCTGGTGGAAGCATTGGTTTCTTTCTGTCCTCCTGACCCCGCCGACCCCGCGCTCTGACCCTGCGCCCCCCTTCCCCTCGCCCCCGGTCCTGCGTAACCACGGAGTCGGGGCAGGTTGCGGGTGGGCGGCTGGGGGCTGGGGGGAGTGGACCGGCTGCGAGCGGCGTGTCCCCGGCAGGTCACCAGCTGGCGGAGATCCGCGAGCGCGCCCTGCGGACCGTGCTCTGCAAGGTGGAGCTCAACCTGGTCGGCGCCGCCGACCTGGCCCAGGACCGGCTGCTGTTCGTGCACCTGCTGCAGTGGTTCAACTTCCCGTCCGTCCCCATGAAAGCAGAGGTGCTCAGCCTTCTGAACCGGCTGGTGAAGGTACGAGCATCTTGACACAAGGAATCGGAGGAGCGAGTGTTTTAGTCGTTGCACTGGAGCATTTGTTGGAAAGTTCATGTAAAAGGTTTTTGAAAAACAACCGGGGGCGGTGCATTTTCACTCATTTGGTTATATGGCCACGTCTTCTTTTTCTTTGATTTGTGATGTTAAATCTCACCTTGTGGCCACTGTGCTCTGAAGTGACACCGATCTTCTGAGTTCTGGTGGATTCTGGGTTTTGGAATCATCGGGGGAGGTTAATAGCTGTCATTCTGTTTTTCCTTGTGTTCTGTTATTTGCATGTTAAAAATTGGGTCCCTATGACAAAGGACTCGTTTAGAGATAATGTTACAGACCACGATTAATCTCACAAGGGTGTTAAATTCCTTTCCTATGTTTGTTTTTCAGATCTATGTTCCTCAGCGTATCTTGAGAATAGTTAGTTGCCAGAGTCAGATGTCAAATTGCAAGTTTAACCGTTCAAAACTGTCAATCGCTGTGCAGTCTTGGGTGATTTTTTTAAATGTGTGTTTTTATTGATTTCAGAGAGGAAGGGAGAGGGAGAGAGAAACATCATGAAGAGAGGGAATCATTGATTGGCTGCCTCCTGCCGCCCCACACTGGGGATGACCCCGAACCTGGGCATGTGCCCTTGACTGGAATCGAACCCAGGACCCTTCAGTCCACAGGCCAACACTCTACCCACAGAGCCAAACTGGCTAGGGCGAGGGTGATTCTTACTACTTTGCATCCTTTGGAGGTAGGAGAGATAGGGTGAATGTCAGTGGACAGAAATAATAAGTAGGAATTAAAGTGTTCAGTGTCTGGGTTTTTCTCTCGTAGGTGTTATTAAGTGTTTTATGTCTCTGTACACCTATGTCCTATTCATCGAAGTTCTTTACTTTTGGGTATTTCAGTGCAAGATTTAGTTTTTAAAAAAGGAGCATCTGGTATACCCAAAGTGCTGGAAGGTGAAGTCTAGAGACTTTGACATATACTGTTGTTCACAAGACACTCTTCTCATGCTTTCAGTACTCCCCAGCAGTCCAGCATTTGGTTGATCTTGGTGCAGTCGAATTCTTATCTAAACTTCGTGCTAACGTGGAACCGAATCTACAGGCTGAAATCGATGGCATTCTGGATGGACTTTTTATTCTTCCTTCAGAAGTCCCTGCACTGTGCTCTGCATCTTACCAGACCGATCAGATTGGTAACTCTTTGGAATCATTCTGATGCATTCGGTTAAACTATAAATATATTGGTACTAGTGTTTAATTCTAAGGAAAGGGACCTTAGATTAAAAAAAAAAAAAATCCCCCTCCAACTTATTTTTCTTGTGTTAACTTACATGAGCTTGACCTTTTTTCTCTCCTCTACTGTCACTCAGAGGAGGATACATTTGTATTTATTGTGTTTTTTAAAATATGTTTTTATTGATTTCAGAGAGAGGAAGGGAGAGGGAGAGAGAGAAACATCAATGATGAGAGAAAATAATCTATTCACTGCCTCCTGCCCTGCCTCCTACTGGGGATTGAGCCTGAGCCTGAAACCCGATTTGTGCCCTGATCAGAATTGAACTGTGACCTGGTTCATGAGTCCATGCTCAACTACCAAGCCACACCGGCTGGGCTGTATTTATTGCTTTTTGGGGGAAGGGGCCTAAAAGATTTTCTTTTTGCAAGACCAGTTTGACACATTTCTTTAACAATAACAGAATTTTTTTTGAGCACTCGTTATCATGAGCTAGAGATTTTCCTCAGTGTTTTACACTTGCATTTTTTGACTGTTTTTCATGTAGGGGTATGTTAATATCACGATTTTTTTTATGGGGTCCAATCAAAATGAGCTGCACATGGTATAAAATCAGAGTCAAAGAAACATGGATTTCAGTCCCAGTTCTGCCATTAATTTTGTCACCTTGGCTAAGGTTCTTAACAGCTTCAGCCTTTAGTTTCCTCATCCCAAAATTGGGACAGTGAGAAAGAACATCTTATAATATTATTGTGAGGATTAAATGAGACAGTGCCTGAAAAGAGCTCAGCATGAGGCCCGACATCTATTAGCCGTAGAGCTGTTGGTGGCTCTATTTGTGTTCTTGCTATTTTATGCCCAATAGAGTGCCTTAAATATGGAAGGCATTTGAATTGATTCAAAGAAAAAAAAGGGCCCATAAAATTTATGTAATGGAGTGGTAAAAGTATAAAAAGTGTTTCTGCTACCATATTTTTCTCTGTATCAGTGCTGTACTGCTATTGCTGTGACTGTTGGTATCACTGTTAACAAGAACAGTGGTAAATGCCGTTTATTGGCTTTTTGCATGATTGTGATTTTTTTTTTTTTATGATTGTGATTTTTAACAACAGATTTTACAATTTCTGTCTAAGCCATAACAAATAAAGTAGAATCTTAAATTGTGAATTTTCAAGGGTAGTTCCTTACAAATTAGGTTAGAAGTATGGTCTAAGGCAAATTTTCAATATCTGTATTAATATTAAGAACTACTGTTGTGAAAACATCAAACAGAAAATTAGAAAATTTAGTTTTAGCCTTTTTCTCATTCTCATTGTCATTGCATCTGCACCGCTGAATATGTAATCATGTGATAGAATCATGAAAGGCATTGAAAGATAGTGCTTGACCTCTTTGACATTGACAACTTTTAAAAAAGATACTAATGCCGAACCGGTTTGGCTCAGTGGATAGAGCGTCGGCCTGCGGACTGAGGGGTCCCGGGTTCGATTCCGGTCAAGGGCATGTACCTTGGTTGCAGGCACATCCCCAGTAGGGGGCGTGCAGGAGGCAGCTGATCGATCTCTCTCATCGATGTTTCTAACTCTCTATCCCTCTCCCTTCTGCTCTGTAAAAAATCAATAAAATATATTTAAAAAAAAAAAAAAAAAAGATACTAATGAAAATTGTAGTGACCAGGAACTATGTAATTGGAGCACAAGAGAAGAAGGAGATGGACTTAGAAGCAGAGATGAACAGTTCTTGAATAAACACTTTGTAACAGATTCTTCCTGTACATTGTAGATATTTTCATTCTAACAAATAATTATATTAATGGTAAAAGAAAAAGGGAGAAAAAAACCCCTCAATTTGAAATTGGCTCAACATTCGCATTTTTTACCTCTTTAGGAAGAGAGACTATTCAGAGAAAAAAAAAAAAACTGGATTATCTTCCTAGTCAGAGAAAACAATAATTGAAATGAGTACCTTTCACTTGTAGCAAATAATGAATCAGAAATAATAATACATGCAGTAATATCTATTTTCTTTTCAGAATTGCCACAGCCACCTGAAATCTTAACAGGATATTTTCCTCAAGACAGAAGTCATTTCCAGCAGATGGAAGTGCCTCCAGCACCCGTGGGTGAGTACATGTAGGGAAGTAGATCCTGCTGACCTGGTACAGCAGAAATTAATGTACTTTTACGTATTGTTGTGAAGACACATTGTGTTCACACTCGAATGTTTCAGCACCAAGCTGAGTGTTTCAGTTTCCTCAAACTAGTTTAGGATGTAGAGTCTAAATGGTAACATTTTATGTTATTTAACTGCATTTGAGCAGCTGCTTAGGTGGGTGGTAATGGTGGCAGTAGTTACCTGCATTGCTTGTTGGACACAAACCCTTCATCAGGGACTGTGCTGTGCACTATGCACTCCTCATCTCATTCTCCAGCTCACTCAGTGTACCGTCTGTCCATTCACTCAAGCCAACACTCAGCGTCTTCTTCATTTCTTTATTTATCTTTATCCCAGCATCCACTGATTCTAGAGTTCTGTTTAGAGATCTCTTCTGGGTCTTTTTGTGTCTGGCTGTGTCCTTCTCTGTTCACATGCCTCCTCCTTAAAGAGACCTTCTTGAGGACTCTAACCAGTGAACACTTTCTGTTTAGTTTTCTTCCTAACACATATCATGATCTGAAGTTATATGTTTATTTCCTTCTTGTTTCTGTCACAATAAGCTTAGTGATAGCTGCAAACACTGCTTTATCCCCCTGTGCAGAACGATGCCAACAATGTATTAGGCAGCTCAGTGTATACTCTGCATAAGTGAATCCTCATGAGGACCCAATAACATTATTATCAGTGTCCCCATTTTACTGATGAGGACACTGAGGCTTAGAAAAGATGAAACCTTTATCCTAGGTGCCCCTGGCGGTTAGGAATGGTTAAGTAATCAAGTGCTTCACATTTTATTGCCTGTGTGGTTGGAAAAAATGTGTGTTCTAGGGGATATCTGCTGACATGGGGATTCAGTTGAACTTAGTTTGGATGCTTGTTATTCAAAAGGTTCCTTAGAGATTCTCAAGTTGAATAATAGCATAAGATAGAACAGAAAACTTGTTCAGCTGTTAAAATACTTCATCTTCCCTTTCTGGAAAAAATTTGTTAGGCTTATAGGGAGCTTTGGACTTGAGATGGTAGTTCTTTGTGTGTGTGGCTGAGAGGCTTAAGTGAGTGGCAGTGAGAGGTGTCTGAAGGGAGCAGAGCGTAGCACTTGGGTGAAGCTGCTGAAAACAATAAGGACACTTGTGGTGGGAATGCTTTTGCAGGTGAGTTGCAGCCTGTGGATTAGTGGTCTGTCTTGTTTTGGACACATTTTTATGTGCAGTGTAAGCCTATCCTTCCCTCTACCCACCTCTTGCTTTTCCCTGAGAAAGCAAACCCTGCTTTTATTTTAGCACTTTTAAAAAACGCAGTTGTGCTTTATTTGTGAAATTAATAATTACCTGAATTTAAAGATTCCATGCTCTTTTCAAAGCATTAGGAAGAAGAACTGTTTATTATCTGGAAGGGCTTTTGTATATACTACTTCTCAGTGTTGCTACCTTAACTTGTATTATATAAAATCTGCTAAAAAATGTTAAGAGAATAGATCTTTAATGTTCTCACCACAAGAAATGATTGGTAATTATGTGAGAGGTTGGAGAGGTAAACTAACTCTACTGTGATAATCATTTTGCAGTGTATGTGTATTAAGTCATCGTGTTGTACACCTTAAACTTATACAGTTTTAGATGTCAATTATATCTCAATAAACCTGGGGAAATAAGCCTATTAAAAAATAGTTTGAACAGTGGTAGTTTAAAATTGTGTTGGTTTCTAGTATTTCTTTTAATCTTCTTTGAGGTTGAAGATATTTGATTTTCAACCTTTTAGTTTTGAACTCATCTTCAAAGAGGTTTAAACATCTAACACCATTTAGGATATTTAAACATGACTAATTAGATATAGTATGTGATTGTTTTATCATTTTAAATTTCTGTAATTAAAGGACTCCAAATATCAGTTCTTTTTATGTTAAATTTGTGCTCTGTGTTCTGGTCAAGAGTAAAATAGAAAATATAATTGAAACTAAATGTCATGGAAGCAGCCGGGGAGAGGTCAATGGGGGAAAAGGGAGACTCATGTAATACTTTAAACCAGTGGTCGGCAAACTGCGGCTCGCGAGCCACAGGCGGCTCTTTGGCCCCTTGAGTGTGGCTCTCCCACAAAACACCGACTTCTGCGCAGGGGCCACGAAGTTTCAGTTGTACACGCGCGCCCGCACGTGTGTTTTGTGGGAGAGCCACACTCAAGGGGCCAAAGAGCCGCCTGTGGCTCGCGAGCCGCAGTTTGCCGACCACTGGTTTAAACAATAAATTTAAATTTTAAAAAAAGAAACTAAATGTCATTCAGTATGGGTTTGTGTTTAGTGCTCTTCTAATTATAACCTATGAGTTCTGTTTAAAATATGAAAAGTGTGCTCTGTTATTTATCTTGAGGGCGAATACATTTGCAGCTGGCCTTGTTTGGTGCATTGTAGGTTCCTGTACATGTAACTTCAGTTGGGGACTTAGTTTAAAGGTGAGTCTGTCAACATTGTCTTCTTTGATGGTGTAAGTTGTGCTCTTCCCTTACCAGCGACTCAGACTACGAGGTGTTTGAAGTTTTCTACATTTCCTTGGCTACCCCTGACCACAACTGACAGACACGTCCTCTCCTCTAATGAAAGGTACAGTGCCCGATGTGGTTCAGCTATTGTTGCTTCACTTCTAGCCTTGCACCTGGTAGTTATTACTATACAAGTTCAGCAGGAAGAAAGATACAAGTGGCTGTGAATGGAGTAATGGGACGATATGAATGATTTTCAGTATTTTAGAATGTAAGCCAGAAAATTCCTGTTTGCCTCTAATCAGGCTGCACATTGTAGCTGAAGTCTCGTGTGCTCATTAGTCATCTCTGATTTACCAGTCTCCCATTGACCATTGCTGTGTCTTTGCTTAATGAAAATGGAGAAATTAAGCATAAATGCAGTCTTTTTAGTAGACAATATATTTATTTCAAATTGGGCTTAGGGATAGGTTAGGGACCACTGATCTTATGCAGTGGATGTTAATTGGTCATTACCCCCAACCCCAACATAGGCAGTTGATATATAGAAATTGGGAGAGTATATTAATGTCTAGTTTCTTTTTTCTTTTTTTCTGAAACTTTAATTTCTGTGAATACTACAACAAATGAGTAGTGTTTGTGTGTGTGTGTGTGTGTGTGTGTGTGTGTTTGTGTGTTTGCGTGTTTGTGCGCGCGCGCGCACACACACACATCTGGAAAATAAAGACCAACTTGCTAGCATTAGGGCCAGAGACAGGAAGATGCTGTGAAATGATTTTTGCTGATGGCACTTCTGAGACCTCAGTGAACTCTCTTGGAACAACATATTGAAGAGGTAGCTGCACATGGGAAAGGGGCAGGACGAACATGATCTGGCAGTTCTGAGTCAGTCCCTAAGGGGGAGATGCTGTCCAGTGCACACCTATGGGTGGGGGATGGTGGATGGTGGACTGGAGCTGAGCTGAGAGAGGAGGGTTAATATCTTGGGGGTTGGTTTCTTGGGGTGGACGGTGAACCACTGCTACATCCCTAGGAGGGAGAATATTGTCTGAGAACTTGAGAGATATCCTCTGTACAGGATAAGAGGGGCCTTCCAGCTTGAGTCACCTAGAATAGAGAAGAGCAGCAAAGAGCCTAATTCCTATAATTAAACTCTATAGTTGCTGTTATTTTTTTCTGTCTTATTTCTTAATTCACATAACAGATGTCATTGAATTCTGTGCCCTTTGACCTCCTTAATGTCATTTAGTAGCATTGTGATAGGCTCTGGCCATGCCATCTTTAGGAGGGTCTAGTGGGGGTAACAAAGCACGAAGTTGACATAGCAGCAGATACAGCCGTGGTTCTCAACCTTGGCTGCACATTAGAATCACCTGGAATCTTTTTAAAATCCTGATTTCTGGGTCTCATCCTCCGGTAATTCTTTTCCTTTGTTACTAATGTTGTGGTCCCACCCCATAACAAAGAAACAGAATGTCCAGAGGATGAGGCCGAGAAATCAGGATTTTAAAAAGATTCCCAGGTGATTCTAATGTGCAGCCAAGGTTGAGAACCACTGAGATACAGTATAGGGCTGTGGAAGAAGCACCTGCCCACAGTTGTTTATTGTTTAGGGAACAGATCAAGGAAGGCTTCCCAGGGGAAGTGATGTCTTGGCTGAGACCTGGAGGATGTGAGTAGAGTCATTTGCTACTCAGTGACTTACAATTAGGATAGGTAAACTCTTTTTAAAAATGAATAATGCTCTTTTGTAGCTCTCTAAGAAGTAGTAACCACACTTTGATCTGGAACACCTGTGAACTATTGAAGGATGTTATCATGCAAGATTTTCCTGCTGAGATTTTCCTTCAAAGGCCGAACATTGTTCAGGTGTGTATCCTCTTTAATTGTTTTAGGTTTTGAAATAGAGAACTTTTGGGAGGAAACAAAATTTGCAACATAGCAGTCCTTAGGAAAGACTTGTGCACTACCATATTTAAAGGATAAAGTGTTTAAACCACTTGTTTTCTGATTTATTTGGATAGTGATAGTTCTTCTGATAGGAGGTAGTCTCATTTGACACATGTAGTCCAATTTGGCCACTCTGAATTTACCACTTCTGGGTCACCTAAAGGGTGAATACTAGTAGACTTTGGAAGTTGAGGTTAGGCAGCAGGAACCCTCCGAACATTAAGAATAGCTTGTCTCTCTGATTATCTGGTATGTGTTAGGCACAGTGCTGGATGCTGAGGAAATGTGATAGCGAGCAATGAAGATGGGTTCTTTGCAGTCTGGTCTGTTGCTTCTTCAGCAGAGGCCTTGGGACCCAGACTTGCACAGTAGAGACATTGGGATCTAGGGCTGGGATTGGGGCATATCTGCAGCTTCACAATCACAGGGCTAAAAATCATGCCAGTGAATAATGGCAGCTATTAGTCCATACTATGGCCGCTGTCAGATGATAGCAGAGGAAAAGCTATTAATTACCAAAACGTAGTAAACTGACTTAGCTGTTTGAGATGTGGAAACCTTGATGTGTTTTTTAAAAAGTACTGTGAAACTTCATGTCCTGAATGGGGAGTAATACTTAATACCTGTGTTCTCTCAGAATAGGTGCTTACCTAACAGGTTTTAGATGTAAGCAACACTGACCATTCTATTCACATTTAATTTTATTTTGACCCTTATTCTTGCATTATGCCAAATGACTTTTGCCCATTTCTGTTTCTTGTCTTACAAATATTTGGCAGCTTATTTCCTTTGATTATTCATTTACCCTTCCTTCAGCTTCACATCCTCCTTTGAAGTTGAGCACTTGGTTTCCGTGATCATTTTGATGGTTCTTCTTCATTTCAGAGCCTGTTCTCTCTGCTGAAGCTGGCCTTCGGAGGCGAGGGGACACCTCGCTTGGCACTGCAGTCGGTGTCCTGCTTGCAGCAGCTGTGCATGTGTTTACGACATAGACTTCACTTCTACCGAGATCCAGGCTTTTTCTCTTGCAAACAAGGTGTTTATGTTTATTTATCCATTAGTCATGGGTGGTCTTTGCAGATTCTTCTGAGAAAGAATCCCATTATACATACTGTTAGGGATTACTGTATGTACATTGTCACAAGCTAAACTCCCATTCCTCATTCCTCAGCTAATGATCACCTTGGTGGGGGTGGGGTTGGGGGAGGGACGACGACAATGGGGCGATAAGGACACATAGGTAATACCTTAATCCAGCGGTTCTCAACCTGTGGGTCATGACCCCTTTGGGGGTCGAACAACCCTTTCACAGGGGTTGCCTAAGACCATCGGAAAACACATATATAATTACATATTGTTTTTGTGATTAATCACTATGCTTTAATTATGTTAATTTATAACAATGATATTGGGGATCACCACAACATGAGGAACTGTATTAAAGGGTCGCTGCATTAGGAAGGTTGAGAACCACTGCCTTAATCAATAAAGAAAAAAAAAAAAAGAAAGAAAAGTGTTGTTGGAAGCCAGAGATTAGGATTCTGAGCCCAGCTGTTTGGGTATTTTAGTAAATTATGTTGTGTTAATAAATTGTTTGGGTTGAAAATACTGATTTTTATATTATGATAACTATTTTTATGCGACTTTTGATGTTGTCAGAGTTTTATATCATCATAGTGCCTGACTTTTCATGGAAAAAGCACCACCTAATGGACAAATATAGTACTAGGCTGGCCTTCTCAAAACTGTTTACAAATTACTGGTAGTATTTCAGTGCACTTATACCATATGCTTTGAAAGTTGAATACTAACTTAGAGTGATTGGTGATCATGCTTCATCGTTAATCCCTCCTGCAGCCCCTGGTAACCTCTAGTCCAGTGATTTTTGCCAATCTGACAAAAAAAAGGGGTATAATTTTGATTCATTCACATAGGATGGCTGTTATTGTGTTGGCTGTTGTCATTTTTTTATTTGACAGTCTAAGGGAAAAGAGGTTAGTGCCCCTAACTAAGTAGTCGGGTAGTACATGTTTTAAAATTTTTTGTGGCACACTCTTTGAAAATCACTGCTCTAGTCTACTGAATTTGTGTATTCTAAGTACAAGTGTAATCCATACAATTGGAACCTGGCTTATTTTACTTAGCAAAATATCTTCAAGGTTCATCCACATTGTAGCATATTCCAGGACTTCCTTTTTATGACTAAACAATTTTCCATTCTATGTATATACCACATTTTGTTTATTCACTCATGTGCTGATGGACTCTTATGTTCTTACCTTTTGTTATTGTGAATAAAGCTTCAGTGAACATTGGCATATCTGTTCAAGCCCCGTTTTCAATTCATTTGGGTGAGAGTGGAATTGTTGGGTCATATGTTAATTCTATTTTTCACTTTCTTAGGAACCGCCACACTATTTTCCACAGTGGCTGCACCATTTTACATTCCCACCAACAATTTATGAAGTTTTCAGTGTCTCCATATCTTACCAACACTTGTTATTTCCCTTTTTTTAATCATAGTCATCCTAGTAGGTGTGAAATGGTACCTCATTGTGGTTTTGATTTGCATTTCCCTCCTGACTATTGATTAATGACTAGTGATTCCTTGGTGACTCTTCTTATGCTTATTGGCCTTTCATATATCTTACTAGAGGCCCAGTGCACAAATTCGTGCATGGGTGGGGTCCCTTGGCCTGGCCGGCAATCGGGGCCATAGGAGGTTGGCTGGCCAACCCTTAGGGGGCCGATTGGGTCCAGCCGGCTGCGAGGAGGGGCCATGGAAGGTTGGCTGTGGGAGCACACTGACCACCAGGGGCAGCTCCTGCATTGAGTGTCTGCCCCCTGGTGGTCAGTGTGCATCATAGCGACTGGTCATTTGGTCGCTTAGTCTTTTATATATATAGATTTGGAGAAATGTTTGTTGAAGTCCATTGCCTAACTTTAAATTAGTTTTTTGTTGTTGAGTTTTAGTTTTTAATATATCTTGGCTATTAAATCCTTATTAGATATAAAATTTGCAAATACTTTCTCCCATTCTGTAGGTTGTCACTTTTTTCGTAATGTCCTTTGTTTGACTTATGGGACTATTAATTGTGAGGAAGTCCAGTTTATGTTTTCTTTGGTTGTTTGTGCTTTTGGTGTCATTTAAGAATCCATTGCCAAATCCAAGGTTATGAAGATTTATTTATCCCTATATTTCTCTTTTAGCTTTAGGATTTTAACTCTCATATTTAGGTTGCTGATTCATTTTGAGTTAATTTTTGCCTGTGGTTTGAGATGAGTTTCTTGGGGAGTTTTCAGCAGGGAGTGTGTGATCTGATGTTCTGCCTTGGCAGTCTTATGTCAGAAGTGAATATTGTTGGCCAGAAGGCTTCATATAATTAGGCTAGATAGAAACCTAGATGTGCTGAGTGAATACTTGCAGAAAAGATTGACCTTTGTTTTTTTTGTTTTTTTTTTACCCCTACAGAAGCATTCCTACTACCTTAAATTTGTTAGAAATATTACGTAATCAGTAATCTGTCTCTACTAAGGGGTAATTTTCTTCTTTTTTTCTCTCCTGCAGATACAGTTTCCCAAAATTCCTCTTTGTCTTATTGCTATGAAGTAAGAGTTACTCATCATTCTCAGAACCCTTCTCCAGGAAGCAGCAGCCCCCGGCCTTCTGTGGTTGGACGCACAGGCCAGCGCCCTAGAGGAGATGGCCAGGATTGGGATGCAGTGTCATCCAGGTGATTGTGGGAAAGCCTGGTTAGCTTGTTTGTGTGTGTTTTAATTTCACAGGGAGATCATTATTTTTCTCTGTCTTCTCCTTTGTAACATTAGCTCAGGTATTGCCTTGGGTTCAACCAGTGGCTTTCATACCTTTTTTATAACGACCCACAGAAAGACATAAATATTATATTGCAACTCTGTACTCAGCACACAGGCATACACTCCGCTTGTAGATTTTCACTCCTGAGTGTCAGCTTCCTCATGAGACCTTTCAGAGCTTGAGAGAACTTGGCTTATTTCCATATTTTTGGAATGTTTGGGATATGGAAATTGAAGAAGTGACAGAACGTGTTAAATTTGGGGAATTCTGTCAGGTTCACTTGTGGATGACATTAAAAGTCAAAAATTTTAGGGTCTTTGCAAATGTAGGTTCAGGCCTACTATTCATATTTATCCCTACCCTACCACTTTATACCCAAAGTAAGGATCTTTTTATAAAGAAAGCCAACAGAGATGGGATGTTTCATCTTTTGGTGTATTTTCAAAAACATTATGTGATGTTGAATGTACTAATTGAAGTAGTCTATTTCTCATGTTTTTCTGGCATTTTCTAGTATTCTTCAGTTGTTAACATTGGCTTACTAAGAATATTTGGTGGAAATCACAGAAAATCTAGTCAACTATATGAAGTATCTAGTTTTGCCTTTTTTTTTTTTTTTAATATATTTTATTGATTTTTTACAGAGAGGAAGGGGGAGAGATAGAGAGTTAGAAACATCGATGAGAGAGAAACATCGATCAGCTGCCTCCTGCACATCCCCTACTGAGGATGTGCCCGCAACCCAGGTATATGCCCTTGACCGGAATCGAACCTGGGATCTTTTAGTCCACAGGCCGACGCTCTATCCACTGAGCCAAACCGGTTTTGGCTCTAGTTTTGACTTTATGAGTTGATTTCAGAAGAACTTTGCAATGAATTTTTGAATTTTCCAGTTTTCCTTAAATGAATGGGCTATCTTTGCTAATGTTGATTGCTACTGTAAGAATGTTGATACATTTCTAGAACATCAGTTTGAAAAGTCAAATAGAAGGCATTTTTGGTTTCATTTGCAATTTTGAGCCATGTTGATGGAATTTAATGTCATGACTTCGTCAGGGTTTCTCCAAATCCGACCAGAACTGTTGTTACATGAAGCATTAGACTCATATCCAATCTGAGGCTCCCAGTGCACCCATCGCAGAAGTGCAGTCTATCTGTGTGTGGGCCGTCTCCTTATTCAGGGATTGTCCTGTTTGTTTCACAGCGGGAGTAGCAGTCATGCGCTCGTGAACTCCAGGATTTCTGTCCCCTCACCTCTGGATGTGGCACACATCGACCTGCCCGAGCTGGAATCGGAAGACATGCTGCAGCTGCAGTTCCAGCAGCTCAGCCTTCCCCAGTTCTGTGTCTGCCTCCTGGAGTCCACAGTGCCTCTCTTGAGAACAGGTCTGTTGTTTGTGAAATCATAGTTCTTCTTATGTAACCTGTGATTGTTTTGACTGTTTTCTGGTATTCTTATTTTTCTTTTTTTCATTTTCTGTCTATGCTGGGACCTTTAGAATCTGCATTTATTGGGGAACAAATTCCTAAGAAAATATGGCCTTTATTATTTCTCAATGAAATGTGGTGCCATGGAGTATCACCTTCCATCTGTGGCTGTTTGTGCACAGGCTTCACTCTGTGTGGCTGCTTTAAATGTGATCGCTGAGAAATCCATGCATCTGCAGTCATTTAGAGAGGGTTAGCCGTACGAATAGGCCAGTGCCGGGAGCCGGTCCATGCTTGCTGTTTCAAGGGACCTGGCATATATGGCATACTGTTCTTAATATGTTTGCTCACCTTCTTGGCACTATGTGTTTTAACCAAGGTCTCTGAGAAAGGTTGTTTCCCAGGTAGGGATTTTCCCCTGAAGTTAGGGAGGGAATAAAACCTCTTAACTAAGTGCCAGGCGGGTAATTAATCACTTTAACTATGAACAATCATGCTTAAGCTACATAATCTTTACTCCCTGGAATGGAGATAAGAAACGCCCTAACCTTTGGAATAGAGATTGATAGGATTGGAATCAACTGGTATAAATACAGATGTAACAACACAGAACTTAGAAGACAGAACCAAGAGAGACGGAACTTAGGCACAGAACCTACACAAAACGTTCTCTAGAGACAGAAGAACTTCGCTGGAGAGAACATGGCAAAAGATCCTGGACTGAACCTGACTATAGAACATGGCAAGAGAACCTGACTAGAACTTGGTGACTGAACCTGGCTGGAGAACCTAGCGAGGGAACATGGCTACAGAACCTGGCTGGAGAACCTGGAGAACCTAGCAAGAGAACATGGACACAGAACCTGGCTGGAGATCCGAACCAGAACTTTGCTGGAGATCCAGACCAGAACTTGGCTGGAGATCCTGGCTAGAGATCCTGGCTAGGCTGCTGATCAACTGAACGCTGTCTCCGTGTCATTCCTTCTTCGCCGATTCCATCCACACCTTTGGGGACCCCTGGACCCGCTGGGGTTGGACCCCAGCATCCCAGAATAAAAAAATCTCTGTCTCTTGCTTCCTAGGAACTTTTTGATTTGCTCTCAGTTCATTCTTTTTACTCGGTGGTTACTTCAGCTATGAGCATGTTAGAAACACACCTACAACAGGATTCTTACCTTTGCAATAATTTTTCCCAAAATAAAAAACCCAGACAAATAACAAAACTAAAAAAACCCCAAACATTTAATATTTTCTTTCCAAGGTACTAGGTAAAGTTGCAAAGGTTATTGTAATATATACTGGAATGCAGTTGTAATGTTAGTGACGAGTGATAGAAAGATACCAAAGTGGTGAGTGGCGGATAGCCTAGCAATCAAACAACAGTTACTGCGAGTTGAGCTGCTTGGTTTCATGTGCATTATTTCATGCTCTCCTCAAATCAGCCTACTTTATTCTTCCATTGTGGTAGTTACTGCTTCTATCCCCATGTTACAAATCAGGAGTCATTCAGAAACTTATCCGAGGTCAAACAGCTAAGAACAGACTTGATCCAAGGTTCTTTTGAAAGCAAAGTCCACTCTCTGAAGCACTTTGCATTTTGAAGGTAAAGAAAGATTTGGAAGCAACAATGATTTTTATTCTCTAAATCTATACATTTTCAGTAATTGATAAACTTGTTGAGATATCAATAGAAGATTAATAAGTTTTGCCTTTTTTTCATTTATACTGGCTGAGTAAAGGACGTATCACATGCTAATGGTTCTTTAAGTCCTGTGGCTACTTTTTGCCTACTTGAGTGTGATGGGGAGCAAAGTGGGAGGTAGGTATTGTTTGGAAAGCATTAACATTTTTATTTTATCCTGAGGAAAACTGTACACCTAATTTCTGATGGAGTGACTTTGCTTCCGGGAGTTAAGATACATAGTAATTCAGGTACCAATAATGTGGTGAAGGAAAATCTGAACTTGGCATTATAAAGTATATATGTTTGTCTTCATGGTGTACTGAGAAGAACAGTTTTAGATTTAATGATTTTGCATTTAACCTTTCCTTAATTTGCTGTAAAAAGTCAGATTGATAATTATAAAGCTGTATCTTGGTACATAAAATTTTCTAAATGTTCTTTTGCCCTTTTGTGGTAAATTATTGCATAATTTATAATTGTTCAATATCATAAGAGATTTCTAAAAGAACTTTCTCAAGCTGTTCTGATGAAACGATTAATCTAGACCCTAATGATCTGGTAGTTTACTTTTATTCATTAGAAATTGACCTTTGGTATGTGGACAGGAAGGCTGAGGAATGTCCGCCTCACTTAGAATTGTGGATTGTGGCATTCCTTTGTTATTATGGCTGTATGGAGAAGGACATTACGCTGGTGGGTGTGGCTCCAATGGCACAGTTCCTTTGGGAATATTTTTAGAGTTTACTAGTAATGTGAGCATAGGCTTGAGAACCTATTTTAGATAGAACTTCTTCAAGTTTCTTCAGCTAATGCCAGCATGGACATTTATACTTCAGTTACTCCCGTCCAAGCTTAGCTTCCCAGGCACCTTCTGTGCAGGAAATACAGTTTTATGACGAGGCTTAAGCCTTCTGGTACTAATCCTTAGAAAATCCTTAGAAGGTGTTTTCTAAACTGTCCTGGTGCTTTGTCACATGTTCCATGTGACATGGATGGTCTCTGAATTTGAAAAATTAGTTGAATCTGTCTCACAATACTTGTAGTTAAATTACTGCTATGCTCTTCTTGAGTATCTTTCCCACTATGAGCACATTTGATTCGTTGTAGTTAAATAGCATATGATTAGAAGAGAAGTCTTTAATGGTGGTTGTCGATTGTGGCTTCCCTGTTTATCTCTTTCAACAGTTCTAAAAGCATATAAGATATTAAAGAGAAACAGGAATTTGGGGGCATGACTAGAAGATTGAGCAATACGGCATTCAGCTATTGATTTGAAAGTTAACTTTTTTCTTCCCTTTCTCCTGGCTGTTTTTCTAGGTAGCAGACAGATGATAATAAGAGTTTTGGAATTGCTTGCGGAGGATTTGATACTTATTGGTGAAGCAATTTCAGTAGATATCTGGGACGACAACAGTCTTTTTGCTATAGATATGGTGAGAATCAATTATTTCTTTGGGATTTGGGTAGTAGCATTTTATTTTATTTTAGTCCTTTAAAGCTGGCATCATTGTCTCATTAGGCTTTGAATTTCTTTCTTTTAGACACAGCAGTCCAGGCTTATTTTGTGCATAGTCTGGAACAGGCCATTTATCCAGAGATTCTGGTTTCTTTTAATGGAGGAGTATATATCAAGACCAAAACAAGACATTAGGGCTGCTTTTTGCACATTTTTTATCATTTTTTTCATGAGGGTGTGTGAATATATTTATGTGGGTCTTAACAGCTTTAATAAAGTATAATTAACATAGAATAAGCTGCACATGTTTCTTAAAGTTTGTTGCTGCATTTTGACATATGGATACACCCATGATATTGATTAGCTTGCATTTTTTAGAATTTTATATGAATGTATTCTTTATATGAATTTATATGAATGTTTGTATGCTTTTTTTTAGTCTCTTTTTCCCCCCTTTGGTTTGATTACTTTGAGTTATAGCCATATTGTTGCATTTATTAATTAATTTTATTGTTGGGTGCTTTGTTTTTTGCTATTTGTATTTTAGTAGGGAAAATATTTTTGGAAAATATGGCATTACGTTTTATTTTCTTTGAAAGAAATCTGTTGAATAAGTAATATTTTGCATGAGCAGTCAATACATATACAAGAGCCTTAAAAATGTTATATTGTAATATAATGTTTAAGACATCTATGAACTACCAGAGTGTTTCCATGTAATTATAAATTATATCCTTTTTTACATTTCAATGTCATTAATCATCTGTCATTTTATATTATTTACTAAAGGCCCAGTGCACAAAATTCGTGCACGGTGTGTGTGTGTGTGTGTGTGTGTGTGTGTGTGTGTGTGTGCGCGCGCGCGCGTGCACGCGTGCCTTAGCCCAGTCTGCACCCTCTCCAATCTGGAACCCCTCGAGAGATGTCCTACTGCCCTCTCACAATACAGGACTGCTGGCTCCAAACCACTCTGCCTGCCAGCCTGATTGATGCCTAAGTGCTCCCCTGCCGGTCCAATTGCCCCTAACTGTTCTCCCCTGTAGGCCTGGTCGCCCCCAACTGCCCTCCCCTGCAGGCCTGGTTCCCCCCAAGGAATCCCCCCGCAGGCCTGGTCACCCCAACTGCTCTCCCCTGTAGGCCTGGTTGTCCCCAACTGCCCTGCCCTGCAGGCCTGGTTCCCCCCTGCCACCAACTGCCCTCCCCTGCAGGCCTGGTCCCCCGCCAACTGCCCTCCCCTGCAGGCCTGGTCCCCTCCAGCTGCCCTCCCCTGTTGGCCTGGTCCCCCCCAACTGCCCTCCCCTGAAGGCCTGGTTACCCCCAACTGCCCTCCCCTGCAGGCCATCTTGTGTCCACATGGGGGTGGCCATCTTGTGTGTTGGAGTGATGGTCAATTTGCATATTACTCTTATTAGATAGGATTTTGCTGTTATCAGATAATCTTGTTTATCTTGAAGAACTATGTTCTGTATTTTAATGTAAATTGTAACAGCCTTTTTTATTGCATTGTCAGAGAAGTGGAAGCAAAATTTATTATAAAAATATATATTGATTCATAGTTATGAAAGTTTTTTTTCTTTATGTTGTTTTGACTTAGGTCTGTGTTTTATTAAACTTTACTATGTGCTGCCTGAAATCCTTGTGAATAGAGGTTAGAACATGAAAAAACAACAACAAAATACTGATGTTTACTTAATATCAATACCCATTTGTAAAACTCCAAAACCTTTTAAAAACAAAAATTTATTGAAAAGAGAAACAAATATTTTACAATTGGTATAATATACTGTTCAAATCCTTCAATTACTTTATTTATGAAATAGGGATGATAGTTCTTAATCTTAGTTTTTCTTTAGTACTTAAGGTTACCATACTACTTTGTAGTACTTTTAGAAGATTTTCACAGATTGAAGGATTTCAACAAGTGAGTTTTTCCTTAGATGTGTGAAGACTGCTTTATCAGTTGCTTCTTAAATTAACTTAAATTTTGTTGGCCAGAACATTTATCTGTAAAAGTTAGTCATTCACTTTTAACTTTTGGCTGCTAGTCTTTTATGATTCAGTGAATTATTTTTACTTTAAAGGTTAAATCTGTTATATAAGTGCCAGTTGGTATGTTAGAAATGTTCAATAAAACAGTATTGTTTGAAATCATATTTGATCTACTTGTTTAAAAGAATAAATGCCTCAGGAAAAATCTCAGTACCTTGGCTATCTATAACAATAAAAGTGTAATATGCTAATTAGACTAGACAGCTGAACCACCTTCTGGAAGTCCTTCCGGACGAAGCCAGGGCTGCGAGGGCCGAGCCCCTTGCGCGAATTTCGTGCATCGGGCCTCTGGTATATTAATAAAAATAAACAATTAAGTAGAATTACTTAATGTTCTACTTTTGCCAAGTTTAAAAAGAAAGATAGAAGAAGTGTTTTTGTTGACTCATTAAAGGAACAAAATAATAGATGTGTTGTTACCAATTCAGAAATTAAATACCTGAGGAATTAAATCTCTAGATCTTTCCCAATAGTGTTAATAGCAGTCATGTCTAGAACTCCCATTACTCAGGTTGTATGCATAGCAAAAAAAAATCTCCACAGTTGAATATTTTTTAGTTCACTTGAAGTAAATAAAGAAAAACTATTTTTATTGAAATTATTATATTTTGTTAAATAAAAAATTCATTGATAAGCACAGTAAAAGTTAGGTTGACCTGAAGTGTGCCGTCTCTTTGCTTCCCTGTGAAGCCAAGTCTGTTTCCTTATTCACACGGTAAGTTAGGTCCAGGGAGAAAGGAGCTTCACTTCCTGCCACATAACCCCAGATGGCGGGTTCTGTTCATTTTTGCCTTCTCTGTCATCCCAATTCCACTGAAAACAGTCTTTTCTCTTTCTCTACGATTCATTGCTTCTAAATTTCTACCAGACCTGCTGTGAGCTGGTAACTTAGATGCCTGGGCTTGTGGGAAGACTTGATGATTGGAGGTCAATTGGGCTGAAAGGGTTGAGAGCGAGCTTCATACCCAGTGAGGACTCACTGCAGGGGAATGGATGAGACTGGATTTGTAACTGGGTTAGTGGGATCTCTAGCTTGCATTCACCTTCCCTGCTGTTGCCCTGGTGAGAGACAGTTATTGTAGTTCACCAGACATTTCTGATTGCCTGTCATAGGCTAGGCACTGCAGTACAAGATGAATGAGTGGCAGCTTTCACTCTGGTAGGACGTAGATACATTTATTGTGACACTAGTAAAATGGAAGGAAGCATAGATGAACAATAGCTAAATAAAGATCCATTAGGCATACTGCTTACTAGATGATATTTAACCACACTGTGTTTATGAGGCCATTTAATCATCATGGCCCTATAAGGTAGATATCCATTTATAGATGAGAAAATGGAGGCACAGTTTCTTTTTCAAGGTCAGTTCTATGTTTTATTGCCAAGGGTGCTTTGAAAACACTGCCATCCTGGGATCTCAGGAAGGGTTTCTTGTAAATTGTGACTGAACTGAGTCTTGAGCACAATTATGACTTGGCTAAGCAAATGAAGGTAGGCTGTTTTACCTGGTGAGGGAAGAGAATGGCTGTTTGGCGGTAAAGGGTGGGGCTAGAGGGGCAATGCAAGTTACTATGGGAGGTGGAAATGGCACAAGAGGCTGGGGGCCTGCTGAGGCTCTGCTTTCTGCTGGTGCTGCTTGGAGTGGCAGTCATTCTGAAGGCAGGTGAGCTGCCCTTCAGAGGGGAAGTGCCTGGTGAGGGCTGCACTTTCTATAGTGATCGGCTGCAGTGTGGGAGGGAGAGGGGTGTGAGGCTGGAAGCATATGGGGGACATCCTGTGCCAGTCCCCATTTCAGATGCTTTACGGAGTTCACAATCTGTTTCATGATGTGCAGAGACTGAGAAATCTTGTTTGCACTATAAATTCTGTTTCATTGGGAATATTTAGAATATTATGCTAATCGGATATTTTAATTCTGTACCTTCTTTTGTAAAAGCTGTGAATATCTTCTGAAAACTGCCCACCCCCCATCAACTACTTCACAGGTTTTTAAACATTGTTTTAGCCCAACAAATTAAAACTGGACCAGTTACTATTTTTCAATCCTCTTTTCTTAAAAAAGCTAAAAAGAAACCACTTTTATTTGGCTTAGAAAAAATGCTGGAAATTGTGAAAATCCAAGACTGATTCATAGTACTTCCTTTTTGTACTATTTTGGGCAGCACTCAATTCATCATTAGAATAAGGAAAGTTATTTGGAACAATTTCACAAATAAATAGACTTCTGATAAAAGCCCTCCGATACTGAGATATTAAATATGTTCATTGATTTACTAGTAAATTATAAATTACCAAAGTTAATCTTGAATAACAGAGATATGTTGTAGGAATATACAAGTATTATTTTAATAGAGAAGTGTGTGAAAGAATTGCCGGCTAATGTGATAAGACTGTCACTATGTTTCTGAGTTGTTTTCTCTAGACCAGTAGTTATTAATATAATGGCTCCTCCTTTATTTTTTTAAAATTTATTTTATTGCTTAAAGTATTACAAATAGGCTCTTACATTTTTTGTTTTGTTTTGTTTTGTAAGCTTTGCCCTCATTTTGGTTTAAATTTTACTTTCAGTTTTATTTCTTTGGAATCAGAGAATATAGCCTTAAATATACATATATTGAAGTTTTCTTTGTGATTAAATAAATGGTTAGTCTTTGTCAATGTCCTTTGGAAGCTTGAGGAATTGTATTCTTTGCGATGTTCAAAGTTTATATCTACTTATTTTATTAATTAGGCTCAAAAAGACTGAGTGAAAACCTGTAAAATCCATCTTCATGTCAGTAACAGATTGTACTTGATATTATATGTTATTCAGACTCATTCATATTGGGTCTTTACTATTAATTTTGCATTTCATCAACAGGCAACGACCCCTTTACCCAACCCTTTTTTGTCCTGAATTATTAAATTATTAATTACTTATATTTTATATATTTTGCTAATTTTTCATTACACATTTAATTTTTTTTTTTTAACAGACTTATAGTGACAAAGCCACACACCACCAGCTCAGGCTATATGCCAGAACCTTCTCCCCACCACAATTGGGGTTTTTTTTTTTTTTTAAATATATTTTATTGATTTTTCACAGAGAGGAAGGGAGAGGGATAGAGAGTTAGAAACATCGATGAGAGAGAAACATCGATCAGCTGCCTCCTGCATGCTCCCCACTGGGGATGTGCCCACAACCAAGGTACATGCCCTTGACAGGAATCGAACCTGGGACCCTTTAGTCCACAGGCTGACGCTCTATCCACTGAGCCAAACCAGTCAGGGCCACATTTAATTTTTAACTTTTTGTTAGAAGTCATCAAAGTAAATGCTAACAAAAAAAAACAAAAAACAACCCCCCCCCCCAAAAAAAAAACCAAAGTAAATGCTTAAAAAATAGTTTTTTAAAAATGTAGGTGTGTTTATCATTCTTTGTTAGCAGGTATTGGCTCTTATCGAGAGGAATAATTGCTTTTTGTTCATTTTTGTTATTTAATGATAATGTTTTAAATTGTCCTCTGACATTTGCATACTGACCCCCAAGTTGGTTATTTTCCCGTTTTGTGTTTAAATGTTTGTAGAAAGAGAAGCTGCTCGCAGTGCTGGGGTCCCTGGGAGAAACCATGTGCTACCATCAAAGTAGCATCGGTGTGGAGCACACAGAGGCAGTTCGCAGGCTCCACAGAATGGCCTTTGTCAGCATCTCACTGTTTGCAGCTCGGCTGCTGCAGATGCTACTCCCTGTTGAAAAGGTAAGGCAGGGAGTGGTGCTCCCCTGTACTTTACTGACTATTACATACACACATCATAAATCCCTTCTGATCATTCCACGGTGTACAAAGTGGAAATGTGGGAACAGATGAATGGCTAACATTTTTGACAAATCATTTGATAGAAAAAAACATTCATTCTGTAAAGTTTCTTTTTTTCTTTTTTTTAAGAACTTTAAAAAATGATGGTGTAACATGTTTAGACATGTACACAGTTCAATGTATTTTTACTTAGTGAATGTATCGGTGTTTAAAAAGTGACACCCCCTAGAATGTGAAAAGAACATTACTGGAGCTTCAGAGGTCCCTTCCCATCCATTACTTCTCCTTCTTCCCCAAGGCTAAACTCCTTCTTTTTGATTTCTGTCACCATAGATCAGTTTGTCTGTTTTTAAACATTATACTAATGAGATTATAAAGTTTGTACTCAATATTTTCTTTTATTCATCAGTGTTACTGCATGTAGCAGTTGCTTGTTAATTTTTATTGCAAAATATAACTGTTATGTTAAAGGTGATTTTAATAGTTGTACATATTTTAAAAATTATTTATTGTCTGTAATTTTAATTGGAGGTTATATCTGAATTTGAATGTTAGTGGTAAAAATCTCAAATGACTCATGCACAAGTGTTTAGCAGTATACTTACTAAAAAAGAAGGGTGCATCCTACTTAAATGAAGGTGCAAGAGAAATTGCTGCAGCTAAAGAACTGTTTCCTGTACCTTCTGTTTCCCTTGTTATAACCATTTGCCCTTTTGTCCCTTAGAATTCTGCAGAGTATATAGTCCAGACTCCATTTTTTAATACATTACATATGCAACATTGTCAGGTAGTCCTGGAAAACAAGAATAAACATTAAATTATAGACATAATATTTTGTTTGGGGAAAATAACACCATTTCTGTTAATTTTAATTCATTAATCATGTTTCTGAAGAATTTTTTGCTTTTAATGAGTGATAATTTTTCAAGGCATAAGCATTATAAATTGAAGAGTTCTAGTTATATGAGACTGGAATTGTATTTAAAACATGTGTGTCACTTTACATAATAATCTATATATATAAAAGCCTAAGTGACTGTTACGACCAGACGACCGACCGCCGACTGGCCGGTAGCTATGACGTGCACTGACCACCAGGGGGCAGACACTCAACACAGGAGCTTCCCCCGGTGGTCGGTTCCCTCCCACAGCCAACCTCCCCCTGGCCGGCCAACCTCCTGTGGTTCCTCCCCTGGCGGGCTGGCCCCGATCGGCCCCAATTGCCGGCCAGATTGAGTGACCCCACCCATGTACAAATTCGTGTACCGGGCCTCTAGTATGATACAACTGAGAAATTAGTAGTGCAACAATAACTTGCTATTTTTTTTTTTTAAATCTGATGATCTATTCTTTGTGATTTCTTCTATTCTAAATTTACATCATATTTAATTTTATAGCCTTATTTTTTAATATCTTAATATGTGGCTCTGTATTTCATTTAGAATTTTTTTTTAATTGTTTAAAGTATTACATATGTCTCCTTTTTCCCCAATTGACCTTCTCTCTGGCCACGCCCACCTTCCAGGACAAGCCTCCACCACCCCAGTGTTCATGTCCATTGGTTATGCTAATATGCATGCATACAAGTCCTGTGGTTGATCTTGCCCCCCCTGCCCCCCCTCTCATCTGAGGTTGGACAGTCTGTTCGGTGTTTCTTTATCTCTGGATCTATTTTTATTCATCAGTTTGTGTTGTTCATTATATCCCACATATGAGTGAGATCATGTGATATTTATCTTTCTCCGACTGGCTTATTTCGCTTAGCATAATGCTCTCCAGTTCCATCCATGCTGTTGCAAATGGTAAAAGTTCCTTCTTTTTTATAGCAGCATAGTATTCCATTGTGTAGCTGTACCATAGTTTTCTAATCCACTCATCTGCTGATGGACACTTAGGCTATTTCCAAATCTTAGTTATTGTAAATTGTGCTGCTATGAACATAAGGGTGCATATATCCTTTCTGATTGGTGTTTCTGGTTTCTTGGGATATACTAGTATTCCTAGAAGTGGGATTACTGGGTCAAATGGGAGTTCCATTTTTAACTTTTTGAGGAAACTGCATACTGTCTTCCACAGTGGCTGCACCAGTCTCCATTCCCACGAGCAGTGCACGAGGGTTCCTTTTTCTCCACATCTCCTCCAGTACTTGTTGTTTGTTGATTTGTTCATGATAGCCATTCTGACAGGTGTGAAATGGTACTTCATTGTCGTTTTGATTTGCATCTCTCGGATAATTAGTTACTTTGAGCAGGTTTTCATATGTCTCTTGGCCTTCTGTATATCCTCTTTCATAAAGTGTCTATTTAGGTCCTTAATAACTTGTTATTAAGTATTACAAATGATCAATATATCCATAGGTCGAAGTATTGATGGAAAAACTAATTATCAGTTGTATTATATAGGTTATTTATTGCTTTTTTATTATACTTTTTTCATCTGTGTGCTTATTTGGGCAGGATTCAGTTAATACAGAAATCAATAATTTGTTTTATTTTGACTTACTTTAGTGTTAGAAAAATGAAAAGCCAATTCTCCGGTCTTTTTGAAGATAGTTCTTTTTTATTTATTTGGTTTTGTTTTTAAAAATATATTTTATTGATTTTTTACAGAGAGAAAGGGAAAGAGATAGAGAGTTAGAAACATCGATCAGCTGCCTCCTGCACATCTCCTACTGGGGATGTGCCTGCAACCCAGGTACATGCCCTTGACCGGAATCGAACCTGGGACCTTTCAGTCCGCAGGCCGACGCTCTATCCACTGAGCCAAACCGGTTTTGGCTGGTTTTGTTTTTAAAGGCAAATTAATACCTGTAATCTTTGATAGCTCTTCTAAATATATTTAAAACTTGGAAGTTCATTAAAATAGTTAATATGGTCACTGAAGAGATTATAACCAAAGTATTGATTTATAGATGTTTGTAATTGCTTTGATTGAGATCTAAACAAAAATGCTATTTCAGCCGAAACTGGTTTGGCTCAGTGGATAGAGCATCGGCCTGCGGACTGAAAGGTCCCAGGTTTGATTCCGGTCAAGGGCATGTACCTGGGTTGCGGGCGTATCCCCAGTAGGAGATGTGCAGGAGGCAGCTGATCGATGTTTCTCTCTCATCGATGTTTCTAACTATCTCTCTCCCTTCTTCTCTGTAAAAAATCAATAAAATATATATTTAAAAAAAAAAATGCTACTTCAGTGCTATTAAATTTCTCCTTCAGTTTATTTAAAGACAAGGTTATGCTGCCCTCTGCCTGTTGCTAGCCCACCAAAAATGGAAGTAGAATTTGGACTCTGAAACTTTCTATCTCATGAAGTTACCAGCTCACTCTTTGCTTTCTTCTCCTCTGATTATTAGCTTCATGAGGGCAGAGGTTCTGTTCTATGTCCTATAGTGTTTCCAGACTGCAGTGGTGTCTGCCATGCAGCAGGGGCACAGAAGTATTTGCGGAGTGAGGGAGTAGTAGGTGATTAGGTAATTTAGTGGCTTTCTCTTTTTCCCCCACTAGGACAGTTCTTCACAGAATAATGAAATTTTGCTTGACTTCCCAATAGCTGTTGTCTTAATAGTCTGGTTTTATTTTTATGCTTAGTAACCTAAACATTCAATCCCTATTGTTTCTGATATTTAGTTGATAACTTTGATTTAAAGGCATTGTTTAGCTGATTCAGCTCTTAATTTTAGACTTTCAGGCGGATAATGATTATCTTTAAAATAGGTTACCTATGAAATAAATCACGTCCAAACTTTCTTTAATAAAGACAGCATTTCAGCCGTAACAGTAAACTCTGCCCAATATTGAATTTTTAACTCTTTTTATTTTCTTAATTGATGCATAAAATCCTATCATGAAGTTAGAATTATTAAAAAAAAAACAAGACTTTCAGTTTAAATAATTGATTTAAGCTTATAAAACACATTGATATTCCATTTGGGGCCTGTTGACTTTGTACTAGTTAAGGATCAGTTTTCTGTGAGTGTTCTAGAACTGTTTTAAATATTTTGTTGAATTTTCCCTCCCCCCTCAATACAAACAAAACCAAGTAAAAACCAGTTTCTGTTTAAGGCAGTCTTTAGTTATACTTGGTTTAGTGTTATTCAAAGCAGCATGTACTTACTGAGCCCTGGGGTATGTGCTCAGGTATGGTGGTAAAGTGTTCTTGTTTTCAGGAGTTTATTGCATTTTTTTTTTGTGTGTGTGATTTGTGTGCACATTTACAAAATACTTAGAGGAAGGGGCCTCATGCCTTAAGTTCAGTAGCAAAGGTAGACACAAGATGCTGGGCCCAGGGGAGCATAATTCTGAGTGTTGGGGTGGGGAAGAAAGAGGTATCCTGTATCCCAGGCTTGGGAAAGAGTTGAAAATTGGACTTGAGATATTCTGGGCATAGGAAAATTGTATTGAATAAAGCCATACAGAGAGATGGTGTTTTGGGGAATAGAGGTTTCTTTAGAAAAGCAGAGACTTTGAGATAGAGAATACTTAGAAAGTTGAACTACATTTATATTTTGCTATGTTTATCTAAAATTGTTTTTTTAATTAACATTTTTTTTTTCCATTTATCAAGGCAAGCCACTTTTTACCAGAGTCTATGTCAGCAGCATTGTTTCTAGTTTCATTGGACATGCCTATTTCTTTGGAATACCCAAACATTCACGAAGCTGCTGTGGCCTATTTGGAACAGCTGAATTCTGAAAACTACAGCATTTATAAACGAGCTGCAGAGGCCGTTTATTCCATTGAGTGTGCCTGTAACTTCCTGTCTGATGTTGGGAAGGAGGTAAAAAGCTTTATTAATATCTCTTTTAAATTCCTTTGATAAAATATGTAGAAAGTGTAACCTATACTTTTCAAATAGATGGACATATAATAGTTGAATTGTTAGACATAGGATACATTGTTAGTGAATGGGTCAGTTATCAGAATAAAGTAAGGATATGGCTTGTATAAAAGTAAGATGAAGACTTTAGATTAATGAATGGTGTATATAATGAAACCAGTAGTATGAAGAAAATGAGTAATTATTCTCATTTATCTCTGAGCAGGCTTAAACTTATAAGTGCCTCTTTGAAGTGGCATAGTGTGTATGAAGAGTAACACAACATAAACAGAATTATAAGGACCATTTTAGTGCTTACTTGGAGACACATTTTTTCTTTAATATTTATAGACCCTTATTTATTCACACAAAGAGCCTGATATTGTTATTAAATAAAGTCATGAACTAGATTGTAAGGCATAGGCTGCCTTTAGGTACGATGTTGTAGCAATAATTATGTATTGTTCCTTATTCCTTTTAGAGATACTATTAGGATATTCTTTAGAATGTGATCAGTGAAAGGGTTGAATCTTAGGGTAAACATTGACTACAATAATTGTTTATTGTCTGAAAATATCAAATTGGGTCCTGAAGATCTTAAAAAATTGGGACAGAAACTTTTATTTTTGCCCTTACAGTGGAGTCTGTCTGAAGGTTATATTTCTAATTTTCCTTTATTTATCCATTATCGTTTTTTTTTTTAAAATATTTTATTGATTTCTTACAGAGAGGAAGGGAGAGGGACAGAGACTTAGAAACATCAATGAGAGAGAAACATTGATCAGCTGCCTCCTGCACCCCCCCCCACTGGGGACGTGCCCGCAGCCAAGGTACATGCCCTTGATCGGAATCGAACCTGGGACCCTTCCGTCCGCAGGCCGACGCTTTATCCACTGAGCCAAACTGGTCAGGGCTATCCATTATCGTTTTTTACCCTCTTCTTTTTGCCATATCTTGATTCCTCTGGTTTCTTGTTTCTTCCATGATAGAAGTTTGAATTGTCTTTAAGTTGAATTATTTCTGTAGCTTTTTGCATTGTCAAGTTAACCACACATGTATTGACTGCTCTCATGTTTTCAGAACTGGTCAGGATTCTAGAAGGGGGAGGTGGATTATAAGAACATGAGCCCTGCCTTGAGCTACAGTTAGCAGGGACATAGGACTACAAACAAGTAGTCAGAGGACCAGGCCACTCAATTACAAGTTTAAGCCTGCTCAGAGATAAATAATACACAGTCTCATGTGGCAAGTGTAGGGATTCTCCCACATTTTTCTTCCTGGACTGACATTTTAGATGGTTGTTGAGAAAATGGACGTAAGTAAATGTAAGGAATCTCAGGGTCTCTGAATAATCTAATTTCTTAAAGCTGCTTAGATAGCTGTGGAGAATTTTGTATATGAATTTGACATTGTTTTTTTTTGTTTTTTTCAGGGAGAGAAGAATCTTTTAGAATTAGTGGAGATGGCAGACCATGCCTTGCATAGCTTTTCCTATCATTATCATTTACCTCTAATAGAGGAAATCATCAACCTTTGTTCAAAGATGTAATATTTTCTTTCTTAATATGATTATATTATAGGACATTGTGTGTGTATGTGTGCATGTGCATGGTGTGTGCATGCATATGTGTGAAGTTAGGAGCAGTGAAAATGAAATTGGTCTTAAATATTGTTATTTTTTAGTTTAAATTGCTTTTACATGTGTCTGAACTTTGAACTGTATATGAACTGTATTAAGACAGTTTACTGTTTTATTCAAGAGTAAACTTTAAAATGCCATGCTACAACCTAAGTGAATTATCCTTGGATTTTACACTTTTTAAAAAAATAATTTTCATTTTTCCATTGATTTTTAGAGAGAGTGGAGAGGAGAGACACAGAGAGAGAAACTTAGATTGGTTGCCTCAACCGAGGTACATACCCTTGACCAGAATCGAACCCAGGACCCTTCAGTCCATGGTCCAAGGTTCTATCCACTGAGCAAAACCAGCTGGGGCTATACATTTCTTTTGGTATCCATTCAAACCAGGTATTTCATTTGGCATCAGGTCCTTTGGGTTTATCCATGTGACAAATGGAAGGATTTCCTTTTTCTTTTAAGGCTGAGTAATATTTTATTGTATATATACAGCTATTTTCTTTATTCATTCATTGATGGATGGACACTGGAGTTATTTCCAAAAATTGACTATTGTGAATAGTGTTGGAATGAACATGAGAGTACAGATATCTTTTCAAGATATTGATTTAATTTTCTTTAAATATATATACCTAGAAGTGGGATTGCTAGATCATATGGTAGTTCTATTTTTAATTTTTTGAGCAACCTCCATGTTTTCCATATGGTTGCACCAATTGATATAACAAGTATAGTTTTTTTAAAGACATTGTTAGTGTTTTTTATACTCTTTTTTTAAAAAAATGTTTTTATTAATTTTAGAGAGAGGAACAGTGAGGGAGAGAGAGATAGAAACATCAATGAGAGGGAAAGATTGATTGGCCTCTTCCTGCACACCTCCTACTGGGATCAAGCCTGCAACTTGGGCCAGGAATCAAACTGTGACCTCCTGGTTCATGGGTTGACACTCAACCATTGAACCACACCAGCTGGGTTGTTTTCTGTACTCTTTGAGAGAGTATTCCCTACCATGAAACAAGTGTGTACTTAGGTAAATACTAATATTGGATTAGTTAAATATGATCCCAGTTAAAAGAATTGGAATAGGAAGAAACTCCTTCAACTATGCTTTTCAACTTCCTTTGTTTGGTAATTTCCTTGCCTTAGATGTGGATATTTTATCTTTTTGCTAGCTGGAAATCAGCACAGGCCAGTCCATTACTACAAGGGGAAAGTCAAAAAGTGTTTCTGCGTATGTTGTCTCACCCATTGCTACAAGTGAAAGTTGAAACTTATCACTGCTGTCTGGAAATTGTTAAGGTGGGTTTTCTGTTTTGTGAACTAACATTGGATTTTCTTCTTATAACTTCAGAATTAAACTTCCCCAGTCCCCTCAGCACCCCAGACGCCCGGGGCTGGCCCGAAGCACAGGCAAGCCTCGGATGGTGGCTGCCCAGCCGCCCAGGGCCGCCCAAAGCTCAGGTAACCAGGGCCGGCCGAGGCTTGCGCTGCCGGCAGTGGCAACAGCAGAGGTGTAATGGGGGCGTCGCCTTCTCCTGATAGCTGGGTCGCCTCTTGCCCCTGAGGGCTCCCGGACTGTGAGAGGGGGCAGGCCGGGCTGAGGGAACCCCCACTCCAGTGCATGAATTTTCATGCACTGGGCCTCTAGTCTATATATAACAAATGTTTACATTTTGCCATTTTTATTTCCGATCCTTTTTTATTCAGAGAAATAAAAATATTACACTTATAGTGGAAGCTTCTTTCTTTTCTTTTCCTTCTTCCACCAAGATAACCTTGCTTATAAAGTTGGCATTTACCCTTCCCAACCGTTGTTTATATATATCTTTATTATATACGCATGTCTTTATAAATACTACGTATTACTCTTTTATACTATACATATGTTTTTGCTGCCTATTCTTTTCATCTAATAGTAGGGTTTGAGATCTACCTGGTCCATTCATCTTAACTGCTCTTTAGTTAGAATATTCTTTCTTTTCTTTATTGATAAATATTTAGGTTCAGTCTACATTTTACTGAAATAAGTTTTTCTATATTTTCAATGACATTCTGTGACTAATGGTACATATGTTTAAAAATATCTTGGCTTTACCTTACTCTTGAATGATAGCTTAGCTGGGCATATAATTACTAAAGGCCCAATTAATGAAATTCATGCAAGAGTAGGCCTTCCTTCCCCTGGCTGCTGGCACTTGGTTCCCTCTGGCACCCGGGACCCGGGTTTCCCTCCGGCCACTGGCACCTGGGACCCAGACCTCCCTTTAGCTGTTGTCAGGCACCTGGGACCCAGGCTTCCCTCATAGCCCCAGCTTCGTCCAGAAGGTCATCTGGAAGGACGTCCGGTCTAGTTAGCATATTACACTTTTATTATTATAGATTATTATAGATAGATTGCTGTTTTTCCTTTGCACTTTGTGATACTGCTTTGTCCTTGTTTCATTGTTGAGAAGTCTACTATTAATATAACTGATTTGCATTTTATTCCTAGTTCCTTTTAAGATCTTTTTCTTGTCTCATTACAATGTGTCTTTTATACATTTTTAAAATTTATGTACCTTGTTCAGCACTCTTCAATCTGAAAACTCATGTCTGCCTGCATTCTCAGTCATTATCTCTCTTAACTTTGCTATTCTCTCCAGATGGAGCACTCATGAGATCTGTTAGACTTTATTCCACCCTTTGTGTTCTTCAGGACCTGCTATATTTTTGTATCTCTTTCTGTTTTGTTTTGATGAAATTCCTCAGTGCTGTCATTCAGTATGCTATTTCTTTTTTTAGCTCTGTCTAATTTGCGTTTTAAAAATTGTGGCAAAATATACATGACATAAAATTTACCATTTAAATCATTTTTAAGTGTACAGTTAAGTGGTAGTAAGTACATTCATGTTTTTGTGCAACCATCAACATTATTCATTTCCTGAACTTTTTCCTTTTCCCAAATTGGAGCTCTGTACCCATTAAACAATAACTTCTCATTTCCCTTCCCCTCAGGTCCTAACAATCACCATTCTACTTCTATCTGAATTTGACTATTCAAGGTATCTCATATTAGTGGAATCATATATTTTATGTATGTGTCTGGTTTATTTCAGTTAACATAGTATCTTCAAGGTTCATCCATGTTATAACAGATCAGAATTGCATTCCTTTTTAAGGCTAAATATGCTGTTTGTATGTACCACATTTTGTTTATCCATTCCTCTGTTGATAGACATTTGGATTAGTTTTATCTCTTAGCTATTGTAACCAATGCTTTTATGAGCACAGGTATACAAATATCTATTTGAGTTCCTGCTTTAATTCTTTTGGGTATATCATTTACTATGTTATTTATTTCTTTTATGTCTATCATTATGAACAACTTAAGAGATTTGGTTTTCTCAATAGTTTGGTTATTCAGTTTATCAAGACTCTGCTTGTTGGCAGAAAGTAACATAATACATATCTCATGCAGACTAAAAAACTGTTGGACAAGAGAATCTTTTTCATCCTCTCGAGGTAAAAGAAAAGTTTCAATGAAGTGAAAAGTAAAATTGGAATTGAATTTTAAACAGAGAAAGATGCATCCTTTTGAAAAATCAGTCACTAATTTTAAAAAACGTTTTGTGTTATTTTACAGGAATGTTTAGGTGTCCATAATGTCACTAAACCTGTGTCTTCACTCTGTAGTGGAATTCATTTTCTACTTCACCCAAAAGTCTTGTATGAAATCTCTGCATTTGGCATTCAAGATCCCAAAAATGAGGTATGGTGTGTTATAAGTAAGTGCAAAAAACTGTAAGTCTTTAGACACTCAGCTAAATCAAGGTAATATCCTAATATAACTAGAGAGTATGATAAGAAACAGAAAATAAACTTGTCTTTAATGTTGGGTTCATACATGTTGTTTGTTTAAATAAAAAGAAATGTTATGGAAAATGTGAGAATCAAAATACAGGACAGATGAAACATTTTACTTACGTTTTTTATCTAAGATGTAGAGAACCAAACAGTCCTTATAGTAAGCAGGCTATTTCACTGAGGCACATTTTTGTTTAGTGGAAGAATATACCCTAACTAGAGGCCCAGTGCACGAAATTTATACCCATGGGGAGGGGGAGAGGGGGCGTCCCTCAGCCAGCTTGCGCTCTCTCACAGTCTGGGACCCCTTGGGGGATGTCTGCCTGCCGGCTTAGGCCCTCTCCCCGTGGGGAGAGGGCCTAAGCCGGCAGGCAGACATCCCTCTCACAGTCTGGGACCCCTCGCTCCTTACCACTTGGCTTGCTGCTCCTTAGCGCTGCCACGGAGGCGGAGAGGTTCCTGCTGTGCTCGCCAGCTGTGAGCCCGGCTTCTGGCTGAGTGGCACTCCCCCCGTGGGAGCGCACTGACCACCAGGGAGCAGCTCCTGTCTTGAGTGTCTGCCCCCTGGTGGTCAGTGCACATCATTGCGACCGGTCGTTCTGGTTGTCGTTGTAAGGTTCGGTTAGGCTTTTATTATATAGATGGTAAAAGGATATCATTAGGGGAAGACTGGTTGGGAGCAGAGCGTAAGATGATGTTTCAGAAATAGGAACATTTGAAGGATGAGATGTTACTTATTGTACCTTTCTAGATTTTATCATGTGTTCCAGGTGTGTCCGGCAACTCAGGGACCACCTCATTTTTTTTTTTTTTTTTTTTGTAGCTGATCGATGTTTCTCTCTCATTGATTATTTCTTTTTTTTTTTTTTTATTGCTTAAAGTATTACAAAGAGTATTACATATGTGTCCTCCCCCCCCCCCCCCCGCCCTTGACAATCCCCTGGCTTCCCCTACCCCCCAGTGTCTTATGTCCATTGGTTATGCTTATATGCATGCATACAAGTCCTTCGGGGGACCACCTCATTTTGCTGGATGTCTTGTCTGTGTTATTGGGCAGGTGAATGCTGCAGCAAAGGCCATCCTGCTGTACCTGCTGCAGGGACAATTGATGATGACAGCGCTGACCTGGAACAGGTTTATCGAGTCTCTGTGTCCTGTCATCCCAGTGCTGCAGGTATGACATGTAGCCTCCCTTTCTGATCCGTGGAAGCATGAATAGGAAGGGGTTTCTGGCAGAGGTGTTTATCTGTGCATGTGGACGGGAGGTTCAGAGTGAGGTGCAGGCACTTAGCAGGACGTGAGGGATAGAATCAGCCTTATGTGAAGGCTTTTCTGCCAAGCTAACAGTGCCTTTAAGTAGACTTTCCATAACTAAACTTGCTTCATGAATGATTTCTATGCATACACTAGTATGTAACTAGAGTTTTCCTTTGGTTAATGAACTCTTGGAAACAGCATTTTTAGCAGTCCTTGTGGGCGTTAAAGGAGTGAGGGAAGTCCAGGTCCCTGACCCTCTCAGAGAAGGTAGAGGTGGGCAGTGCCCTCATAGGAACTAGCTTGTAGAGCAGGAGCTGTGAGGCTCATGTGGTTCGGTTCCACGCAGGTGTGTCTGCCATACTCCACCTCTGTCCTGTGGGGACAGGTCTGAAGACCCGGGGGCCTCATCTACTAGAGTCCCAGAAAACAGGAAAGCTGGCAGGTGTCCTGAGGATTGGCATATTTTCCTGAAGTTCTTCAGTACTATTTTTAAATAGTTGTAGGTAGGCTTCTTACCGCTTGTAGGTTATTTTGAAAAGTGACTTTGTAGCTAAATTAGGAGATATTTTTGAGTTGCCTGGCAGGTCAATGTAGTTCTTATTTTTAAGTTAAAAAATTAAGCAATATATATAAAATCAAACAATAATTTCTTTTTTACTGAAACCTGTTAGGGCTATGCTGACCCGGAAGACCCTCTGGGGAACTGTATCCTCCTCCTAAGCAAGGCGAGTTCTGAGGGAGGCGAGGAGGTCCTCCCCTGCACCACCCGGCTCAAGTCCATTCTGCGGCTCTTGCTCGTGAAGAAGCCGTCGTAAGTGCATCGGAGGCTTTTGAGTGTGAAAGATGAATGGGGACATTCTAAGAAAGTATAGTGCAGTCATTACATCAGTCTGGGACAGAATAGAATGCGGAAGGTAAAGGAAAGTGGTTCTTTTATTAGACAGAGGGAACCAATGGGTGAAGCTATAAGCAGATGCAGGTGTTTTGGGTGCTTTCCTGAAACATACCATCCATTCCCAGTGCAGTGGTTGGACCTGCATCTGGTGTAGCTGCTGCCCTCGGTGCTGTTCATAGTGCTGTGCGTAGGTAGGAGCCATGCAAATCAATAGATTGCAGAAGGTACAGAGCATCTCATCTGCCCTCTTTAGAAACGGTTAGCCTAGAGCAGCCGTGGGCAAACTACGGCCCATGGGCCGGATCCGGCCCGTTTGAAATGAATAAAACTAAAAAAAAAAAAAAGACCGTACCCTTTTATGTAATGATGTTTACTTTGAATTTACTTTGAATTTATATTAGTTCACACAAACACTCCAATGCTTTTGTTCCGGCCCTTCGGTCCAGTTTAAGAACCCATTGTGGCCCTCGAGTCAAAAAGTTTGCTCACCCCTGGCCTTGAGTGATCCTTTTCTAAACATTTGTTCTGAAAATTAAGGGTTTCACAAAGATGTAGTAGACCAGCTGCCTTATGTACTAGAGTGTGCAGGTGGTTTAACCCTTTGCGGTCGTTTGTCTACTCTCAGCCACCAAAGCTTTTTTACCGTTCCGGTTGTATGTCTGCTCTCAGCCACCACAGCAAGGAATCGTACGAATCTTAACTCTATTCATTCATGTATCAGTTCATAATTTCTCTGAAAGCTCTTAAGTGTCTAAGCGACCTTGTCACGAACCAAAACATTGCCCCGACAAATCGGAGATATCGAAACTCAATATAAACAAACGTGGTTGTTCCACACTTGCCATGCAAAACACCGTGGCGAGCCAGTCGCCTTTTGAGAGTGAAGAAATCGACAAGCTTTGGAGATACTTCGCAGAATTTCAAATAAAGCTTTACAAATTATGTTTAACTGTAATTAGGCATTCTCGCTTGTTAAGATATTTCAAAATAATACTCCAAAATGGCAAAAAGAAAGTTACCAAAAAAAGTGTACTGTGAATCTGAAAGTAACGATGAAGAGTTTTATTTTGGCACCTTGAATACTGACTCTGACGTAGAAAGTGATAACGTTTGTAGTGATTCTACTAATAGTGACGTAGTTCCAAAAAAGAATTAATAAATCTTGTTTATCCTTCATAATCTTGCATGTTATGTATCACTGCTCTTTCAATGGAAATTAATTCCGACCAGTACGACACCCATGTCCAAATTTAATACGACCGCAAAGGGTTAATCTTGCCTGGCTTGTCCTCTGACATCAGTGTCAGTATTCTTTTAACTCAAAGAAAAGCAGAAGTGTGTGGTTGCTCCCTCTCTGTCAATGCAACATGTGTGTTCTCTGGTGCTCTCTTAGGTAACTGGTTAGATTTTTCGTCATTGAGAAGAGACAGAAGTGTAGTCAGAGGGATAAGCAGTGATGAGGAAAAAGAGTGGATTGAAAAGCTGGGAGGAGCAAACATGTTCTTTTGACAGTGGACAATTCTGTTCTCCCCAACCTCACACCACAATAAAACAGCCGCTTATTTATAAGCAGATGACCAGACTGAAAATAAGAAAGTAGGTGGAAATAAAATATGAAGAAAATGGAAGGAGGAAAATTAAAAGGAGAGATTATAAAAATCTCAGTGTAGTGTAGAGAGTAAAGTCAGGGGTGATGCTGCGCAGATGGAGTTAAAGTGTCCGTGCTCCTTGGGGTGGGGATTGGCTTCCACATGTTCATTCATGTGCTGGTGTAGCATGATCCCTCCGCCGAAACGGTCACTGCACACAAGAAGTTTATTTCCTGTTCACCCTTGGGGGCCCAACGTCTCCTGGTAAACAGACACTCAGCAGGCAGGGCACTCCAGGGACCTAGAGATCCCCTCCCAGGAGTGGAGGGCAAGGCCGGACCTCTCTTTGGGTAAGGTCCTACTACACAGAACTTAAGGCAGTTTGGGTTCCATATTTGCTTTCATTATTTGATTCATTTTACCACAACCCACCAAACCATAAATTCCATTAGGCAGGAACCCTGTACATTGGCTAATCTTTACACCATCAGCACTTCATGGAGTACCTGGAACATAAATGTGCTCTAAATCAGTGGTTCTCAACCTTCTGGCCCTTTAAATACAGTTCCTCATGTTGTGACCCAACCATAAAATTATTTTCGTTGCTACTTCATAATTCAGTAATGTTGCTACTGTTATGAATCATATGTAAATATATGATATGCAGGATGGTCTTAGGCAACCCCTGTGAAAGGGTCATTCGACCGCCAAAGGGGTCGCAACCCACAGGTTGAGAACCGCTGCTCTAAATGTATTCATTGAAAGAAAAAGTGTAGAGGAATGAATAACTGGATTCTGGTGTCCCAGGCTAAACCCCAAACGATGCTACTTTTGTAGACCAGAGGAGGAGTTGCATAAATACATGCTTCACACACCCCACTCTCACTTTCTTACTGTGGTGGTGACTGTCCATAACTGACAGCACTGGACTGGAATGAAAGGAGCAGGGGAAAAGCATTACGTAGGTGTCTTGCTGTTCTTAGCTTTCAGGAGGTTACAGCAAATGGAAGAGGGAGAGTTTGCCTGATTCCCACACCAACTTGGAGTAAATATTAGTCTCTAGAGATGATTTTTATGATTTTAAATTCCTGGATAGAATTGGGAAGCACTTACTGAGCATCACCCATGTGGCTGGGAACTGAGGTTGGCTGTCGGAACCCAGCAGTACACAACACAGACAGGCAGGCCCTTTCTGAAGTGGGCATGGAATTGAGAAGAGAGGTCTGATCAATTATACTTTATTAATTGTAAAAACTCTAGACCAGTGTTATGATAGGGCACTTCAGGGTGTCAGGACACAGCAAGGTGACACAGCCCATGGCTGTGGTAAGGAGGCCTCTCTGAGTATGCAGGTTTTAATTGTCTTATAAGTAGTACTTGGATTATTGCTTAAAATGTGCCCAGTTCCCATGTAGTTCAACAGCCTGTCAGGTGTGATAGTTAACTGGTTGTCAAACTCTCCCAACTCCATGCCCTTTGCCATGTGATGGTTTTCTGTTTTTCCATTCCACTGTCCAGTAGCATGCAGTATGTAATCTTTTCTTAAAATCTCAATGGACTCAACAGACGTTATTCCTAATCCATTCCAGATAAAACAGAATTATGAAGGGACTCAAAGTATGTTCATATTTGAGGGGAATCTGTTTGATCCCTAATATAAGATTTTTATACATTGCTGTGATACTAGGTATTAGTGTGATACCCCCCTGGAGGTCCGATCTAACATTAATTCTGCTCATGGATCATTTTGGAGATTGAGAACGATCACTGGACTTGGAGTCAGAATTTAGATTTAATTTGACTTAGTGAAGTTGAATGTGATGTTGACTGAAGTACACAGTCTTAGTGAGTCTGTTTCTCCATTTGTAATTACTGATTATTCTTTAATGCTGATGTTTATTAATAAAAGTAAAATTGAAAGAATGATTGTAGTTATACACTAAATATTTTAATAGAAAAAGTAAAATGTTATTAGTAATAGCACTATAAGCATGGCTAATTACTGTGTTGATATATAATAATGCGTTGTGACTGTAGACCTCTGTACTTTGTATACATCTGCATGTTACAGAAGGTTTGCAGATTGCAGAAGGTTGCCTCATATACTGTGTTTCCACAGGGTCCGTTCACTAGCATTGAAGCTGTTAGTCTGTCATCTTACCAGGGAGGAAGGGGCTGAGAGAAAGCGCCCTGCAATGGATGCCAGAGTTCTCGCCAGAGCTACTAACTTATTTATCGTGAAAAAACCTATTGAACTCAAATTGGATGACAGGAAAGAGCTGATTATTAAGGTGACTTTTGAGTTTATTACTATGTGGTTGTTTGATATGGAACAGATTAATTTCTTGAGTGTCTACCAAATGCCAGGTACTATGTCCCTTTTCATTTAGTACATACACCACAAATGCAGTGAATTTGAATAGTGTCTTAAGTACAACATAAGGCTAATTTAGTGGAAAGAAATTTTGTGATGACTCTTAAGACCATATGTCACTGACATAAAGCTATTTAGAATTCTTGTTCTCATGTTGGAAATTGTCTACAATAGCTTAGAAGGAAAACGTTCCTATGATAAAATTTTAAGCCTCTTCAGTGTAAGAGGAAAAAATAATATAGAGGTAAAGGCAGTTTCTCTTTTCAGTGTAGAGCAGCCCCCTAAGCCTGTGGTAGTACTGTAGATCCACGTGGAATAGAATTGAGGCAGGATAGTAAGAAGCTAGGAAAATTCCTTGGCAAGTGAAATGGGGAAACAGACAGACAGCTGATTCAAATTGGCCCCCCCAGCACCCTGACTTACCCACCTCCTCCCTCCCCTGCCCCCCCCTCCCCCCCCCCCCCCCCCACACACACACACAGTCACTTCCTCAAGCATTAAGACCTCAGGACAATGAGTTTCTGATTGGCATCAAATAATCTTAGGAACAAAGCCCTGGGTCTGTTAACCACAGAGACAGTCTTAAAATGGGAAACACGTTCATTGTTCTTTCAACTTGAGTGTTTGGATTCGTATGACAGCCATGGCAAGAGGATTGGAGAAACTTCCCTGGCCATGCACCAGGTCCTGTTGGGGACTCCCTGAGTCCTAAGCACTGATGGTCCCTCCTGTGTCCTCAGTGTGGTGGGGAGGAAGGCCAGGAGTGGCCATTCTAGAACTGTCTTGTGAGTACTTAGGGCCAGCAGATAGTGGGTGGGAGAAAAGAGGAGTGTTGTCTTTGTTCTTCTCTTCTGTTCTCCTTCTGAGTTTTGTGAGCTCAGACCCTGTCTTAGCATGAATGTCAGTCACGGTCTGGTATTGGGGTGGCTTTGTTGGAGTTCTGGGCAGCAAGTCCCATAGGGCTGCCTTCTTTGTGGTCTCTAAGTGGGAGGAAAGGGACAGGGCCAAGGGAATTGCAGCTGTGGGCTTCTGGAGCAACAGAAGTCCTGAGTCACGAGTCTGGACTGCTCATCTCAGGGTTGCCTCCTCCTACCTGCAGGGATGTTTTTCCTGAAATTCTTTAGGCAGCCAGTGGTCAGGAACGACTTCCTAGCAAAAATATACATTAAGTGGCTCATTGACAGGATGGCTCTTTGTTTGAGGTCCTAAGTTCCTCCCTGACCTAGCACATTATTGTTGCATATTGACATGTAAATATGCCATTTATTTAAGTAACTTGACTTTTTGAGCTTTTGTTCTTATGGTATGAACTATAAAATTTTCTTGGAGAATTGGAAGTAGATAAAAAAGATTTTTGTTTCTTTTGGTTTGCAGTTGGAGACTGTTGAAAAGGTATATGAAATCTTTATTTCAGATGACATTGACCTTGTTTTGAGAAAGTCAGCTGCAGAACAGCTTGCTGTGATCATGCAAGGTAATACCTTTGGTTGCTGTGTTGGGTTGGCAGATATTGGTTGCTGCTGGGCCTGGTCTGTTCTTTTTATAGCCCTTGAGTTAAGAATGGTTTTTACATATTTAAAGAGTTGTTTAAAAAAAAAGTGTAGGACACACTATATGTGGCCAGAAAAGCTTCACTTATTACCATCTAGCTCTTTATAAATGTAGTTTGTTGACTCTGCTCTGCATTATCTTTATTTTACCTGTAGAATGTCACTTGATGGAATTACCTTCTAAGATACTGATCTAATTCCAACAGTAAATTGCATGTTTCTTTCTCAGTTTACCTAGTATATGGTAATTTTATTTTGTTCCATCTTTCTTAGAGAAATCAATCATATAGTACTTTGTGGGAGGGTAAAATAATAATGTCCCGTAGCTGTATTTTCTTTAAAGGCTTATTAAAAAAAAAAAAAAACTTGTAAAATATACAGTTAACTTTATAGTGTTGTTAGTCTATTCTTTGGATTCGTTTTTTTTCTTTTTCCCAATATGTGACATCTGTAACTTATCTTTCATAGTTGAGAGAAATGATAACTTTGTACTTACATGAAAAGGTTTTTACTGAGTGGGAAGATGGGGCATGGTTAATATTTCTATCCTGGCACTAGTGGGAACTGGGTGAGAGGAATTTGAAAAAGCATACACAGCCTGTCTGTGGCTTTAATAGCGGTAACACAGACTCTAGAAAATAAGTCCCTATAAATGTGGGGAACCTGGACAAAAACGATTCAAAAACTTTTAGGAAGTGTTCTTTTAGTATTATTAACATTTCAAAAATATAATTTTGGTATGTGCTGTGTTGGGGGGGCAGTGGAAACTACTTTTTCAAAAAGTGGCAGCTAAAGGTCGTTGGAGTGAAAGCTACTAGTCCAGTATGAATATGTGTATTTGTTTCTCAGTGTATGTACTCATTGAAACTATAGGGGAACAAATTAAAAAAAATTTGCAAATCGTTAAATACTTGTAACTAATCTATAAGCAAGTAGATTTTTGGAGCCAGTAATATCTCGTGTGTGTCTGTGTGTGTGTTTGTGTCTGTGTGTGTGTCTTAGTCTGTTCAGGCTGCTATACTAGGATACCATAGACCAGATGACTAATAAACAACAGACATTTGATTCTCACAGTAGTTCTGGAGTCTGGGAGTCCAAGGGCAAGGAGCCAGCAGATCTGTGTTGGGTGAGGGCATGCTCCCTGGTTCATAGACAGCCTTCTCCCGTGAACTCACCTGCAGAAGGGGTGAGGGAGCTCTCTGAGGTCTCTTTTCTCAGGGCACTACTCCCACTCTTGAGGGCTCCACCTTCACGACCTAATCTCCCAAAGGCCCCACCTCTTAATACCATCACATTGGAGATTAAGTTTCTACATATGAATTTTTGGGGGACATAAATATTGAGTCCATAGTAGTGCACACATGTATATACTTATTAAAAAGTAGTTCATATTCTTTGGAAATGTATAGTGTATGTTATAATCCCTTTTATATTTGCTATTAACAATTTGAGGTTAGAGATCTTATTAATAGAAAAGTGATCATGTTGTAAGCCATATTTATACCTTAACTTGTGAAGAATTCTAAACATTTTGAGTTAATGGACTTAGAGAAGGGAAGATTTGTCAATTCAACAATATAAAGACAATAATTTGTCATGTGCAAATACAAGGATTCATTTGTATGCATAAAATTCTAGTACTTTTCAGAGTCTGAACTAGTTAATTTAATTATTCTTTTCTAACAGGTTTATTTTTTACAGTTCAGGAGTCAGATCTGCTTGTTACTTAATAGTTTTAAAATTGTTCAGAGGTATATTAAATAAAAAACTTAAAGTTTTATCTTCTAATTTTAATATCAGATGTCAATATTTTTAATAGTTTGCAAGTTATGTGGATATCTGTTCTGTGTTATTAAAACTACAGAAAATGTTCTTTAACTTTTAGTACTTTTTTTGTCTACAGATATTAAAATGCATGCTGTGGTGAAAAAGTTGTGCTTAATTGACAAGATAATTGAGTATTTAAACGAATGTGTGGGTGAGGATGGTGAGGTAAGACTACTGCACATGTAGACATATTTTTATAGATTGGTATTTTTATTAATCAGATCTTAAAGTGAATTCAGCTGAATTTGCATAAGTCCTTGGAGTTTAAGTCCTAACACCCATTACCTTGTTCATTTGTTTATGTCTAAGAGTGGGACCTCTGTAAAGAAAAACTAGTCTTAAAATTTCTATATGATGTATAAGCTTGAGTATATACAAAGCTTATTTTCAGTGGAAAATAATTCTTAATATTTGTTTGCATTTTTGTTTCACACAATTTTGATAAAGCATACAATTTAGAACGAGATAATAATAAGACTATAATAAGATAATACTAGAGTCTGTTTTAGCTCACCTTAGAATTAATGCACATAGAGTAACTATGTGTTTCCTTCTGGCCAGTTGATAGAATGTCTGATCCAGCCCAGCCTCACACTCCTGAGGAAGGTTCTCTGTGCGGACCCAGGCGCCCGTGTTTCCCTCGCACAGCAGGCTTCTCTGCTGACTCTGCTGTTCAGAGGTAAATGGGACACATTCTGCTAATGGTGAAATCAGTGTTAAGCTTTAAGTGATATTGTTTAACTGTAGGAAGCATTTACTTTCCATTTAACTTACAGAATAGCAAACTTTTTAAATCACTAAAACCCATTGCAATAGAAAGTGTTCAGTACTTTTGTGGAAGCTTCCTGGTAACCCTGTTACTGTGTAGACCTTGGAGCTGGGAGAGGTTGACGCCTTCAGTTGTTCTGTGCCCGTTGGTGGAGCTGTCCTTTGGAGCTCAGACAGTACTTGTTGTCTGTAAAGAGAGAGCTGTGGCTGCAGTCACTACTGCCTTCTTTCCAGCATCTGCTTCCTTAGCCTTGTTTGTTTATGCCTTTACATCCTGAACCTTTGGTGTGATATCTCATTATGTCCTTCAATTGGCATTAAGGGTGGCTTGTAATGGTCAAGACATACATATTAAAACAAAACTAGCACAAATACAACATTTTAAAGTCAAAAGTCCAAGTTCTATGATTATATGTTTATAGGAAAGGGCAGATATTGAGATCTTTCAATGAGCAACTTTAGCCAAACCTTTAGACTTGGCAAACCTTCATAGACCCTGGATCAGTTTGCTTCCGATGAACTGAAAGTGGCCTTGGCAGTGAGGGGGTATGGTTCCTGCACCAGCAGTGTCTGTGTCCTCTGGGAGTTACAGGCTCCTCCCACACCTACCAAGCAGACACTGTTGTCACAGCCTCTTCAGTGGTTCTCAACCTTCTGGCCCTTTAAATACAGTTCCTCATGTTGTGACCCAACCATAAAATTATTTTCGTTGCTACTTCATAACTGTAATGTTGCTACTGTTATGAATCGCAATGTAGATATCTGATATGCAGGATGGTCTTAGGCGACTCCTGTGAAAGGGTCATTCGACTGCCAAAGGGGTCGCGACCCACAGGTTGAGAACCGCTGACACATATTAGAGGGTCACTGTGTTAGTAATGTCAGCTAATCTGTCAGCATTGCCTTTCTCTGAGAATGGCATCTCTTTCCTTCCGGTTAAGATATTTTAAATTTGAAGTTCATCCTTTCTAATATTTTATAACATTATGCTTCTTTTATTTCTCAGTTTCCTTGATATTTCATGAAGATTATACTGTGGTGACTGAAGTTGGAGCATTATTTTGTCTCCTATTATTTGATGAAGTATCAAGAATGGATATGTGGTGAGTGCTAAGACTTAGAAAGTTTTTTTACTCACAATTATTTATCTAAGGTTTCTGATGCAATCTTATAGCAACACATAGACATTTCTAACTTATGAAGCTTATGCTATCCATGGTAGGTATACCTCAGATGATTTTGGGTTTGAGTAAACAGTATTAAAAAACCCATTGGTTCAAAAAGTCACCCTGAATTTTTATTTTTGAACATTATGAACTACAAAATTTTAAATTACTGCAGTAATTTTTGTTAGTGATACATTTTTTAGTGCTCTGAATTTTGCATGTTTTTCTTTAATATTTTATTGTTTTAAAACCTTTGGGAAGATGTTTAGGATGATAATATCTGTTTACAACTGAGCTTGAGCAGGGTCAGCAGGAGAGGGTACCAGACCCATCTGCCAGTCCAGCACCTGCATGGTATGAATCATTTGTCATATGGACTTCTAAAGAAAAGCAGAATTTACTCTTCCTAAGCAAATCCAGGAAAGTAGCAAATTTGTTAAAACTACACTAAATGATAGAACCAGTTGCACCTAGTGAGTTAAGTTTCAGGGCAGTGAGACAAGCTGTATTGTTTGGCAAAGCTGTGGTCCACTCATCTGTTTCCTTCTTGTGTTTTCTTTACAAACCAGGTCTGTTATTCCTCCCAGTCAACCTGCTTCGCCATCAGTCTTCAGTTTGCCGGTTTCCATTTTTAGAAGGTGACGTATTTCTTTCTTTGTTGTTCTTGAAGGAGAACTGTTGTTACAGAAATGGACATCAGAATCTGTCAGTCTGTCACAGTTTTCACCTCGCATTTAAACCATGTGACTTACAGTGTTTGAATGTTCCCTATGCTGTGTGCTTGGAGAGGTCAGTGAATGTATCTCTGCAGATGTTTCTACAAAAAAGTTGGAAGAATTAGACAGTGAACACTGGCATAACTTCCAGCCTAGATTTAGCAGTTGTTAACTCATGGGCCTCTTCTCTCTTACTCTCTCTCATATATTTATTTATATGTAATTTTTTTCCTCCTAACCCAGGGGTGGGCAAACTTTTTGACTCGAGGGCCACAATGGGTTCTTAAACTGGACTGGAGGGCCGGAACAAAAGCATGGATGGAATGTTTGTGTGAACTAATATAAATTCAAAGTAAACATCATTACATAAAAGGGTACGGTCTTTTTTTTTTTTAGTTTTATTCATTTCAAACAGGCCGGATCCGGCCCGCGGGCCGTAGTTTGCCCACGGCTGTCCTAACCCATTTGAAAATAATCTTCAGACATACTTTTATTTACCTCCTAATTATTCTAGCATGTACCTCCTTAAATCTTAAATTAAGGACATTTTCCTACATAACCACAAGTGTATAAATTATGAGTATTGTTGATAATTTTTTCCAAATACGCCATGTAACTACCATGCAGATAAGATAAGGAACATTGCCAGCAATCTAGGAAACCCCTATATGCTCCTTCATTACTTTCCACCACCCACACAGGTAATTCTATCTTAATTTCTGTTACTATATGTTATTTTTGCTGGTTTTGCACTTTATAAATAGGGTATATTCTTGTGTTCAGGTTCTTTTGCTCCACGTGGAAAGATTTGTCTGTCGGTCATTTCCATTGCTCTGTAGGGTTCAGTGTAAGAATGTGCAGCAATGAACTTGTAATTCTGTCACCAATGGGCATGTGCTTTGAGCACACATGGGTCAGAGGGTATTTATGTTTAGTAGATGCTTTCAGACAGTATTCCATGTGGCTGTAGTCGTTTCCGTTCTCAGCTGCAGTGTGAGTGCCAGCTGCTCCACACTGTCACCAGCTTTGGTATTTGCATCACCTACTCTTTTTTTCTTTGTGTAAGAATGTTCATAACAACCCTAGTCAGTTTGGCTCAGTGGGTAGGGCACTGGCCTATAGACTGAAGAGTTCCAGGCTTGATTCTGGTCAGGGCACATGCCCAGGTTGCGGGCTCGATCCACAGTAGGGCGGGTGCAGGAGGCAGCCCATCAATGATTCTCTCTCATCATTGATATTTCTCTCTCCCTCTCTTTCCTCTCTGAAATCAATAAAAATATATTTAAAAAAAGACTGTTCATAACAGCTTTGCTGATAGTAGCCAAAAGCAAGAAACATTCCACATATCTAACAATAGGAAGAATTGATAAGTGACTGTGCTACATTCATACAATTGTACACAATCTGTGGAAACTATTCTTCACACAACAACGTGAGTCTCATAGACCTAATGTTGAGTGAAAGAAACCACAAAAGGGCATATATTATAGATTCCATTTACTTAAAGTTCTTCAACAGGTAAAGTTGACCTATGGTGAGAGAAGTCAGAACAGTAGTTACCTCTTGGAAGAGGGTAAGGAGAGTAGTTAATTTACAAGAAAAGGAGAAAAATAAACTTTTTGAGATGATGGATATGTTCTGTATTTATTCTGGGTGGTCGTTACACATGAATACATATAAAAAAATCCATCGGGCTGTATACTTAAAATTGTGTATTTTAGAGGTAAGTAAATTGTATCTTAACAAAGCTTATTAATTTAAAAATACCATTTCATTGCTTGGTAGATATATTACATGTAGTCTAATTTTCACTGTCGTATAATATTCTGTTGTTAGACTCTAGTACAGTTTGTTCCTTTTCCTGTCAGAGAGTATTTGGGTTGATCCTGTGTTTTTGCTGCAGTATACACTCCTCTAAACAGTATTGTATATGTCTCCTGATATATTTGTGCAAGAATTCCTTTTGGATACATTCTTAGTAGTAAAATGTCTTGATTGTATACATCACCCATTCTTCATGGTCTTCAGGTTTGGCTAAATAATAAAATACACAACTACAGTAGGTCATACTTAGAATGAGATGACATGTGTGGTGCTGGGAGCTGTCTTGGCATAGAAGCCCCGTGTCCCACTAGAAAAGATGATGTCTGGTCAGTGTGCCCAGGCCTGCTCTCCAGGTCCCCACAGCATGTCACTGAGCTACAGCACTCGGGTGCTCAGAACTGTGGCTTCCCGCTATCCCACATCTTCCAGTACCGATGCAGGGAGTCATCCTCACTCTCTGCAGAGCAACTTAGTAAGATTGTTGACATTCTACATCTTTTTGGTTGTCTGCTTGTCAGGAGCCAGAGAGTTTGCTTAAGACCATATTTGTCCACAGGGAAAAAAAAGGGCTTTGTTATTCCTTTACTCATAGTAACGTTATTTTTAAAATCATTGCCCATCTGGTAGATGTGTAGTGGTTTCTAAAACTGGTCATGATGTAGTACCCTTTGCTTTTTATCATTTTCTTCCTCCTACCTTCCTTAGGTTTAATTTGCAGTTCATGTTCTAACTATTAAAGGATTGTCCTTTGATTGACAGCCTCACCTCTTTTCCTTTAGTACCAGTCCTATCAAGTAGACTCCTGTTCTGGGTCCTTTCCACTTAGCCCCATGAGTCTTTATTACTTTCTTCTTTCTGGCACAAAGAGATGTCCCAGGTTCACCTTCGATTTCCCTGTCTCAGTCCTAGCATTAGCCATTTCTCTAAGGAGCCCTGGTTACTTTTGTGGAAAATTCCAATTTTTAAAAAGCATTATTTCTATTTAAATTATCAATCTTATTTCTATATAGAGAACTCTACCTTAGCCTCTTTTATTGAGATGCATGAAATGAAAAAGCACACAAAATTTCCCTGTAGAAATCTTACCTGATTGTATTTATCTAACATTAGTCATAAATACATGAATTAGGGATTTGGGATATGTTTTATTAGCAAAATTATTCTTTAACATTTGAACGTGCTAGGCATTGCTGTCCTGTTAAACATGGTCAGTTAACATTGATTGGTTTAAGAGATGTATATGGCTGTGAATCTGTTTTTAGATCTAAAAATATTTCTGGGTTCTCTTGGTGACACACAATGATTAAGTGTATTGGTGTTGCAATTATGTTCGCAAGTGAAAACATAATTCTGTCAGGCTGTGATTCTGTCCCTTAGTGGTCATGGTGATCATTTTAAATATCTGTAAAATGGGTATTACATCGCCATGGCACATAACTGAATAAATGGTAGATACTATACAGTGTTTTACATAAAGTAGGCATTCATGTTTAGCTGAACACCTGTTATGTATGGCTCGCTGTAGCCATAGGGCTTAGTTTCAAGGGGCATTAGTTATATCTGCAAACAAGGCTGATACAATATGGAATATGGTAAGTCCACAGGAAAGAGTTTAATATAATGGCTTTGGGAGGTTAGAAGAGGTAAAAGAATAATTGGAAACTGATCTCTGGGTTGCTGTAGAATGGGAGGCACAGAACTAGCCCTTGTTTGTGGCTCATTCTTTTGAGAGGCATTAGAGCTTAAAATATTTTAATTATTTGTATACATTTTTTTTAGGTATCACCTACCAGTACATGTACTTGGCCACCATGCTGTGAGTCCTTACTCCATAGTGTTGCCGTTATCTGCTGATTGTTTGGCCCTGAAGCCAGTCTCAGATATGCTTCGAATAGCTTGGAACCTCTCCTGGTATCATGGGACTGAGAATCTGTTGAAGCAAATGAACTCTGAAACGAAAATCCAAGAGTAAGCTGTTACATTTAGTTGAAAAATATTTACATTTACCTAACTAGTTAGGTTTTATTTTTCCTTTCGATTAAGTAGGTGTTGTTTTTTTTGAACTTACTGTCATCTGCTCCTGCTTTTGCACTGAAGATTATAATTTTTACTGTATTTTAAAGATTACATTACATTGTTTATTACTTTTTAAAAACTATCACACAAGGGAAAAGAAAGAGCACCTATGCTGTTTTAGAGATTATGCAGAATTTGTTTTAGTTAATTGATGTAAATCACTAGGAAAAGTGCTCCGGATCAAAGTAAAAGGTCAGTAAGTATATGTAAGAGTGTTGTCATGACTGTGATGATGATGATAATTGCTTCTGAATATATTACTGTTCTAATCTGTCAGTTCTTTCTTATTTGAGTGAAAATTACTTTATGGTTGTGTAAGCAGGAAAACGTCAATGTAAATACTGTACTTAGGATACTAGTATAAAAGCCTAATATTGGCAGATACACACCATATTTTCTTTGGGCTGTGAGTCAACCTTTAATTAAAAGAAAATGAAAAGAAAACAATTTTTTGGTAAGAGTTTATAATAAAAGTGAGCTTTTATTTCAATAGCTTTATGTCACTCTTTCTTTTTTCAATTTGTATAGATTCTTAGACACACTGAACTTATCCTCAGAGGACACCCTTACTCTGAAGGTGACAAACACAGCCAGTGGCCTGCAGGACTGTCTCCATGCTGTTGTTCAGGCTGCCGCCCATAGAGAAGTGAGGGCTGCTGTCACCAGCATGAGTTTTTACTTTCTGAATGACAGATTGTCTTTCAAGGGGGGCACTAGCCCATGTGGGGCTGCCTTGAAGTTCTTGGCTTGGCATACCGCACTAAACAGGTCAGTGTAACCTCAAGTCGACCCGGTGCAGAGACCTGGACTGAATTGTGTTTGGGTCCATCTCCATACCTTTGAAGATAAGAGCATGTATTATGAGAGAAATGCTTTTATAGAAAGAAAAACCTCAGGATTTTTGTCATCTGCAATAAGTATCTAATAAGAGCAAAAGAGAAAAAAAAATATAACTGAATCACTGAATTTTAGAAGGAATTACTAATAAACTTACAACAATTTTAAAAATATCCTTATCATGGGCAATTTTGTTATCTTATAAAAGTAAGTGACTAGGCTAAGACATGAATGAACAAACAGAATGTTTATTCCTGCCCATATTATAAATAACTCAAGGACATCAGTGGATTGGTGAATAGGTTTGGTACTCTTGTAGCAGGCTGTTTTATTTTGTTTTGCCCTTTCTTCCCCCCACCCATAAGTATATGATCTAATTTTTCTTTTTATTGTGAATATCATGAAGTTGATTGCCCAATGTGCAAGTCCATTAGTAGCTATGGGAAAGGCTCTAGCTCAGGGGTGGGCAAACTTTTTGACTCAAGGGCCACAATGGGTTCTTAAACTGGACCGGAGGGCCGGAACAAAAGCATGGATGGAGTGTTTGTGTGAACTAATATAAATTCAAAGTAAACATCATTACGGGTACGGTCTTTTTTTTTTTTAGTTTTATTCATTTCAAACAGGCCGGATCCGGCCCGCGGGCCGTAGTTTGCCCACGGGTGCTAGCTTGTCAATATAGCATGTTTAACTGGCAGCAGATGGTTGCAACAAGACTGAGAAGCAGTGATTGGCAGCAGTTTTACATTTTAGCCCATGTGACTCTAGTACAGTGGTTCTCAACCTTGACTGCACATTAGAATCACCTGGGAATCTTTAAAATCCTGATTTCTGCGCCTCATCCTCCGGAAATTCTGTTTCTTTGTTACTAATGTTGTGGCCCCTCCCCATAACAAAGAAACAGAATTTCCGGAGGATGAGGCCCAGAAATCAGGATTTTAAAAAGATTCCCAGGTGATTCTAATATGCAGCCAAGGTTGAGAACCACTGCTCAAGTAGAACATGGGTAACTTTCTCATTAAACATGAAGTTTGCTAACTCCTTTATTTAGATTAGCTGTCACGATTTAGTTTGCTTTTCTGGTGGCATGCTGGAGCCAGCCAGCACTGCCTTGTGAGAGCCGATGCTTACATTGTCTGGAGTCTTGCAAGTTAGTTGGTTTAAAGAGAGCCCCTCTTTAACATAAATTATGTAAACTTAGAATTAAATATGTTAATGAAAATAAAGGTAATGATTATACAAAAGTTATTACTTCCCAAGTGTTATTTTATAACACTTCACTACTATTATCTCTGCTCGAGTTTATTTGTACCTATTACATCTATGATAGAGAAAGGCTGCTGTGCATGTCTCCACAGATCTGTGTCACACTGTGGCTTGCAGTTGGCCATGGGGGTATTTACACTATGGAAATGGGCAAACACAACAAATCAGCATGCCACTTCTCAGCTGGATTGCTAAATATTTATCAACACCACTTTAAGAGCTAGAAACCATAATTATTGTCTTCTTTGTTATAGGTTTTTACAAGTGCTTCCTGCTTGCATTGAAGATGAGAAACTGCTAATAGATATCATACATTTTTTAAATAAGTTATTGAAGGAGCAAAGAAAAAATTCATCAGTGGAACTTCTAAACTGGCTTCTAGAATTACTTCTTAGACCTGTAAGTGTTGTTAAGGAATTTGGGTTTTAGGTGCGACAAGTGATTTATTTGAAAATCATTAATACTATATTATGGAAAAGTAAAATATTTATAGAGCCTTGCTAAGTGAAGTGCTACTCATGTTGTATTAGAGGGCTCATAGAAACATGGCCTTCTTGATGTGGTTGTGACCAGTTGTATTAAATTAGAAGTCTACATTAGATGAATGGGACTTTTAAGTCTTGCTGTTTATAAAACCTATTCTCTTGGAGTTTTCTGCTGCAGCTGTATTTTCAAGTGGGGATCTTGGGGTTGGGGGAGTGCAAATAGGGATGTGAGAGACAGGGAGCCAAGCCAGATAGAGGCAGTGAGGGTATGTGAAGGAGAGAAGGTGGGGAGAGTGAGTGCAAAGGTGCTCAGGCTTTAATGTAAACTTGCCAAGAAGCTAGCTCACTATGTACTGTTGGTTTATGTGTGTTTTTTTTTCCCCCAACACCATATGAATTTACTTAACCCTGCAAAAATAAACCTTTTTGCAAGTAATCACACAAGTAAACCCCCACATAAAAATTAGAAAAGAGGGCCTAAACTGATAAAGAGGATAGTAGACATTATAAGACACATATATTTTAGAGTGGCAGGGAGAGGGAAAGACAGAGAGAGTGAAACATTGATGTGAGAGAGACACATCGATTGGTTGCCTCCTGCACATGCTGTGACCAGGGCTGGGGATCAAGTATGCAACCGAGGTATGTACCTTTGACTGAAATCGAACCTAGTAGGTACCCTTCAAGTCCACGGGCCAATGCTCTATCTACTGAGCCAAACTGGTGAGGGCTATTACAAACATTTTCATTCTAAGGCACTTTAGGAATTTGTTGCTCCACTAATCTATATTTTCATATAATGATACTTTGTTAATATATAAAAGAGCCTAGAAGTGGTGAGTTTGAACACCTTTCTTGACAGAACGAGTTTTTGGTGGAAGTTTGTAAAAGTGGGACCATAATTTATTTGGGGGTGGCTATTCAGAACTACACTGTGTATGTCTCTCTTTTGGCCACTTTCACAGGCACATGTGCATTCAGAGTTCATGGGGGCATTGCACATTCTACTGTTGTAGTTTGCTGATGGGTGGAAAATTGGATATGATGGATGGAAACTGTGTGCTTAAAGAAAATGAACCATCATTACAGAAATTGTTACCTTTTGGAGCTTAGCAGTGACACAACAATGACCCAAGTAGTTGGTTTAAAATTAGGATTGACTACTAATGTCTAATGACAAAACCTTCAGGTAGGATTAAGCACTTGAGGTTACTAGGTAGAAACATCTATTCTGCTCTCTTTTGTGCTTGAGGAGTAGTAATTCACCCTATATTTTACAAGTGATGCTGCTGAGGTTCACTGAATCTCAAAGTTAACATGTGAATCCAAGATAGGTTATAAAGGGGAAAAGTATCAGCAGTTTACTAGTAAAAACAAGTTATAAGTAGAATGAGATTCTTTGGAGGAATTTTAATTTTAGGTTATACATACTGTATCAGTATAGTCATATAAGGTTATATTTTACCAAGATGGATTTTGCATTAAAATAACTCCTTCATTTTGTCAGTGTGTATGGGAGTTGGAGGCACTGTGGGTCTAAGTCTGCCTTTGGCTATGTGGGGCTAAGAATACTATAGAATATATATTTATTTTTATGATTTTATCGAATGCAAATCTTGATTGTTTTATTCATATACTAGAGACCAGGTGCAAGAAATTTGTGCACTCTGGCCGGGGGTGGGGGTGTGGGGGGGGTCGGTCCCTCAGCCCCATCTGTGCCCTCTCACAGTCTGGGAACCCTGCGATTAATCGCCCCAAAGAGGTAAGCCCTGCTCACCCGACCAGGGCTCCACCATGGATCACCCCCCCGCCCCCCCTGCAGAGGGAAGCCCCGCCCACCTGCTGCAGCCCACCAGTCTGTGTCCTGGGCCTCCCTCTTTGGGGTGATCATGGAGCTCCCCTATTGATCAATCGCTCTGCCAGCTGGTGGCCTGGGCCTCCCTCTGCAGGGCGCTCATAGGGCGATGGTGGCCCCCCCACCCCCCCGCCAACCAATTGCATTGCACCCGTCTTGGCTGGCCTGGCACCAGTGCGTGTCATAGCATGGTGGTCTGGAAGGTCGTATGGATGGTCATTCTGCTGTTTGGTCATTCAGTCAATTTGCATATTATGCTCTTATTATTATAGATGAAACATGAAGTTATAGTTATGTTTCATGTACTTTTACTGGATCCAAATGAGGCAGTTCTTGCTCAAGATGAAAGGAACAAGTGGTAGAAAAAACTGCTTAGGTGTGAAACAGTAAATTAAAAGCAAAACGTCTCTGCCCAGTTCTTTCCAAAGGCTCTCAGTTATATTATTTGCTATTGTGTGTACCTGATTGAAGTATACTCTACACCAGTGATGGCGAACCTATGACACGCGTGTTGGAGGTGACACGTGAACTCATTTTTTTGGTTGATTTTTCTTCGTTAAACGGCATTTAAATATATAAAATAAATATCAAAAATATAAATCTTTCTTTTACTACGGTTGCAAATATCAAAAAATTTCTATATGTGACACAGCACCAGAGGTAAGTTAGGGTTTTTCAAAATGCTGACATGCCGAGCTCAAAAGTTTCGCCATCACTGCTCTACACGCTACATATGTAAACAACTTAGAATTTTCTTCATTTCTTATTCCTGAAGAGAATGTGGTTATTTTTGAATTGAGTTCTTTAAGTGAAGGATTTTAGAACAGCAGTAATTACATTTTGACTTTATCTCTCTTTGTACGTTGTATATGCACTGTTGATTGACATAATGCTGGGAACAAAATATTAACTACCTTTGCAGTAAAAAGGTTCTGAGATTAAATTCTTGTTCTGCTAATTCTTATCACTTTGGACAGATTACTTGACCTCTTTATAAACCTCTGTTTGCCCATGTGTAAAAGAAGAAAATGCAAGTTTTCTACTTTAATCAAAAAGTTAAATGAATCTTGTTTTATTTCTTTTTAGTACACTGCTTGTGACATTATAGATGTTTGATAAATACTCTGTATATCAGTTAATGCTGGGGGTCAATATAATATTTTCCATTCTCTTGATATCATTAGAAGTCCTATTATATTTCTTTAGTTACTTTTAAAAAAAATGGAAAACAGGAAAATGTTTAAATAGCATTAATTTTATTTGTGTATTAGCCTAGGAAGTTGGCAAAGATTACAACAGTAGTGATATCAGCACTGGCTGGGATGCTGTGCCTTCTCACACCATGGGGGTTGTGTGTATCAGTACACTTGCTGTAGGGACAGTTTGGCAATGTTCATCAAAAGCATTAAGCTATTATAATCTTCGGATTCAGTTATTTCATTGCTTAGAGTTTGTAGATAGGACACGATTAGAATTGAGCCCACGATACCACCCAGTGAAATTATCAGTCACTTAACTGTTCGGTGACCAGTGTAGTAAATCATCGTGGTTGAAAAATGCCAGATATTAAAATGTTTTTGAAGAAATAATAGTAACGAAGTAAGGAAATGGTTAAATAGTGAATTTTTTTCACTTGACCTCAGTTTTGTTAAAAATACAGATTTATACAGGCTAGGATAAATGAATGGGTAGAAAAATCTGACTCTACTCACTTATCTCCCAGCCTACAAAAAAAAATAAAAATACAGATTTACAATTTTATTTATACTCACACACGCAAAAAGAGGAGTGTGTACCAGGATGCTAAAAGCTGCTTTCCCAGTGAGATATGATTGTGGGTGGTGTTTGTTTCTCTCATTATGCTTCTCTGTATTTTCCTCAGTTTTCTGGAATAGATATGCTTTCCTTTTGTTGAGATGACATATGAAGCATCCTTTGAGTGTAGACCATCTACAGGAGGTCTAGAGACCCACACCTGCTGGTTAGGTAACACAATTCTTAATTAACCCAGAACATGATGAGCAACAAAAACCTTCATAGGAAACAACACAGCTCAGCTAGAGAGTAACTATATTCTTTACCAATTTCATTTTTCAGAGTCCAAACCCTTTGTTAGACCTGCTGGTTCTGACAGAGTCACAGGCCCGAGAAGAGACAGATGACTTCCGGACGGCTGTCAGGCAACAGCTCCAGAAGGAACTGATGGCTCTTTACAACACCCTGCTGCTCAGTTTCGGGGCAGTTACTGACAGGTACTTTTGTGTCATTGAAGGTTAGAGGACGTGGATAGAGAACTGAATTCTCTTTTGATTTCCAAAGAGTTGGTTTTTCATTTGCTTCAAGTTAAGAGAAGGAAAGACTTCAGTAATCATTGTGGTGGTCTGTTTTCATTTCAGCTGAATCTCTTTTACAGCCTGATTGCAGTTTTGGAGAGTGTTTTGTTCTCTACGTTTTAGTTCTTGGTCCTCTTTTAATTCTTGACACATCAACCTGAGTGGTCATATCCATTTGCATGACTTTATGAATATTTTTGCATTAACGATTTTCAAATGTCTGTCTCTGGTTCTGACTTCCTTTTTTTATTTTTAAAATTAGGTAAATTTTACTATTTATTATGATCATTTAAATGTATACAGTTAATGGCTTTTGGTATATTCACAATGTTGTGAACTATCACTATAGTTAATTCCAGAACATTTTATTACCCCCCCCCCCCCCAAAGAAGCCCTGTACACATTAAGCAGCCCCTTCCCAATCATGCCTTACCCAAGACCATGGCAACGATTAATGTTCTTTTGTATATGGATTTGACTGCTCTGGACATTTTATACAAATGGAATCAAACAGCATGTGGCCTTTTGTGTCTGACTTCTTCCACTTAACATCGTATTTTCAAGGACCATCCATTTTATAGCACATGTCAGTGTTTATTTCTCCCTATGACTGAATAATAGTCCATGTATAGACATACCATTATGGTTATCCATTTATCTGTTGGTAAACAAATGAGTTGTTTCCACCTTGAGGATTTTAGGTAGTGCTGCTATGAAATTCATATACAAGTTTGTGTGCAAACATGTTTTGATTCTCAAGAGTATATCTAGGACTGCTATTTGTGATAAATCTATGTTTACCTTTTTGGGGAAGAGCCAAGCTATTTACCACAGCAGTTCATCCACTTTGCATTCCCTCCAGCAGTGCATGAGTGTTGTCATTTTTCTACATCCTTACCAACACTTGTTACTGTTTTATCTTTGGAGAAGCATCTATTCAAGTCCTTTTTCTGTTTTTGAATTGTTTTGTTGTTGAGTTGTCTTTATATATTCTGGACATTAATCCCTTATCAAATATATGTTGCAAATTTTTCTCCAATTCTGTGGGTCGTCTTTTCACTCTCTTGATAATGTCCTTTGATGCATACAGAAGATTTTACTTTGATGAGGTCTTCCTGTGCTTAAATCCCAAGGCTCTGCTGGAGGGAAAGGCCTGATCCCACACACATGACATTTTATACAAACTAAGGTGTTAAAGCAGCCCTGATTCAACTTAACACCTGGTTAGATCCAAAAGATCAGCCCCTAACTCATTTTATTATTATTATAGACTTAATGGTAGTAAGTCTTGTGATCAAAGGGCAGGCCATTACTATGAGAAATTATTATGTACTTCACTTTTACTAGCTCTTTTATACAAATGTTTGATATATAATCACAAATGAAGTGAATTGTGATGGCACAGAAAAATGTCTCCCATAATTAGGAGAAAAAAGTCATTAGAAACACATCTATAGATGTCAAAAATGAGAACTTTAAAGCTACCATTATAACTAATATTATTTTAAATAAGCATAATAATTATTAGAGGAACATCTGGGCAAGATTAATAAAAATATGGAGAGATGGAGACTAAAAAAACCAAATACAAATTCTACAACCAAGAATTACAATTTCTAAAATAATGACTTCACTGAATGGGTTTAACAGTAGACTAGACATAGTAAAAGAGAAGATTAATGAATTAAAACACAAGTCAATACAAATTTTACTAGAGAGGGACATCTGGGGCCTTCTGAGGTATTGAGAATGTTTCATATCTTTTTAGTATTTTTAAAAAAATCCTTACCCGAGGATACTTTTCCATTGATTTTCAGAGAGTTGAAAGGAAGGGTGGAGGGGAGAAAGGGAGAGAGAGAGTATGTGAGACAGACAGACATCTCTCAAATTGATTGGTTGTCTCCTGCACATGTCCCGACCGAGTCCAGTGATGGAGCCTGCAACCCAGGTATGTGCCCTTGACTAGAAATGAAACCCGAGACCCTTCAGTCCATGGGCTAACGCTCTAACCAATGAGTCAAACTGGCCAGGGCTAAAAACATTTTTTCTTTTTATCCTCACCTGAGGATATTTTTCCATTGATATTTAGAGAGAGTGGAAGAGAGAGGGAAAGACAGAGAGAAATATTGATGAGAGAAGCACATCAATTGGTTGCCTGCTGCACAAGCCCTGACCAGGGCCCAGGCCAGGGAGGAGCCTGTAGCCAAGGTACGTGCCCTTGACTGATATCAAACCCAGGACCCTTTGGAATATAGGTGGACGTTCTATCCACTGAGCAAAACCAGCAAGGGCAAACCTTTCTTATATTTTATTTTTTAAAATATATTTTTATTGATTTCAGAGAGGAAGGGAGAGGGAGACCGAGAAATAGAAACATCAATGATGCGAGAGAATCATTGATTGGCTGCCCCCTGCATGCCCCCTACTGGGGATTGAGCCCACAACCCGGGCATGTGCCCCTGACTAGAGTCCAACCCAGGACCCTTGAGTCCACAGGCCAGTGCTCTATCAACTGAGCAAAACTGGCTAGGGCTCCTTTTTTAAAAACTTTAGTTTTCTGTGAAAAAAATACATTTTAGTCAATTAAAAATTCAATTTTTTAATGATAGTGAATGATTAAAAGTATAGGTTTAGAATATGTCAATTAAACTCACTTAAAATATGCATTTAATTTTCATTCCAAGTTTTCATTTTTTTTGGTGTGACAATACCATTATCCATTTATGTATTTTTCAATTATTGCTGGTATTTTACATTTTATACCCGAGATGATATTTTTAACTATACTTTTTTAAACTCTTCTTTTGAGAGGAAATATTTTCTGCCTTTTGTCTTAATTCATACTTTTCTGATATAGTATTTGTTAGGAATCCTCTACCACCAGTAAGACAATTACCTGTTAAGCCCATCACACTAGTCCTGTGGCTGACTTTTTTCTTCCTTTATGTTCCCAGGAAATGCTTGGAACTTTTTTACGTTTTCCAAACACAGCTGGCTCTGAAACTGCTCCAGTGCCTGAGAGTTACGGATGCTCCTCACTTCTATGGCCTGCCTTCCCTCGAGAGGACCTTACGAGGGATGGCTCATCTCACAGCACTGCCCGGGTGGAGCTCACATTCTCCTCTTGCAAAGCCGCTCGAAATTTGTGGGAAGTACTTAGCAGGTCTCCTGGAAGTAAGTAAAAATAACCAATGACTGTAACAGCAATAACAACTCTCAAGTAATAGTTGTTTACTGTTTATTCATCACCTGTGTGTGCCAGGCACAAGTAAGTTTTAAAGATTTTTATTAACAAATATGTAGGAACATTTGTTTTAATTGTGGTACAATTTACCATCTTAACCATTTTCAGATCTGTAAATGGAGATACTGCGTACACTTTACGTGGTTAGGATTCAATTTAGATATGTCAGTAGCAAGTGATATATTTGGCCTTATTTACCATTCAGAGTAACGCTGCTATGAACTTGCTTACATTTGTTTTTCAGGTCATCACTTCCTTTTATGTGGAACGTGGAGGAAATGCTATGTCCTTCATGGGAAAGGGGGTGACAAAGAGCACGATTCTTTGCTTGCTTCACTTATCTCATGAGATGATGGCCGAGGCCCAGAGCTCGGTGAGAGCATTGCGAGCTGCCCATCTTCTGAGCAGTTGTTAGAAAAGGAATGTGCGATGTCTAATACATTTTGAGCCTATATGTTTACTATATGAAAATGTTCCTTTTGACTTTTCTTCTTGGAGACAAAAATGGCTTTTGACTAAGATGTTTCTTAGTTGCATATTACAAAAATCTGAATTTTTTTATTTGAAATCTGTTTTGGTTGAAATCTGCATTGTAAGATACATTGTTTCTAAATCACGGGGAAAATAGCTGTTCTGAAGGAAGAAAATGGTATATTTAGCTTTTTAAGGTGAAGCTAATATTTTTGTTTGCCTTGTTTTGGCTAAATTAATGAATTAAAATGAAGTCTTAAGTGTATTTTTACTTTGTTTTGATTTTTTAAAATTAAGAGTTATTTAAACTCACTATATTTTATTTTTAGAAACTTCCCTAATGTGTTTCTATTTCTTTTTCATTTTTTACATTTTAGGAGTGGATGCCACTTTGGTTCTTGCCTTTGGGGGGTCATGGTGAGGAGCACACTCCTATACAGCAAGGATTGGCTTGGCTGATTCCGTTGTGGGTGGATCGCGACCCAGAGGTCAGTCAGTGTGAAGAAAAGTTGAGTTCGTTATGGGTAGATAAAAAACAGAGGACATAAAGCATATGCATATATACATTCCTGCTTTCCAAAATGAGACCATTGTAGTGACTATAGTATAGTGATGGCGAACCTATGACACGCATGTCAGAGGTGACATGTGAACTCATTTTTTTGGTTGATTTTTCTTTGTTAAATGGCATTTAAATATATAAAATAAGTATCATAAATACAAATCTTTGTTTTACTATGGTTGCAAATATCAAAAAATTTCTATATGTGACACGGCACCAGAGTTAATTAGGGTTTTTCAAAATGCTGACACGCCAAGCTCAAAAGGTTTGCTATCACTGGACTATACCTTAAACTTTATTTAATCCCATCTTCGCTTGGGCTGTCATAACAAAATACCATAGAGTTGGGGGAGGGAAGGACTTGAAGAACAAAACCTTATTTTCTCACAGTTATAGAGGCTGGGAATATTAGGTGAGGGCTCTGTGTCTTGCCTTCAGGTGGCCACCACCTCATCAGATCAGGACCCACCCTTACGACCTCATTGAACTTTCATAACCTGCTGAAAGGCCTGTCCTCAAATACAGTCACATCAGGAGTTAAGGCTTCAACATATAAATTTTGGGGGGATATGTTTCAGTACATAACACCCCCTCTTCATCAGATTCATTAGGACACAGATTAAAAACAGAAAAAAAGATAGAACGGTGAAAAGTACTAGAAAATCCCAGCTATTTTCAACCAATTTAGAAGGATAGCTGCCAAGTGACATTTGAGTGTCATTTAATAGAATAGTCCCATAGTGCAAAGTTTTATATTAGTAACAAATTTTCTATATGGTTGTCATACAGAAAACTGTACCTATTTAACATCCACAACTTCATGTGTTTGGAGAAACTATCACATCAATGCCATAAACATATCCTTCACCTCTAACAGTTTCCTCCTGCCTTCTCTTTGTTTGTTTGTTGAATTTTGTGATTAGCAAATGTTTAAGTCTGTAATACAGTACTGTTAACTATGCACATTGTCCATTAATTTCAAGCAAGAAATGATTATATCCTATTATACTAAAAACTTTGATTTATAGAGCTATTTGATCTGAACCTAGAGGTTACATTTTTTTAGACACATTGAACTTGGACTTCCTGCAAGTTTCTCCCATGAACTTGTTGCTGGACTATATCATGACTACATTTTTTTTGTTGTTGTTGCTTTATAGTTATCAGTACAATCCTATTTTGGGGATCAGAAGTCAGAAATTCACTAAAATGCATAACTTGAGCAGCTGTGGTACTAGGGGAAACCTAGTACACCACATCAATCTTATTTGAAACATTTAAAAAAATTATTTTGGGTAGAATACTAAATGTCTTATAAAAATAATTTCATTACTTCTTTTTGAAAAGAAGGTTCAAAAAAGTTAAAACCATTTATTTGAAAGAGACACTAAGGAAGGTAGAACAAAATAATTGGTAGTCTCTTTAAAAATGAGGAAGAGACAGGAATTGGTTCATTAAAGATATGTGAGTGCTCTATGCTTTCCCTAGAAAAAAGTCTTGTGAGTTAATATTTTTTTTTCTAATTTATACCTGGTTTTGATTTTTTTGTGACATTTGCTTTTATGTAACTTTCCCCCCGCCCCCATATTATTGCTTTCTTGAATCGTGGAATAGGATTTTATTCATTCATAAGCTTATATAGGGCACTGTTTTCTACCAGTGTCTTTTATAATTTAGGATTGTCAAGACAATGTCATAAAAGTATGATATCTTATGTACCAGAAAAATTAAGAATTTATATTAGGGAATCAGATTCTTTGATTTGACAATCTTTTCTTTTAATTTTTAATTTTTATTTTTTTATCTTTATTGTTGAAAGTATTATAGATGTCCTCCTTTCCCCTGTCTCCCTCATTGAACCCCTCTACCTGGCCCCGACCCCCTCCCCAGGCCTTCACCACACTGTGGTCTGTCCATGGGTTGTGCACATATACATATAAGCTCATTGGTTAATCTCCTCCTGCCTCCCCACTTCCTTATCTTGAACAGGTGAGGTTCACTTCTCTGGGATTAGGATCTGCACTGACCACCCTAGAAACTGGCTGTGTGGCCTTGGCCAACAGCTGTCAGAACATTTCTGGTGGGCTCTGGGGAACTGTGGTGAACATTCTTCTGGACCAGTCAGAATGCAGCATGGTGCGCCGGGAGGTAGGCCTGTCTGTCTAGCACCTCCTCCCCTTTCCCTCAGAAATGCATGTGTGGTCCTGTGATCATACCAACTCCCTATTGAACACGGTGGACTGACCCCTGACCATCATCTCTTATGCCTGCAAAAATCCAAATAAAATGGTACTAGAGAATGAAAAAAGTATTAATTCACAGTAAATATTGGAGTCCTTTAATCTGATAAGGTCAAGGCAGAATTTGGTATGTTTTTTTTTTTTATTTATTTTTTTTATTTTTATTTTTTTTATTTTATTTTATTTTATTATTTATTTTTTTTATTGCTTAAAGTATTACAAAGGGTATTACATATGTGTCCATTTTATCCCCCCGCCCTAGACAGTCCCCTAGCCTCCCCTATCCCCCAATGTCTTATGTCCACTGGTTATGCTTCTATGCATGCATACAAGTCCTTTAGTTGATCTCTTACCCCCCTACCTCCTGCCCCGCAACCCTCCCCGTGGTATGTTTTAATAAACTCTTTTATTTTATTATACGTTGGAAAGGTTTATAGGAAAAAATACTTTTATGTCACCTAAGTGTTTATGGGTCGCTAATGTTTGTAAGCTTTAGTTAAGGAGCCATCTAAATACTAGGTAGTATTTATCATAACGTGTAAGAGGAAAAGTAAACTTTATTTTAATTCTTCCAAATAGTTTGTGGATTTTTTCCTTTCTCCTATTATTAAAATGATGATTGATGCAAATAGTTTAAAAACAGTAATCAACTCCTGCTTAGGGCAGATAAAAAAAACAGCAGCTCCTGGGTTCACCCTTACGTGGCCTGTTCCTAGTTACAAATCCAAAGGCTGCTTGCTCTTTAATGGAATGTTAAAAACGGTAGTGTCCTCTTGATTGACCAACTTTAAAGATTATCTCTTGCCTTCCAGTTAAGATGGTTGAAAATTTCATTCTTTGGATCCCCTCTGTTACTCATAAGTTAGCAAATTTTATTGAGAGGATCTCCTATGAGAGAGGGGAAAAGACAGGGTGAGAGGTGTGTGTATGTGTGTGTGTGTGTACATAGGTGCATTTAGTCTGTAGGGGATAATAGAAACATGAACATATATTTCCTAAATGCTACCGCAACAGTTTATATTTTACAGATTACTTTTTTGAAAAAATAAAATTCTGAGATGGAGGAAAATATGTTTCCCAATGAAATCATTTCATCCACTGTTAGGTCATCATCTAACAGGAATGCAGTTTGATGTTTCTCATAATGTTTGTGTGTATGACCTGTTGACATGTGCAGTTGACTCATGATATGTGTTTTTGTTACTAAATTTCGATATGTTGGTTATTTCAGAGGTGGCAACAAGATGGCAGTATTGACTTCTTTTTTTTTTAATTTCAGGCTGCCTTTATTCTTCAGAATCTCCTTGTAATTCCAATGCCATCAGTAATTGTAAAGGATTATACTTGGCAGGTGGGTGACTTTAAACAATGGTCTACCTAGTAGATAGTTGAGATTAATTGATGTTAGTTTCAGCATATATATATTTCATTACTGGTGAATTTTCATACAAGGCAACAGGATCTCTTAAAAGAAAATGTAGAAATTTTCCTAATGCTTGGTCAGATTTATAAATTCTGCTCTGTAGTGGTAATTTTATTATTATTATTTTTTCATCCTCACCCGAGGATATGTTTTTACTGACTTGACAGGGGGGCGGGGGGTGAGGGTGAGGGAGGGAGGGAGGGAGGGAGAGGGGGAGGGAGGGAGGAAGAGAGAGAAAGAGAGAGAGAGAAATCAATTGATCAGTTGCCTCGTGTATGTGCTCTGACAGGGAATTGAACCTGCAACCTTTTGGTGACACTTCAACCAGCTGAACCATCCACTAGGGCTGCAGTGGTAAAGTAATTTTAAACAGAAATAAGAGCTCACATGGTGTTTATTATGCACGTGTTACACAAGTCGTCATGTCTATTTGGCTTCTTTATCTAAAATAGTTGCTGAATGTTTAGCATTTGTGACCTAAGCATTTTTGAGGAGTGCAGCCTACTTAGTTGCTGTGATACTCTTTAAATAGGTGTGCCTATTCTCTCATGATTAGATTCAGGTTCCGTAGTTTTACAGAGAAGCCATGGAAGTACGTGTTCTCAGTGCAGTGTATCAGGAGACCTGCTTTCTCTGACCCATTACTGGGCATGCTCACTTTACTCACTTGGTTGAGGTAAAGTCCCCTGTGTTATTCATTGTGGAGTTATGGGAGATACTTTGAGACTGTATAAATGTTTATTTCTCATCAATTTTTCATTAGTTTTAACTTTTTTCCACTCGAGATTCTTGTCTAAAGCAGTTGTTACAGAATGATTGCCAAATGGTGATTTTCTAATTCCATCATTTCTTCTACGTTTATTACATTTTACTCTAAGGAAGAGCTTTCCTTTGTTCCCCATTTATGTTTTTATACACTTTTTTTTAAATTTATACCAGTCCGAACTTCAGGAAACTTAGTTTGTTCCATGGGTTATAATCTGTTTTTGTCATTATTTATTTAGATATTTAAATTGTTCCAGATTTGTCCAAAAGGAGCCCCTTCACGAAGAGTCTTGTGTCCTTTTCACATGTCTTCAGTAGTCTTCCTCACTTTCTGGTACAGCAAGATGTTCTAGACTTTCCCAGCCCCAGCGTGGAATTAGACATCTGCTCAAAAAGCCTTGATTTCTGTTGATAGAGATGTGGGTTCTAGATAAGCTCATTGTTGGGGGGAGGGGGTGGATGTCATTATTTCCGTGCATTCTTAGTGGGCACAGCTGTAAACTGTCTGCATACGTGTTTGTGTGTGTTTTAGATAGTGGTGATTTATAGTCATATAAGTATAGATTATTTTCATATTCAATGTGATAATTATCAGTGCACATTTTTCATTCTTTAATGTATTCATCACAAGTCATGAGTATTGATTTAACAAAACAATAAGTACTTAGAGAAGCAATATCATCTTAACTATATTCATAATTTATATGTAGTTAAGGTTTTTTTATGTAATTAGGATCATTTTTCCAATTTCTTGATTGCATTATAGCATTTAAAATTTTTCTTATATATCAAAATATTTTTTTTTCTCCTGGAAAATATTAATTCTCTGTTCACAAATGTAATGTTTATTTTGTTCCCATTTCCTTCTGAATCATAGCTAATGGATATATTAGAACTCTGATGCTGGGAGTAAAATATTTTTTAATATTAATATTATAGCTTATTACATCCTTGAAAATAATATTTTCAAATTAGATATTCTATGACATAATTAATTTTTTTCTTCACAAATTCATTTGTAATGGCACCTAGTGATTTGAAGGGTTTTCTTGCTTTACGTACTGTCCTTCTCCGCTTCCCTGGCAATTCTGCAGATGATCTGGCAGCCCCAGCTCTCACCTGAGGGCAGGGCTGGTAAGAATATAGACATCCTGAGTCAGAGCAATTGGACTGAGCTGATCTCCCCAGTGCGTGGGATGACAGCCCCATCAATTATTGGTGGACCTGTGGAGCGAAGCCTGGCCTGTGCATGAAAGGCTCCATTGTTCTGGCCCTTGTAGCATTAGTCATCGGGAAAGCCTGAGTCAGGCCATCTTTGTGCGTATTCTGGGCTTGGCTTCACAGCCTGAGTAAAGCTCTGTTGTTAATATGCTATTGCCACTAGGAAGCTTGGGCCTGTGGAGATTCAGGCTTAATGTTTAGTTAAACTAAATCAAATGAAAAATGAATAATGGTTGGGTAATATGTATATATTTCAGATCATTTGGTTTTCTTTGAGAAGTTAAAAGTATTTTGAATGAATTTACAATGAAATTCACTATCTCTCTCCATTCACAGAGACAGCTTTGTCTCCTACTGATTTTAATTCTTCAGCATGTTTGCAATAATGTTTGTTCCTGTGCTGTGTCGACACATAGAATTTAGCTCATTTAAACAATCTCCTCCAATATAGTTCTATTACCTTCTTACTTTCTCCACTGGTCGCCTGCTGTTTCTGGTCCTGTTATCTATGGATCCCGTCTCTTAGCTCCACTTAGAAGGCAAGAGGATGTGGCTAAGATGTTCCTATCCTTTTATTAGTAGCTTCTCCCCATTTCTGCTAATCTTTGCCAGTTTTATCTTTACTTTTACTTTGTGAAGGCTGGTTGCATTTACATTCTCTTCTGCAGCCTCCTTTTATCTATGTAGGTTGATTCTAAAAAGTGAAAACCAGTAATTCGCTACAGATCCACTTAATTGGGCTGTGGTTACACTTTCTAATCTCTGCTTCCAGGACCATGACCACTCTGGCCTGTGTGTGTGTGATTAAAAATATTTATTTGGGTGATTTTTTCCAAACCTTAACATTTTTATTTATTTATTTCTTGCACTGTGAGTTTATATCATATCTCAAGTTTTTCTAAGCTGTTAATCATCCTTTTTCTTTAGTTATAATTTCCTGGTGGGAAGTGTGCATCGGTGCCTGTGGCTGTTCCCCTTGGCAGGGTTAGTTCAGCGGAAAGGAAAGTGGCAGACAGCTTTCACTGTGAATATTGAGGGGCCATGTATTTTATCTAGCTTATTCATAGGTATGAAGACTAATTGTGAATGTAATTACTTGGACCACGTTATTTCTGATATTTTAATACTTACTGTTTTGTGTAGGTTGTAAAGTAGCTTTTTGAGTTTATGGCTCAAGTACATAATTACTTGATTAAAGTTGCACCATTTTATAGAAGAATTTTAAATAAAATGGCCCCTCAAGAGATGGAGTGGAGCCTCTGCCTTCAGTGGATCATTAGGCCGCAAAGACCTAGAGTGCTGGGAAGTAATGCCCTCAGTCTGCTGCACAGGACAGGCAGGGGAGAGGCCAGTTCGCACCTGGGGAGTGTAGGGAGACAGTGAGTCTTTTTGATGAAATCATGTGATAATTCACTGTCTCTCTTTCTCTCCCTCTTTTCCTCCAGGGCCCCTGTGTCCATGATGAGGACTCTGGTCTGTCGCTGGTAGGAAAGCCTGCGCTGCAGGCTCTCTTGTATCACTGCCATTTCTATGAACATTTGCATCAGATGGTGAAACATTGTTACCTGGGACTGTATACCTTTTATTCGAGTTGTTCTGCTCCTAATGGAACTTCAGAAAGCAGTGATTTAAACGGTAGGTACATTATATTTAAACTAGTGGCCCAGTGCACAAAATTTGTGCATAGCTGGGGGTTGGAGTGTCCCTCAGCCCAGCCTGCACCCTCTACAATCTGGGACCCCTCGGGGGATGTCTGACAGCCCTTTCACAATCTGGGACCACTGGCTCCTAACCGCTCACCTGCCTGCCTGCCTGATTGCCCCTAACCACTCTGCCTGCCGGCCTAATCACCCCCAATTGCTGCCCCCCCCCCCCCGCCTGCTTGCCCCCAACTGCCCTACCCCACCAGCCTGATCGCCCACAACTGCCTCCCCCCGCCAGCCTGCTCACCCCCAACTGCCCTCCCCTGCTGGCCTGCTCTCCCCTAACTGCCCTCACCTACAGGCCTGGTTGCCCCTAACTGCCCTCCCCTGCTGGCCTGGTCCCCCCCAACTGTCCTTTCCTGCAGGCCTGGTCCCCCCAACTGCCCTCCCCTGCAGGCCTTGTCACCCACAACTGCCCTCCCCTGCAGGCCATCTTGTGGTGGCCATCTTTGACCACATGGGAGCAGCCACCTTCTGCGAGGGCATGATGGTCAATTTGCATATTACCTCTTTATTATATAGGATTTTTATAAAATGTAACACCTTTTAAACTGTTAAAGACCAGTGTATTATAAGATGTTTGAAAAATAATGCCAAGTACACAGGAAAAATTGTTCTTTTCCTCTGGTCCCACTATCCAGATATTTCCTTTGTTGCGTTAGAGTGTATTTTCCTCCAGGCATCTTCCTCTCTATAGCTTTTGTTTGTTTTATATAATTGTATTCATATCTTATGTACATTTTTGTATCCCCTTCTTTCACTAAACATTGCCTAAGCATTTTTCTACATTATAAATACTTAATAGAAACCATTTCTGAAATTATATAAATGTTTCATAAGTTTTCATACCCTTCAGCAAAGTTTTATACTTTCCTCTACTATTCTCTTGAACTTTGGAAAAGTTCTTCCTAGGCAATCAAGAGTAAGACCTACTAAGTTCTCTAATTTGTTTTGCTAATATAGCAAAAGTTATTTATATTTGGCATGTTACTCATTTATCAAAATATCTTGCTGAAACTTTTTCATTTCTGTTTGTAGATTCTCTTGGAGCATAAGACCTTAGCACGTAGATAATAATTATGTCTTATATTAATTTCTAATGATTTAAAAATAAAAATAAATTTTAAAATTAATTTTAAAGTAATTTTTAAAAAATCTTGACATAATTTCACACTTACAGAAAAGGTACAAGAATTCCCAAATGTTAACATTTTATTATATTTGCCCTCATGCCACGTGTATGAATAAAATTTACTCATATGCGTACGTATGTATGTATTTTTTTTCTGAGACATTTAAGAGTAAATTGGAGACATGAAGTTTCTTTATCATGAAATATTTAAAAGTAAATTTCTAATTCACTTTTCTGCTCATTTCTTGGAAAAATTAAGAGGAAAATTATATTTGATGACATTTTGGACATTCTAAATAAATGTCCATCTCTATTAGGAAAGTGACCCATTTAATTGTTTGGATGTCTTTGGATCTGTGTTACTCAGAGGTTGGCCCTGGAGCCATGCAAATGTAGGGTCCCTCCCTGATTTGGGGAATGGACAAATGTTCTGGAATTGGACCCAGGAACTGCTGTAACAAGCTCTGTGTGATTCTTATGCACATTACATTTGCAATTTATCAAGACCTGGTGCTCTTGATAAATTGTGTTAGATTAAACTAAAGCACAGTCAGCTAATTGCATTAAATTTTCTGTTAAACAAGCTTTACATATAAATTAATTAGGCAAATAAAAATTAGGCCAACCTCATATCTTAGTTCTTCACTGGTTTCATGTGATGACTGTTTTTCTGTTAATTGTTACAGAACCCAGGAGACTATTCGTGTTGACTGTTTTCCTGTTGTCACAGGTTTGGATGACTCACTCAAGTTTTGGAGGGCTCCATCTAGAATGTCCCATCAAGACCGAGACCCTAGTTCTCTCTCCACTTCGGAAACAATGGTACTTTCAAAGAATTCATAAGTGCTTCCTTTTGAATCTGTGAAACAATTTGAATTTACATAGTGGAGAGAGAAGCCTGATAGGAATTCTAAGGTTTGTTTGGTTATAACAGCTGCAATTTACTTGGAATTCTGGCTGAGCAAATCAAGGGGCTGCCTTGCTCATGTCCCTACACTGACTATCCTTTTAGATGAGTTTTCTTCCTCTCCTATCTTTTCTGATTCAACCAAAACTTTAAATTTTTATAATAGTTGTAGAAGAGGTGAACAGATCTTAACTGATTAATAATGCTTGATTACCTTGAAATTTTGCTTAAGACCAAAGCAGTTTGGAGACACCTGACCCAATTCAAAGATTCCAGGTGGCACTAATGAACACATTTCCACACACATGCATCAGACAGAAGCTCCTCTTGATTATATGAAACTAGAGGCCCAGTGCACGAAAATTTGTGCACTTAGGAGTCCCTCAGCCCGGCCTGTGCCCTCTCGCAGTCCGGGACCCCTTGGGGGATGTTCACCTGCCAGCTTAGGCCCGCTCCCTGGGGAGGGGGCCCAAGCTGCAGTTGGACATCCTTAGTGCTGCCAAGGAGGCAGAAGAGGCTCCCGTCACCGCCGCTGCGCTTGCAGCAGTCAGTCCAGCTTGTGGCTGAGCAGAGCTCACCCTGTGGGAGCGCATTGACCACCAGGGGGCAGATCCTGCATTGAGCATCTGCCCCCTGGTGGTCAGTGGGTGTCATAGTGACAGGTCATTCCCAGCTGTTCTGCTGTTAGGGTCAATTTGCATATTGCCCTTTTATTATATAGGATACCTGGAATTTATGTATACCTGCCCTTTTTTTCCCATTCATACATTGCTATATTCTAAAAAGTTTGACACACTAAATATTTATAAATAATAAATGATACTGGTTTTCATTTGTTTTACAAGCACACAGAATCACTTATTCTCCACTGGAACACAGTATGTTTTATTGTAAAGTGTTTTTGGAACAATTACTGTGTTAGTAGACCCTAGGACAGAAAAGCTTGTCACCTGTGCTTCTAGGAGCACAACAGTATGAGAATAATAGCTATTATACAGGCATTAATAGGAGTCACTTACCACACAGTTTCTCAAGAGACTGGTACTTCTTCCTACAATTTTAATAGTTTTTTATTTTTTTCTAGACTCAAAAGAGAATAGTTGGTTTTCAGTGCTAAATTGAACCTTTATTTGGAAAAGTAGAATAATTCCCTGGTTCCACTAGATGTCATGCTTTCCTTTCCAAGCTAGAAATAGTATCTATCTTTGTCTCAATAAGAGAAATAATATGATTAAATGCAAAAAGGAGTTTATTTAGTTCACAGATGGGCAGCATTAATATGTGCTTAAAAGTAATTCTTCTTAGGTTACCCTGTTTGTTTAAAGGGCTATTGACCTAAAAAATCTGTACATTTTTCAGTTCTTTGCTCATTGTAGGTGTACAGTGAAAAGTAATTGCTCTATTTAATGTTGGGCTATCTTAGTTATTTTTGTAAATATCAAGTTGTATTTATCCTATACAAAAAGACTTAAGTACAAAAAGTGAAAGCAAATCAAACTCTTGTATTTCTCAGTTTTATAATAACATAAATCTTACAGATTAGTATACTGGATTTTCTGAGAAAAACTTTTGAAATATATTATTTGTTGTAATCAAATAGAAGCACCTCTTTTAATGTGAAAGCCTTTAACTTGTTTGTGTTAGGATGCAACATACGTTTTGAGAAATATGTAGCAATAGAATCTGTTTTTTAAAAGAAATTTTATATATAGTCCTATGTTAGATTTATTTATTGATGTTTCTTAAAAGACTGGTATTATCCATTAGAATTTTTACAGTCAACTCTTTTCTTTCTTTTTTGACTTCCAAACAGAAGAGTTTGGGCATCAGTGGCTTTTTACCAAATTAGGGATTTTTATTCACCGAAGTAGTTTAATTACCCTAATTTTGCTCATCTTACCATGCCCGACATATTCTCTCTCTCTGTCCCAACAGGAGAAAAATCTGGAGAATTTATTTATTATACCAGTATTACTTTAAACATAAGCTCTCAGTACCTAGACCAACTAAACCTTTCTCAGGTATAAGAAAATTTTAAATTTACAAATTGAAGTATCAGTTGCATGATGGAAATCTTGCCAATAAGCTTATGTGGTTATTTATATAACTGTTTAGTGTATCTCACAGTTTTAACAAAGGATGCAGTTTATTGATTGGTGTTTTGTTTTTCCATTTTGTCTTTCTAAGGAAAGCTCTATGATTGATTTGGGTCAGATCCTTAGATTATGCCATAGGGACTTGATGGTGTAATCTAACAGATATTAGTTCAGTTGCTTGGCTCTGGAAGGATTGGAGTTTTGTAAATTACACATAGAGTAAGGGGTGTCACTGTCACCTCGGGGGTATTGCCCTAGTAAATAAGCCGGTTCAGAGATGGCTACTGTCTAGCTCAGTGTCCCCATCCCCATGTAGTAGTTGTTTTTCTTCCTGAGTCACTTTTCTAGTTCTCAGAAGTATCCAAACTAGATAGGTGTTTTTACCTAGTACATACCAGTGTGCTATAACAGCTTTATGACCAAATTTAGTCTTTAAAAAAAACAAGAGAGAATAACGGAAGAACATGAGGATTGTACTATGAGAAAAGATAGGGTACAAGTCTATTCACATTTTCCCCCTTTTAAAAAATTAAATTTATTGGAATGACATTGGTCAACATGAACATATAGGTTTCAGGGGTGGGTTTCTATGTTACAAGATCTGTATATATTGCACTGTGTGCCCACCACCCAAAGTCAACTCTTCTCCTGTCATATTAGGATCTCCTCCCCTGGCGTCCTCCCCTCTCTAGGCAGAGCCAAGAGCTTCCAGCTACAGGACTGCATCTGTGGGCCAGCCGAGCTTTCCTCCCTTCCCACCTCTACGTTTATTCCCCACCTTCAATGTGCAGGTCTCTCAGGTGTGCCTCTATATTGAGCAGGGAATTCTTTGTTGAATTATATTTAGTTAACTTGTTGAAATTTCAGGGGGAGAGGCCAGGGAATCTCTTATGCTGCCATTCTCTGACCTAAAGCACCCACTCACAATTTTTAAACACAGGAAAATAGAAGGTATGAGAAGTTTCTAAGGGATTTTAGATAAGGGTTAGCCAAGAGAGCTGAGTCTGTTTTTGGCTATGAAGAGATAATATGTAATAGCTGTGAAGATACAGATAGAAAGATATTTCAGCAGAGTAAAATGGCATGAAACATTAAAATTGGCATTAGAGAATTATGGCTTGACTTTTGTTTGATGGTAATTGAAAGTTATTTCATAGACTGGAGAGCAGGCCAAGGACAATTACCTCATTTTTGCCATGTTTTAAAAATGTGAGCAGTTTTGTACCCTATCTTTTTTCATACCACAAATCTTCATTTTCTACCTTTGTTATCTTTTAAATTTTTTAAAAATAAACTGTTTAGGCACCAATGCTGCTTTTGATGAAAGAGGATGAAAGGTATTATGAATTCATTTTGACAAATAAAATATGCAACTCCTAAATGAACTTTGAAAAATTTTTAAAGTATCCAGTGAGCTCCTTTGTTTCTGTAAGGCAGAATACCAAGAAACAGTTTTTGAACATTTGATACAATTTCTTCATAAGACAAGAAATTGTTTTTAAACTCAAATTCTACTTTGATATGGTAAATGGCTTTGTGTTTCTTGCTATTTCAGAAAGATTCTCTTACAATTGTAACTGTTTATTTTACAATGAAACATGATTTAGAAATCTCCTATTTATAAGCACATTGATGAAAGATTTTTTTTTTAGTGTTTATAAGCAAAATGTGAGTCTTTTAGCTCTGTAGTTTAAGTAGCATCAGTTTCTCTGCACTGATAGGCTTTCATTGCCTCTGTAATACCAGTGTGGTGATAAGGCTACAAGTATATAGACTCAGTTCAAGTAAAACACAGTTTCATTTGTCTTATTATATGGAGGTAAATGCGAAATCTCAGGATGTGTCATGTGGCAGATGTGAAAGTGAGAGAAAGTCTAGATTGTGGTTTTGCATGTAGGCCATTTTAATGACTCAAGTCTAATGAGTTTGCGTGTGTACAAATGCACACACACAGGGTATCTGCTAAGACCCAAACTAAGAGGATTAAGTAGAGATGACTGACTATTGCTCCCTCTGGGATCTACTGGGACCCACAAAGTCTCAGTGTTCTTAACTTTTTTATTTCGGTGCTAATCTAAAAAATGTTAATGTGACTACACTGAATGTAAAATAAAACAACACATACCTGTTTATGAGTTATTTACTTAGACTGAAATTTTTCTAGGTTTATTTTTTAGATAACTTTATGTGTGTAGCTTACATTCTTGGCTACTGGTTCCTATCACTTATTTTTGTTTTTGTAAAATGTCAAACTTCAAGTGATGAGAGACGATTAAGGTCTTCAAGTTGAATGAGGGAACTTTAAAAACTGTATATTAATTTCTTCTACCATTTTCTTCCAATTTATGTTTTTTGTATTATCAGAAATTGTGAATGAATATAACCTTGGTTTTTGCTTTCATTCTATTTTATATATCAAGTCTAAGATACCCTACTTAAAGTGTTAGGATAAATACGCTATCAGTATGTGGGGAGGGTTATAGTATTTGAGTGTGTGAGGCAGGATTGACTCCTAAGTTCACTTGACAGCTCAGGCCTTCTGTGTACACCGACATGGACCTAAGGTATTTTTCACATAAGAGGTGCCAAACTCATCAGTTTGGGCTTCTTCAAATTGAGGAAGGCCACACAATCTTTTCATCTTATAAAACTGTAGTGAAATTGTGTTTTCCTACTACAGAATTTGTTATATTTAATGTTTTAAAAAAAGTTGTATTCTGAAACATAGTGTTGGCATATTGCCTAAGTTTTTAAAGAGTTTTTTTTACAATATGGGGAGAGATAAGAAAATATTTTAGTACTTATGGTAATTTTTTCATAGGCACTATTAAAATTTGTGTGTGCCATTTGAAACTTTACAAAGCTCTTTTGAGTTAAGAAATCAATAAATTAATCCAAAGAAAATGGAAACATTCACTCAAAGAGATATACCAGTATGCATCCCATGTTCATTGCAGCATTTTTTTTTTTTTTTTTCACAATAAGCAGTATATGGTGACAACCTAACTATCCTTCAGTGGGTGAACGGATAAAGAAATTATGGTGTGCCCTGGTCGGTTTGGCTCAGCGGATAGAGCGTTGGCCTGCAGACTGAAGGGTCCCAGGTTCGATTCCGGTCAAGGGCATGTACCTTGGTTGCGGGCACATCCCCGGTAGTGGGTGTGCAGAAGGCGGCTGGTCGATGTTTCTCTCTCATCGATGTTTCTGGCTCTCTATCCCTCTCCCTTCATCCCTGTAAAAAATCAATAAAATATATTTTAAAAAAAAGAAATTATAGTGTTAAGTATGCAATGAAATATTATTCAGCCATAAAAAAGAATGAAATCTTGCCATTTGCAACAACAAGGGAGGACCTCAAGGGTATTATGCTAAATGCAATAATTCAGACAGAGAAAAACAAATACCATGTGAATTCTCTTATATGTGGAGTCTAAAAATAAATAAATAGAAAGATAAGGTAATAAAAAACAAAAAATGCAAAATATCTCAAGGACACAGTGAATTTATAGGTAAAGTTGTATAGTTCAGCCTTTTAACATTTAGGTAATAAGAGAAAATAGGTCTTATTGGGACCTTAATAATCTTAATGGGCTTCAAATCAAAACCTCACTCCTGTCAGTTACTAATTTACAAAAACTGTAACAGGTCCTATAAGAAAAAGTAGAAAATGCCACTCAAGCCCTGGCTGGTGTCACTGGATTGGTTGGAGTATCATACCAAACACCAAAAGGTGGTAGGTTCAGTCCCGTCAAAGCACATACCTGGTCAGGGCGTGTGTGGGAGGCAGCAGATCAGTGTTTCTCACATTACTGTTTTTCTCTCTCTCTCCCTTTTGTCCTTTCTCTAAAATCAATTTAAAAAAGAAAAGAAAGGCCATTCAAAAACTGTGATGACTCTCAAAATATGGAACGTTTTCTAGTTCGACTAGCAAATGTAGTTTTGCCATAAACCTTCTGTTTAAGGATGTCTGTCTTGTGTATATACTGCTTGTGCTTCATTTTCCGTGTGTAACAATTTTCTTGCTGGTCCATAGGTGGCATCTTCATCGGGGAGTGTGGGACTATCATCACCGGTGACCTCAGCTGCGTCTCTCCCGGAAGCCTCACACGACCAGTTTGTGGCTCCAGGTACCCTTTAGAAAGACATTCCACTTTCAGAAAGAAAAGTGACAAGTTGGTCCAGACAGATATTTTGAAAGTAAATGTCTAGATAAGACCAAAATTAAATAAGTCCCAGAACAAAATGTCTAGATAAGAAAAAAACGAAATGTCACAGAACATGATGGAATAAATTAGAATCCATATATCAGAGAGTAACAAAACAAATACTTTTAACTAATAAATGGGAATTTGCCTTCCCAAAAATAGTCTGGCTGCCATATGGTTCCTTCTTAGTTAAACATAGATAACTGGGGAACTATGAATATAGTTAACTTCATTTTTTCCCCTCCTTTGAAAAAACACTTTAATTTATCACAGTGATTGTGAAAGTGAAGAGATTCTTATCCTGAGTGTTTTTCAAAGATTGTGCTTCCATTGTAAAGCACACAGAATCCATGGAATCTTTATTTCAAATGAGTAATGAGTAGCCTCGGACTTATTTTTGTTAATGGCAATATGTAAACTTTATACTTTGTGTTAGGGACTGCTTCCAACTCTATTATGCTTCCAAATGTATATACATGTACATGTACATATATAATTATACTTGAAGGTTATAATTTAGCATTAAATTCCTAGCCTGCAGGGAATATACTATCTAAAGAGAAGGTAATTTTAAACACTGAAGTATAAGCGTCTGCGCAGAAAATGCTTTCTAAAACTTCAGAAATACCTGCTTAAGATATTAGTCTGAATTTTTATTTCAATATTTGTTCGATAACTTCCTAAACAATTTCCCATTTTGGTTTTTGGCAGTTTATATTGACAATATACGAAAGTGTTTAATTGTAGGAAATACTTATTTGATTTTCTTGAGCTCAAAAGGAGCAAACTCAGGTTGTTCAAATAGCTGATACAGAATACAAAATAAAATTTGATAACGAATTTCATGAATATTTATCTCTAAGACTATGTTATATTACTCTTTTTTAAACAACTTTATTGAAATATAATTCAATGCCATGCAGTCCACCCATTTTAAGGGTACAATTCATTGGTTTTAATATATTCACAGAGTTGTGCAGCTGTCACCACAATCTGTTTTAGAATATTTTCATCACTCCCAAAAGAAACCATGTATCCATTAGCAGTCACTGCCCCTCTCCCGCATCCTCCCCAGCCCTACACAGTCATTAATATACTTTCCCTCTTTATAGATTTGCCCGTTTTTGGACATTTCATATACATGGAATCATACAACATGTGGCCTTTTGTGTCTGATATCTTTCACTTAGCAGGATGTTTTCAAGGTTCATCCATGTAATAGCATGTGTCAATACTTAATTCCTTTTTATTTCCAAATAATATTCTACTGCTTCAATATACCATCTGTTATTTACCCATTCATCAGTTGATGGTCATTTGTATTTGTTTCGCTTGGCTATTTTGAATAATAATGCTATGAACATTTATGTACAGTTTTTTGTGTGGACATATGTACACTTGTGTGGGTTTTTTTGTTTCATTACTCTTGATTTGGACTATTTTCTTTTCAAGGACTGTGCTTAGAATGTATATTCATGCACAGTTTTGCCTATCACCAATCTCTTCAGTGTATGTATTTGACAGAAAAAATGTTCTCACCTTTTTGTGGAGTCTTCACAGTCCTTGGATGGTGCTGGAGAGCACTGTACTTAAGTTGTCAGTGAGCCTCAACACCAGAGCAGTGTGTGGTGCTTAGATGTCTTTAAATAGTATTAAGATACAACTTCTTATAAGTGATAATGAGATTTTAGTTCCCTCAGTTGGAACGTCTGGCAGGATTTTCCAGTGCAGCTGGTTAGTCCTTTTATTTCTTATTCTGTTCTTCTTGATTAGCTTGGGGATTATCATGTCCCAGTGTGACTTAGAACAGGATAACAAGTATTTTTTCTGGCATATACATTAGGGCCCCTTTAGACATCCAGCTTTGCATTTTTAAATTTAGTTTCTAACTTTTCTAAAAGAAAATTATTTTATGTTATAAGAAAACCATTAACAGGGTCGCATGGTCTTTAAGCCTACATTTGATTTATAAAGTTCAATTACTACAAAATAAGAATGTTAGTCTATTTGAGTATTACACATATAGATAACTGGGATAATTCTGTCCAGATAAAATATAAAAATTATATTGAAAATATTGAGTGAGTTTGAGTTTCCTCAATTATGTGCTCCTCCTGTTTTGCTCATGTTCTTCTCTGCTGCATGCTTGCCCTAGACAGACATGTAACACATAGTTTGTGAATAGTATTTAAAAATTTCCCTTAAAGCCATTTGAACTATTTCTGTGGAAGTACCTAAATTTAATTTTCCCAGTTTTATTTGATTCAAAAAATAATATCTTTCTTTATAATATATAGTCCCAAAGTGCCTCCCTGAAAGAATTAATTATGGAGGGAAAAATTATAACTTTATAGTGGAGAAACATAATACACCCCACCTTGATCAAAAGGTCCAAAGTTCACACCACCAATAATGGGACAAGGAGGAATCATGATTCTCCTGATGTGGCGTGCTGAAGGTCTCCTCAGGAGGAAACTCCCAGCATCTGACCTACCACATAACCAGTGTCAGGTCCTGAAAGACCAAGCAAGACAGAGCAGCTCCTCCAGGTGAGGACTTGAGTATGATCCCAACCTGGATCCAAACAAGGAAAAGTACTTTTTCCTTTGCTGTAGCGCAGTGGTCACCAAACTTTCGGATCTTATGGACCACCAGTGTTCCGCAGACCACCAGTTGGCGACTGCTGCTATAGAGGACATTCATTGGATAATATGTGTGATTTGGAAAAGGTAGATTAGATAGCACTGCTGCTTCATTGTTAATTTCCTGGTTTTGATAATTGTCCTGTGATTATAAAAAACAAAATCCCTGTTTAGGAAATTAAAGGGGATTTTGTCTGCAACTTACAAATCCTATATAATAAAAGCCTAATATGCAAATTGCCCCCTTGGGCAGTTGTTGGACCGGGAGACTGGGAGTTCGACCACTTGCTATGATGTGCACTGACCACCAGGGGGTGGCGCGGAACATGGTGGGCATTGGTGATGCAGCGCTGGCAGCAGGTGGCAGTGGAGGCACTGCCAGCCCCGATAGGCCCTGATGAGAGTAGGACTGCAGAGGGATGATGGAGCAGGTAAGCGGGAGGTGCCAGGCCAAGGTGGGTGTGAGTGGGGACCCAGTCACCCCGCTGGTTGCCCCGCAGATGTTGACCAGTGGCGGTGGGGCCAGGGCCACTGCCCAGCTCCCAGGTGCTGAGGGAGCCGGGCTGGGGATTGGCCCCAATAGATTGTCCTGCAAGCAGGATGGTAGAGCAGGTGAGGAGGTGGCGCCAGGTTAAGGTGGGGTACTAGGCAGGGCTGTGAGGCTGGGAGTGCGAGCTGGGGCCCGATCTCTGCAGGCCACGCAGAGGGACCCCACCCGTGCATGAATTCGTGCATTGGGCCTCTAGTAGTACATAAGAAGATAGGTAGGTAAATAGCTAAAATGTGATGCAGTGTTCATATTTAGGGATCTCGCTGAAGGTATATGGAATTCTTTGTACTTTTTGTTAAACTGAATTTATTTAAAATATAATATTTCTTTAAAAAAGAAGTAAGGAGTGAGGGTCATGAAAGAGAATCTTGAGGCAGATCAGCTTTCTTTTTAGCTATTCCCTGCCGAGTCTTCTAGGGAAGCTCCAGTCTCATGTTGTCAGTTCTAAAACCCAGAGTCTCTGAACACTGAATGTTTTCTGACTCACTCGTGAGAACCCTCGCTCTTACCTGAGTGCATGTGGCTGCAGCACCTGCCCTCTAGTCCTTTGCTACTGTGGTTGTGCACATGCTACGTGTAGAGGTGTTGTTATGCTGTTGCCAAGATCCTGCTGGAGGTGTCAATTAACATGTGGTATTTGTAGTTACTATCTTTCTAAAATCTAACACTATTTTGAGTTTGAAACACTCTGGTCCCGAATCTCAGAAAAAGGGTTGTGGACCATGTATTTGTTCCTCTGTTTCTGAGTGCTTGGGACACAACACCATGCTCTGCCTTTCTTATTGGGCCCTTGCACTTTCATCCAAGGCACACACACACGTGTACATGTACATGCACACAGAGACACCCATGTGTACATGTTTATGCACACACTTGTGTATTGTGTGCATGGATATGCAGACACATTCACAAGTGTTCATGTATGTATGTGCGCACACAGTAGAGGTGGATGTCTAACTCCCCATCCTAAGGGTTGAGATGCATCAAGGACTCAGGGAATTCCATCTCTCTTGGGCACGTTCAGGAACTTTCCTCTGATCATCAGAGTTTGAGACTATTGCACATAACCGCAAAGTAAACCAAATAGTGACATTTTTATGCTTGTTTTCAATCCTAGGTCAGCCTGAAACAGTGTCCCCACGGCTCCCTCATGACTCTTCCCTTTCTGCTCTCCTGCCCAGACCATGCATCCTGGTCACCCCACCCCTGCTGTCAGCTATTTGCAGCCTCTCAGACAGCCTCCTGGTGATTGCTCCACAAGACACAGCATCTGCCTTCCGACAGGCTCGGCTCATAGAGCTGCTCTGTGGGTAAGGGAGAAGTGCTCCCAGGGAGCCATGGTGGTGGAGGTGAATCCCACAGGCTGTATTCATGACTCACTGTATGGCTTCATGTTCTGGATATTTCTTCATCATTTGAAGGCTCATTAGACTGCAGGTTTTTGCTTTTGCCAGAATTGTACTGACAACTTTTATTTTAGATCCATTAAACCACTCGTATTGGTTTGTTATATTGACTATTAAGCCCACCCCCTCAAAAAAAATCCTGATTTCGTAAAATTCAGAGGCTCTAAGCCCTACTTATCTTCCACCACACTCAAGGAATAGTCAGTCCCCTTGGTCATTCTAACTGGAAGGAAGGAGTTTGGGGATTTAGCTCCCTCGTGATCATAGAAGAATAATGTCCATGGGTTGAAAGATCATAAAATTCATTTGGAGTTATTTAGTTATGGAGACTGAAAGTATTCTCATAGAATTTAGGGAAATTATGATTTGGTTCATTCATTTATCTAATATTAATAAGCCTCTGACATAACTTTTTCTGATTTTCTTATTGGTTATATGGTATAGTAAGAAAGGCCTTAGATATGTAATTCAGTCCAACTTATGGTCTACTTAGAGGTCATTTACTCACTTGTGTTGCAGCCTTGGGAAAGTTACTATTTGGAGTGTCATTGATGACACCTGCTCAGTGGGGTTAATATGAGGATTAGAAGTAATGTTTTAATAAGATTTCGTTAGATATTTTTCTTCAGAATTCTTTGCTTCCCACATTTATCTGATAAGATCTTTTCCTGTGTTGCACAATAGCTTTTTGTAAACATTGACTATCTTTATAAAAATCCTTTCTCTTGAATTCTATTCAAGGTTACATTCAGATTTCAAATTCTGACTAATTAATCTTTAGTTAGAAGCCTACTAATCATCTGAAGGGTTTTCTTTTTCTGTCCTAAACAGTATTGCAGATGCCACCCTCCTAGAGACATGTGTCCAGGAACTCAAGGCCCCGCTGCCTTCGTCACCCCCGGTGGAACACACGGGGGCTCAGGTGAGTGTGTGTCTGTTTGCTTTACGTGCCTTCTCAAGGACATGGTGTATACCAGCATCTTCCCTACGTGAATAAAACAAAGATCAAGAACAAATCCATATAGGCCTGATGATGTCATTGGTGGACATCTAAGAAGAAAGTCTAAAGCAGGGGAAGGGACGTGATGTCATAGTTGGGAGGGTAGAGTTTTTCCACATAAGGTGGTCGGAGGCCTTTCAGACAGTGACATGTGACTTGAAGTAAGTGAGGAAGCTAGTCCTGTGGGACAGAGCAGGGGTATGTTTGGCCAAAAAGCAGCAAGGCCAGAGGGGCTGGTGCAGAACATGAGGACAGATGAAGTCAGAGGTTATGAAGAGCTCCACAAAGGCAGGGCCTTACCTGATTTGTGTGTACCATTGGGTCCTCAGTGTCAACACAGCACCTGTCCCATGGCAGGTGTTCATTCAGTACTCATAGGATGAGTGAGTAATTATAGTACTAAACATATATGAGGAGCTTATTTCTATCATTTATGTAATCCTCACAACAGTCACATGAAGTTAATGGCCTCAGAATGAGGTGGGAGGAAAACGTGTGTATGTGTGTACGCACCTGTACAGAGAGGTGCTTCCGAATATCTCTCTAAAGTTGAATTGTGTGGACTATCTCATTTATTGGGGATAATGGATAAATGAGACATCACAGATTATTCTTTAATTTTTGCCTATCCAGAGAATTATTTTTTTTAAAAAAAGTACTTTTGTCAGTTAATCCTATCTAATGAAGAGGGAATATGCTAATTGACTGCCCCCCCTCAAAGATGGTGGTGCCCACAGCCACAAGATGGCTGGCAGGGGAGGGCAGTTGTGGGTGATCAGGCCAGCAGGGGAGGGCAGTTGGGGGCGACCAGGCCAGCAGGGGAGGGCAGTTGGGAGCGATCGGGCCAGAAGGGAGGGCAGTTGGGGGCGATCGGGCCGGCAGGGGAGCAGTTAGGGGGTGATCAGGCTGTTAGGCAGAAGCGATTAGGGGCAATCAGGCAGGCAGGCAGGTGAGTGGTTAGGAGCCAGCAGTCCCAGATTTTGAGAGGGATGTCCAACTGCTGGTTTAGGCCCGATTCCACAGGGTGCACCACACCTCTAGTACTTTTTATAATATTACAAGCAACATTCCAGAGATGGTTTTATTGGTAATATTGGGGAAGATTGAATTTTACCTTTATAATTAAGAGTAGTAATTTTATGCTGAAGGATAGTTGAGAGCAAACTTCAAATGATTTGCATTTTATTTGTAGTAATAATTAAGCATTTGGCTACCTCCCCCAAACCCCAGTTGTGTACCTTGAAGAGTATTTTGTCATTTTTCTTTATTTCTTTGCAAAATTATAGGCTTTATGGCTTTGGAATGCCCTTTTCTGCTTCATTCAGAATATTGATTTTACAATTTAGCTACTTGAAAAATTATATTTATAAACCTTTCTAAGGGTTTTTTTTTTTTTTTTCTAAATGGAATTCAATTGTTGACTTTATAAATATTGTCTGGTTTGATGTTATTATAGTTGATGGTGGTTAATGTGGTCATTAACGATATGCTTATGAGAAAAATAATGCTTTGCTATGTGTTCCATTTAAGATCTTCGAAAATTATGATTACTATTTTTTTAGCGTTTTATTAACTTATTTACAAGGAAGTGACTTACAATGCATAGAAGGGTAAAATACATGATCACGGAGATGGGCTTTTCCTCTGATATGTTTGTTTCACTTATCTCCTTTTGCCAATAGGTGTCCTTTCTCCTTGAGTACCTGGCATCCTTGTCCAGGCTTTTGCAGTCATGTTTATTGGTTGATCCTGACCTTGTGATTCAGGATGAGCTTCTGAAACCTCTTATTACAAACATCATCCGAGTTCTTACCATATGCACCAAAGATCTGTTTGGTAAGCTTTATTTTTTTAATTTAGCATGGAAGTAAATAATATTGAGGGAAAAAATCTTATTCTGCATCACATATTCACTTCAAGGTTACATTTTAGGTTGCTTTTTGCCAGTGTTTTGGGAGGTTTTATAATGTGTTTTATAGTTTGGATGTGGTAAGTGGTGCCAGGAGACCACCTGAGGGAAGTCTGTGGTGTAATAAAGGACCATCCCTGTGTTGTCAGTATAAATGGGGGTAAAGTTCTTTATGGAGTGTGAGGAAGTACTATGAACTGTATTAAAGTTTCTTATAAACTCTGCTAAGGCCAGGTGACCTAATAACTCATTTGCAATAAGAATTATAAGCAAGTCTAGCATATAATATCAAATTTTTCTTAAGGTCTGAAAAGATTGAAAAATATACTGATTAAAAGTTGAATATGCTACTTAGTAGTAGAGACGATTAAAAAAAAAAGTAGGGCCTGGCCAGTATGGCTCAGTGGTTGAGTATCAACCTATGAACCAGGATATCACGATTCGATAACCAGTCAGAGCACATGCCTGGGTTGTGGACTTGATCTCCAGTAGGGGGTGTGCAGGAGGCAGCCAATCAATGATTCTCTCTCATCATTGATGCTTCTCCCTCTCCCTCTCCCTTGCTCTCTGAAATCAATAAAAATATTTTTTTTAAAAAATAGGATTGTTATCAAAATTAATATGTAATACCTGTCTAAAATAGTTTATAATGAAGTAATTGACCATTTTGCAATTCTCTGCATATTCATTCTTTCCTATCTAGTCCTTTGAATTTTATGGATTGGCTTGGTTTTAGGTCTGGTATGTGAATGTTTTATGATTCTCAGCTAAGCCAGTCCTCTGTGTCTCATCAGTGTTAGAATTACCCCAATGCTAGAGGCACAATAACTTCCTACCTGAAAATCACCCCCTCGGCCCCCCACAAAGGAGCAAAAATTGATTATTGGGTGAAAGGGATGGGAGAACAATTCTAGCTATTACAGTGGTTTGTGGCCCTCCAAAGCTCAACTCTACCCAATAAAATCTCATTCCCTAGTATTTAATTCTCTTACTGGGTTTTCTCGGGTATCATTTGAGAAGCATCAAATTGAGCTCATGGAAGATATACAAGGGAGATGCAAGATCAGTGCTAAAAAACTGATGGCTGCTACTGGAGGACTTGATTCAATGCTTGATCCCAACATCACAGGGCGAGAAGTGGCTTGTGCATCTTGGTTGCCACTGACTGCCTTGTGGATGTTCTCATTGATTTTGCTGCTTTTATGTGTGACTTGGGCTGTGAGAATTAAATAAAAATAGTATCTATATTATTATTTAATTACTTATATGAAATGCTGAAAAGAAAATGTCTATAATATCTGAATGCATATATAGTAAGTGGTTATGTTAAAAGTTACTTTCTCCTATTTAGCAAAAGTTAAAAGTTCGCTAAAATATTTTTTTTTCTCTAAAATATTTTTTAAGAAATTAAAAATTTTTTCTGGAAAAATAAAAGTTTTGAATACTATTAAAATTGGTTATATTTAGTATATACTTATAGAATTTGCAATTTTCATATATAATTTGACACATTTTAATATATGAATAAATTACCCTAAAAGGTGTTCAGTTATGAAGTTAAATGTTTATAGCCTTTTTATTTTTAATTTAACTTCCAACTTAAATATTTTATTTGCCCCCATAAGCCTATATTGAATAAAATCAGTAAGCTTTACACTTACTCTTTTTATGTGTAAAGTCTGGATATACAGATAGTAAGTACATCAATAGATATATTATCTGTGAAATATTTAATGGGGATGGTGATGAGAAACCATATGTCTAAACACTCTTATAGAGCTGATAATAACAAAAAGGTAGAGAAATACCAAACTGCCTGGACGGTGCTATTTCCAGATGCCGGGTGGGTGCTGAAGAACACCGAGAAGGAAGTCCTCGGTTTGCATGTTGATGGAGTTAGCAGTGGGCAGTGGGCAGAGACTGCTGGTGGTGCGGGCATAGAAGACAGTCCTACAATACTGGCTGCCCTCCAGCTCCCATGTGCCCAGCAGAGAGAAGGGACTAGCTGTTCTTACCCTAGAACCAAGGCTCCCAACCTTTTTTGGCCATGCCTCACGTAGGCATCTCTAAAATCCTGACTCCCCCTGTGACATATAATTCTTATTATTAAAAAAGCGAACTCCTATTCATGTGGAGGAAGCCTAAAAGGCCATTAACTTCGTCTAAACAAGCTTTCAAAGAACATGGCATCCATGAAAGAGAAAAATAAAAGAACAAAAGGACAGTTGAAGTACTGAGGAAGAAATCACTAAGAAATAGTTTAAAAAAATAATATAAAGTGATATGAAAAAATAGCAAAGTTTCAAAACATAGAGAACTGAAATGCATAAATATGTTATAATATATATTTATATACTATATATGTGGCCCCTAGAAACATAAGAAATGCAAAAAATCCACTGTTAGTAACTCATTCTTGAATTGTCCCCCTGTGGGGCGTGTGCCCTACATTGGGAACCACTGCCCTAGAAGGTTCATTAGGCCATTGTCAGCCATAGGCAAAGCTGCAAATCCTCTGCTGTGTCATAGCTTTCTTTACGGCAGCACTCTTCTGGTTCTTCAAAGAAATTCTCTTCTTTGCTATGACCTTGGTATACACAAAGGGGAAGAGAAAACAGGAGAACCTTCACTTTTATAGAAGTAACACAAACAACGACATGTTTTTACAATGTGCCCAATAAGAACTTCTGAAGTTATGGCTCAATATTTAGTTTGTCATACTTCCTGATTGTTGTTGAATGTGCTTTAATAAGAGGAGATGTGCCAGTGGGTGTTTATTTGTCTATAGCAATGTGGAAGAGAGAGATATTTAAGAAGCAATACATAATTGAAGTAAATTCATGCTGAATTATGTTTGTTTCCATTTGACAAGTACATCCCTCTTATTTTAAATGTAATGAAGTGGCTTGTGAGTTTTGTGTTTTAAAAGGTTCTTTTGCTTTGCGTTAATAACTTGATATGTCTTGATTAACTTGATAGATGCAGAGTTAGCATTGGCATTTTATCAGACGTGGACACATTTATTTAACCTCCTGGCCACCCTCCTGAGGAAAGCAGGAACTGCCTCGCTGCCACCCATCACGACGGGTCTGGCCAAGCACTGGGCGGCAGTGGTTGGTAAGGAGCTGCTGTCACTGGTTTGGGGTCTTCTGCTCATAACAAATGAAGATAATCGTTAATTATGATTTTATATAATAATGTATTCTCTAAAATTAAGTAATTATGGCATGGCCCATGAGAGGGAAACCCTGGTGCTTGCTTCAAGACATTCGTAGTGCTCTTGAGCCCCCAAAGTGCATTTTAGAAAAATTGAAACACATTTCAGGGTACCAAAACACAGGTAAGAAAAGCCTGTGGCATTATGAAGATACAATATGACATGATTATAAAACAATGAGATAGATTTTGTTGGGTTGGCATGAAAACTGGGCTCTTGTCTCACATGTGTGCATTTAGTGTGAGTAAATCTGCACATAGCATCCCGTGTACACAGCCACATGGAGACTTCTAGTAAAAGTGTGTAATCTCAAGTCACAGGGCTTTTCTTACAACACAGAAATGTAGTGTAGTTATTTTTATGTTTTCCATATAATGGTTACTGACTAGAGTAAATAAATGATTATTTTTAAACAAATGATTATTTTAAAAATAACTACTGTCTTTAATTTTTCATAAAGTCTCATCTAAATTTTTGCATAGCAGGAGCCTTTTTTTACATAACTGTTTATAAGTAACATATGTGTTACTTTAAAATAAATAACCAGTTTAAAAGTGTTCATAATCAAATTTAAGTTTCCAAGTTATCACTAATTCAGTTGACTTGTTTCCACAATTTATTTTATCATTTGGTCATTCTGTAAAATTAAATGGATGATATATATTTTAACCAGAGTGTAGTTCTGAAGTAAGATTTATAGGGAAATACATGTGCAATAAGAAATGGAGTTGTTAGATTCCTCGATGTAGGAGTTCTGAGTTTACTCTAAGGGGAATAGCATCCATTTAGAGATCATTATTTTGTTAAAAGAGATAAATATTGGAAGAGATTGATTGAGTGAATGAGACTGAGATTTTCCTTATGCATCCACAGGGTTTATTTACCACCTGAGTCACTAATACTGTAAAGCAAGGTGTTTTATGGGGCTCATGGGGCACCTCAGCCAGCTGGTCCGCATGGTCCATCACCTGTTTTGTAAATATACTTTTACTGGAACATGGCTGCACTGAACTCATTCCCTCACTGCCTAGGCTGCTCTCCTGCCTTGGTGGTGGTGTCGAGCAGTTGTGACAAAGGCCCATGACCCACAGAGCTTACAATATTCATTCACTCTCTGGATCTTGGCAGAAAAAGTTTGTTGACCCTGATCTAAGCCTGTTGACCTGACATTCTTTCTCTAGTGATAAAATAAAGTCATATTAAATTCAAAGTCTTTCTGCAAAACACACAGAGAGTTTTAGATAATGGTGCTAATCAAAAGTAACATACTACATGAACAGTTAGCTTTGATAATAGTGATGTTAATGAAATCATAACTAATAAAAATTATTGATATTCCTTGCCATGGAGTTATTAGTTTTTGTTTGCTTTTTTTCTCTATTTCATGTACACATATACATTTAAAATACCCTTTGGTCACTCAATAACTTACGTTGTCTATAATAATCTTTGCTAGAACTTGACTAATGTATAGGACATTATGTACATGAACAAAATTCTCATGAAACCCCACTGCTGATTAAATTATTTTCCTTATGTTACTTAAGAACATAAAAATTTCTGTAGCCTAAATCTAGGTAGAAATTTTCATGGTTACAACTCTTACACAAGTATGAATCCAAAATAATATAAAAGTAAGACAATAAAATTATAAACCAGGGCTATTAAATTCATAAAATTAATGTAATGAAGCAAATGTTCTTTTGATTAAATTAATCAGTGCTCACAACAGGAAATGAATAATGACTGATTCAGTGTAGGTTCTTCTGAGTTGGTTTGCCTATTCTTTCCACTCTGTTGTTTGCAGATGGGTTCATCTCACTCTGTTCTTTCAGAGCTACTGTGAAACCATGGTTCCTGCATTGGTCCAACACTGCATACTAAGTCTTGCTTTAAGTTGGTTGGCATCAACTTGTTTGAAAGTGGAAACACAGTCACACTTATAAGGTGGTAATCTAGATACTTTAGAGTATAGTTACATTAACTTTTTTTTTTAAATTTCAGAGAGAAAAGGAGAGGGAAAGAGAATCATTGATTAGCTGCCTCCTTGATGCCCCCTACTGGGAATTGAGCCTGCAAACTGGCCACGTGCCCTTGATCGGAATCGAACCTGGGACCCTTCAGTCTGCAGGCCGATGCTCTATTCACTGAGCCAAATCAGCTAGGGCTACATTAACATTTTTTAGATTAACACTGAAATAAAAATTAAAAAGTTAACTTTAGAGCTCAGATAAAACGGATAAAACAAAAATTAAGGAGATTCCTTGATTCAGTATGTTGGTTTAGTACTATTCACATTAATTTTAAATAGTGGAGTTATTCTTGTGATGCTTGAACTACTGATCACTTTACTTAATTAAAAGTTAATCAGATCAGCCAAAACCGGTTTGGCTCAGTGGATAGAGCGTCGGTCTGTGGACTGAAAGGTCCCAGGTTCGATTCCGGTCAAGGGCATGTACCTGGGTTGCAGGCATATCCCCAGTAGGAGATGTGCAGGAGGCAGCTGATCGATGTTTCTCTCTCATCGATGTTTCTAACTCTCTATCTCTCTCCCTTCCTCTCTGTAAAAAATCAATAAAATATATTAAAAAAAAAAAAAAGGTTAATCAGATCAGTCTGATTCACTTTTTTTTTGGAGGAAATTTTTAAATATTTACATATGGAATTATCCTCTTTACTAGATATGTTCTGCAAATGTGTGGGTTTGTCTACTACCAGCCCCTCTCTCTGCACTGCCAGCCTGCAGTTCCTTTCTATTCTCTTGACTGAAGAAGCAAAGAGGCGTCTTCGGGATAAGGATAAAACAGATTCATGCCCCAGTTCAACAATGGCTTCACTTCTTGATAAAACTCAGGAAAACCAGAAGTCTCTAGAACGACTTACTGAAGCCATTATTCAGGTACGTGATTTTTTGACTTTTTTAAAGCTTTACTCTCACTCTCAGACCTGGTCAGGTGGCTCAGCTGGTTGGAGCCTCATCCTGTACATCAAAAGGTTGTGGGTTTGATCTCCACTCAGGGCACGTGCCTAGGATGTGGCTTCGATCTCCTGTCAGGGTCCATACAGGAGGCAACCGATTGTTTCTCTCTCTCTTTCCTTTCCTCTAAATCAATAAACATATCCTTGGGTGAGAATAAAAAAACAAAACAAAAATAAAACACTTTACTTTCAGTCTTGGTCTTTTTTTTTTTTTTTTTTAAATATATTTTATTGATTTTTTACAGAGAGGAAGAGAGAGAGAGATAGAGAGTTAGAAACATCGATGAGAGAGAAACATCGATCAGCTGCCTCCTGCACATCCCCCACTGGGGAAGTGCCCACAACCCAGGTACATGCCCTTGACCGGAATCGAACCCAGGACCTTTCAGTCCGCAGGCCGATGCTCTATCCACTGAGCCAAACCGGTTTCGGCGAGTCTTGGTCTTATAAAAATATTTTTAATCATTTGATTTAAAAAGTAATTAGTACTCATGAACATTGAAATAAGAGAAGAGTATATAAAGTTAAATTATTTCCAGTGCAGTTCCTACCTCTAATGTTGACCAGGATATGATGTAAAAATTCAGAATGAAGTATTAGTGATCTAAGCACAGCAGTTCAGCACAATAGTCTGTCATAAGGCCACTGGATATACTTTGGGGATGAAGGTTTAACTCACAATTTATTGCTATGTTAATATCTTTGAAAATATGTTCACCTAAGTGACATTTGATTTATATAAATGAACTAGGGGCCCGGTGCACGAAATTCATGCACTATGGGGAGGCGGGCGGGGTGGGGGGAGCGGTCCCCCCTGGCCTGTGCTTTCTCACAGTGTGGGAGCCCCGCGATCGATCGCACCAAAGAGGTAGGCCCTGCCCACCCATCCGGGGCTCCTCAATGGATTGCCCCAAAGAGGTAGGCCGGAGCCGCGGGACCCGCCTCTGCACCGCGCATGCAGCGTCAAGTCCCCGCCCACCCGCGTGCGCCTGCTGCACACCCAGCCTCCTGGTGATCGCTCATTATGGCGTGAGGATGTCACAACCACATAGGCTTTTATTAATGGGATTGCATGTGTTTAAGGGGGTTATGTTTATAGAAGTAGGCAGACCTGATTGTCACGTGTGAGAAAATGCCCCCCTTCCAAGCTTTGATTCCTGTTTTATCTTTAAAATATTTTTTTGTAATCCTAAAATATGAACCAAGATTTTTGTTTCATCAAAAACCAAAAATCACTGTAAAGTATTGTTATTTTATAAATAGATTAATCATGAAAACAAGCGTTTCCTAAGTGGCACAATAGTGTTTTCAGGTAGAAGTTATTACCATACTTTGCAATTTTAAGAATCCTCCTTTGCAGTAACCATGTGGCGTCCTGCTTTTGTCTTCTCACTGAGAGGTGGAACTGTAGTCCACTCTCACGTTGAAGTATTGCTTCCATTTCCAAGGGAGCAGAAGGTGCTTCCTATCCGCTGACTTGCTACCATCCCTTTGCTGTTCAGGATTTGGCCACTTTTGCCCTTTTCTGCCTGAGAGCATCCTGCAGATACAGAGGACTCCCTGTGCACAGCAGACTTGAGCAAGCTAGAATGCAGACAGGCAGACAGAGGCAGGGCAGCTGCCCGGCCAGCTCAGACCTGCCTGGGAGGGGTCACAGGACTCCTCACAGGAGCTGGTCTCTTGCCCAACAGACTATGGTTGCCTCTGAGCGCTGATAAGGAGCCTAATAAGGGGTCCCTTGATGTTTTCTCTTCTGTCTCTCTCCAGCAGCTCCTTCAGAAACTGGATCTCTAGGGAAAAAAAGACCTCAAAACATTTCTCAATGTCACTTCTCAGGAGGCCACAGCTTTCCTGTAGCAATGACCCTACTCATTCCACTCAATTTTTCTTCATTTAAAACCAAAACTGGACACTGTTCCACTGATCTCATTCTCCATCAGAACAAGAGGTTTTATGCCCAATGATTAATTGAGCCCGATTTTGTACCTGAAAGAATATAGTAACAGGAAACTCAAGTCCACACTTTGACAAAAGTCCTCCCCCAGCTCCTATCCAAAGCATTATTAATTTTGGAAATTTAGCTCTGATGGAGCACTTTTTTCTGGGGAGGGGGTCCTGGTTCTCACTGACACGCTCTTCTTCAGGGAGTTTGATGACTCATGGAGCCAACATGGATTTCTTTCCTTTGATGAGGATGGGGTGCTGACCCCACCCCTGTTCATGCCAGCATGCCAGCAACTCTGGGAGCCTTGACCACAGCCGTGGCTGGTCCCTCCAGCCAGTCCTGACTAGGTGAATTCAGAGACTTGCAGGCTGGCTGTTTTATTCCCCAGCTACTTTCTCTTGCTTGTTAGTGGTACTGTGTTTCAAGGAACTATAATTGGACTTGTGATAAACATGGATCCACGTAGGGATGACGAATCAAGTTAAAACAGTGCACGTAGAAGAAACGTGTAGGAATTTGTTCAGTTTACCATGCCCTTATTTTTCTCTCATTTTTAAAATAATATTATAAAAATTATTGTTTATAATCTTTTTTTTTAAAAAAAAATATATTTTATTGATTTTTTACAGAGAGGAAGGGAGAGGGATAGAGAGTTAGAAACATCGATGAGAGAGAAGCATCGATCAGCTGCCTCCTGCACATCTCCTACTGAGGATGTGACCGCAACCCAGGTACATGCCCTTGACCGGAATCGAACCTGGGACCCTTCAGTCCGCAGGCCAACGCTCTATCCACTGAGCCAAACCGGTGCTGGCTGTTTATAATCTTTTGCTGTTACCTTCTTGGTCAAGGAAAATGAGCCACAGGGTACCTCAATGATTTTCCTAATGACTGGCTAATTTTCCCCTCCATTTCTTCCAAATTACAAAATATATAAAGTATTCTGTGTGGATATGGATACATTAACCAATTATTTAAACTGTGTTTCCTAATAATTCATATTCTTTTTGTGCATGTAAACTGTAGGACATGAATATGTAATATTTGTTAAAGGGCCCAGGCCAATTTAAGACAAAGTAAAAAAAGGAATTGTATCTTCATTCTACAGTTAGTTGATAAGTAGTACTTTTCAGTGAGATCAGTTTGGTTTTTCTCAAATTACTGACGTGCAGTTTCAATAAGTATGTGTAGAGAAGAACAGTTTTCATATTATTAGTGAAGATTGAGTTTATAGACAAATTAGGATTCTCATGGTTGACTATAGGATTTACTCCAAATTATTTCATCATCCTATAATACTTCCTGCCTCTCGCCCCTTCTTCGTGGTTACACTCAGCATGATCTTTATCAAGCACCCCAGGCATCTAACATCTAACCCACTGGCCAGGTTGAGACCTGCCTGTGGGGGCAGCAGCCTGAGATGTCTAAAGTGGAATCACTGTCCCCTCTCTGCAGGTGCCTCCGGTCACATTGGCAAGTACAAGCTCCAGGTGAAAGTGGAGTTGCGTCTAGTAATTATGCTGTTGTATATTTTATGTCAAGTTATCATTTAAGCTCAATTTTAATCATGACATCCTAAAGCTGGATCATTTTGAAAATTACTTGTAGAAGGGAAAGTTATGAAATTTGAATTACCTAATATTTAGAAATCAAATTGTGAACTTCTTGATTCAGATGCTGGAATTGATGAACCCCTTAAAATTGTAGTAAAATGTGTACATATACCCACATGAGAATAGTATCACAAAAGATTTCACCTGAATTGAGTCAGGTCTTTAGAGCTAGCACACCAGTAAATGGGAAGCACAGAAGAGCGAACACGAGAAAATCTTCACAGGGCAACAGACAGACACATCCAGAATGTGGGCATTCTGTAGTATGACCGATCACGTTTACTCGATGATAGGAGGGTAGCAGCACCGATGAAAAACCCTGGTGGGGAGGTGTGGGGACCAGGGAGAAAGGCAGGTGGCCTAGATTTAGGGGCCATAACGTGCAGGTATTCTGTTATCTTCACAGTGCTACGAAGGGAAACCCTCCAAAGATGTCTTGAAGAGAGTGGCTGCGAATGTGCTGTTGTCGCTGCTGGCTGTCAGTAGGAGGGCTCAGAAGCTCGCTTTAAAAGGTGGGCTGCCTGACCACCGTGTGTTTTTATGCCATATGTCAATTCAGGTTTACTGCTTTTTGTTTTAATTTTTTATGGACTCTAAATTTAAAAAAACTTATACTATCAGGGCTGCTAAAAAATAGTTAAATGTGCGTTACTTTTAAAATAAAAAGATTATACGTGTAGAGTATTTTTTTGTGTGCAATGATTCCTACTCTAAAGAATATCTAAATATTACAGAGGCTCAATAAGTAACACCACTCAATTTTATAATAATGTTAGTGACCACAAGCACATGTTACATACCTGAAAATAAAAAGCACACCAGATAGTTCTGATGGTGACAACAATAGCACTAGATGAACCTGTATTTTAATATGAATTTCCCCCTAGACAATTGCAGTTTCTCATCTGGAAGGAGAGAACACTGGCCTTAGAGTTGGAGGACAGTAACAGCACCATCAAGTCCACTAATTTCACTTGTGATTTGCTACTGAAACAAACTATGCATTCCTCAGAAAGTAACTGGATTTGGGGAGTATTATAATAATTTGAAAACAAGTAGGCTTTAGCATATTATCCTTCTGACTCATTATTCTCTCACTGGAAATGCTGACATGGAGCTGGTCAGGAGTAAAGTGTAATTGCTGAGAATTTGACTGGTACATGTGGTGTTGGCTTACTGGGAAATGGCATATCCTTTCGCTAGTTCTGGTTCTTGTCTTTCAGCCGATCTCATCGACAACTGCATTGAACAGATGAAGCACGTCAGTGCCCAGCTGAGCCTCGATTCCCTGAGGCCAGGGAAAGCCGCGCTCAGGAAAAAGGTGGCAGATTCTAGAACTCTGCACGCGTAGGGAATCCTCTCGCCAATGTCCTTGTGCTTAGAAATGACACCAGCATTTGGTTGAAATGAGTGTCTGATTTAGAAGGAAGGCACAGATAAATTAATGTGATTTCTATATTAGCAGGTTGTGTGTGTGTGTGTGTGTACATTTAAGTGAAATGTATATATTATATAGTTGTAAACATTTTGGAGTGTGCATGATAAATTTTATATACAACTGAAAGAAGATTTTTCACAGTGAGCACAGGCACACTAGGAATGAGCTGTAACTCACTGTGCCAGGCACTGTTCTAACATCTTCCTGTTTACTACCCCGTGTCCACTCATGACAACACTGTCATATAACTAGTAATTGATAAAGCCAGTATTTGCCCGGATCCAGGTGGTTGGAGAGCTGACATTCCTAACCTCTGATTATTGCTTTCTGTGATGTCTGAGTGTCTCTTTCTAGCGTTGAGTCGGCTGGACTCAAATGGCATGTCCATATAAACTCAAAATAGCCATTGCTGCCACATAAAAACTGTTAATAATAATAACTCTGGTTAAAAAGATCTGCCATATAGGTTCCTTGAGAAAATGGACGTGTGTGTATTTATGAACACAAATATACATGTGTCTATATAGCCAAGGCCAGTAGAGCATGCTTTATGCAATAACTAGTTTCTGCTGCATTTGATTAGACACTGAGAGAAAGCCATGTGTAATAGTTGTATTGACGCAGGGTGTTAGGTGTGCGCAGTTTCTTTTCCTGCCTCCTCTCTTCTCTGGGCAGAGGCCTTTACTTCATCATGGAGAGAGTCAGCCAGCACTGATATGATTGAAAACCAATCAGTACCTGCTTCATTTTATTGAGAGGGAGCATGGAGTTTATTATATATCTCAGTTCCTCCATGCTCGATAGAACAGAAATGGCTTTTTCATGGTGGATGCACTTCTTGAGATACGGTCACCTTTCAGAGATCATTACCTTGTCAGTGCCTGCAAAGTGATGGTGGTCAGGGCAGCGAGCTCATGGCTGCATGGCAATGGGACCAAAGGGAAGGGATGCTGTACATAAAGGTGGAACATGCCCTGTGCTCACATCCTTCAACTGCTTCTCTTTGAACAGGAGGATGGCTTTGTTAAAGAGTTAAGCACTGCCATGCAGCTTCTGAGAAACTGTCTCTATCGGAATGAAGAAGGTAAAGTAAGTAGTGCTACTTCTCAGATTTTTATAGCAGTTTCATTTCTCTGTGAGATGATGTAGATGGGAAAATAGAAAACTTTAGTGTTAGATGCATTGTTGATTGTTCTTGGAACTCCGTGTTCTCAGAATCTTATTCTTCAGCACTGATGACAGTTCTTGCTTACGGCAGCATTTTAGCTTTGTCACTGAAACTTGGACTTTGGATGAGGGTTTGGTAACTGCTCAGACAGACTTGAGCCTCTTTCTGCCCTGTTATGCATCTCACTGGCTTTTTTCTGAGATGGAATGAATGGTTGTGCCTATCTTCTGAGGCAGGACTTTTTCAGACAGCTTTCCAAGGGAGTAAGTGGAGGTGTCTGTTCACAAGGAAGGTGAGAGTGTCTCCCGCTTCTGAGCAGAACATGCTGCCCGCTGTTGCCAAGCGTGGCCCTGTCCCCCTTGTCCATCTCGGGAGGCTCTTCCCTCCAGCTCCAGGGCTCCCCCTGCACATTGACTTGGCCCCACCTGGGGACCTCTGAGATGCTGCACTCTGTCTAAGCGCCCATGCCGCCCCTGAAAGCCCGTAGGTGCACTGCACAGGACTCAGTGTCTCCATACCCTGGTCATAGTGATCCAGCCCTCTGAAGCACTGGCTTTCTCACAGAAAATGAGTAAGACAAAGACATTTCAAGAACTTCCTTTAAAAATAATGTCTCACCCTCTTTTGCTTTTACTTGGGATAAAACTAGAAAGCACACAGTATTTGGAAAATGAACACCTTGAACACCTAATCCTTAAGCCGTCTTAAATGATTGCCCAAGACACATGACTGATAATTTTTACTTCCAAAGTTTGATGGGATTTAAGTACTTATATATTTCATTAAAATCCCCTGCATATGAACTTTTTACTCAGAATAGAGGTGACCTTTATTAACCTTCAGATCCCTTGTGCAGCTATTATTCCTCCGTGACTCAGGGAAGGCCTGGGTCAGACCTGCTTCTCTGGATTTGGAAGATGCTAGCTTGGGCACTGGCACAAATATCGTGTTCACACTTGTAACACGTTAGCCAACTATAAAAAGGCAAACCATTTCTTCATATTTAAGTTGTCGATAAGGAATAAATCCAAAAGAGAATATTTAGATTACTCTTGAGTATAAATAAAGTCTGATGAGGCAAAGATTCTTAATTTCTTTTCTACTCCAACTTACACTCCCATTACTAACTGTTGGCCACTCTCATGGAATTTCACTGATTGATCCACCCTTACCCTACCCCAGAGTCTGTATACTTGTAACATTAAGGAGTTTTCATACTGGGATGGTCACAGTGACTGGGAAGTAAATGAGTTAAACAGTGGACAAGGTTAGAGGTAGGGGCAGTGGTAGTCCAGGCAAGAGATGACGAGGCAGGTAGAAGAGGGAAGCAGGGTGGAGAGTAAATCTGAGAAGGAGGAGAAAGGCAGAGTGACTTCCAGGCTCTAGATCAAGCATGTCAAACTTGCGGCCCGCAGGCTGCATGCAGCCCACAATGAGTATTTTTGTGGCCCAGCCAATGTAACGATATATAAGAAACATTTTAATAAAAGCTTTTAACAATTTTTATAATATCCTGTTATATATAATTAATAATAATGAACTACAACATTCGCTAGTGACTGATTACTATAATTGTGTTGCATTCATTTCCCTTACGCGCCTTACGCACAGGTGCACCATTTCTCTCCCTAATACTAGCAGCGAATATTTTAGCAGCCGAATGTCACGTCATTAGTCTTGGACTGACTTGTTTGGTGTGCGCAACAGGAAGTATTTTGCTTTTGGAGAATAAGAAAAATAGGTTTATTTGCGTTACGCTTATTGATTTGTGCAGTTATTCAGTGTCTGGTAAGTTAATGTTCAAGAAAAAATATTAATTTTTATTTAAATAGTCTATTATTTTATGTTAATGATTACTCATTTCAGCCCTTTGTATTCAGCATGTCTCTATCGAAATAAACTTACATTTCTATGAAAATGGGAGCTTTTGTTCTTTTGCGGCCCACATAAACTTAAACCTTGTTTATTTGGCCGTGTTAGCCTTTGAGCTGGACATGCTTGCTCTAGGTTGTGCATTCTAGAAGAGCATAGGTGTGAGAGAGCCTCACATTCAGTCTGACACTTTAGCACAGTGTCTGTGGGATGCTCGGGTAGAACATGGCTGGTCATCAGTAGATACATAGTTCTGGGCTCCGAGGGATGAAACAGGCTGGGATGTTAGGGGTTATCAGTACATAGGTGCTGTGTGTAGCTGTGACTGTTGTTGAAATTTCCCAGGAGAGTGTAGAGTGGAAGTCCGGGTCATCATATCCTTGGAAAATATAATGAAGAAAAGAACGGAGAAGGGAATGCTGGAGAGAGTTAGGAGATAATCCAGGCTAGAGAGGATCCAAGGAGGTAAAGGAAAAAAGACCTATAATAGATGAGGGTTTGGTAACTGCAAAGATGGGCGTGGCCTTCTTAGTACCATACGACCGAAAATATGCCAAAGTAAGCTGAAGATTAAGTAAGAGGTGGGCAGTGACAGCAACGAGGGCATTCTTTCTAGAAGCTTGGTCTAGAAGCAGCATTCTAATTTAGGACACATAGCATTAACGGAAGTTGGTCTGTGTGTTTGTTTTTCTATAAACTGTTTGAATATGAACAAGAATCAAACTAGGGACTAGTTATTAAAGAGACAGGGAGAAAAGAACTAATTGATGGATCAAGCGCCCTGATAGGCAGGTGGGCTGTGTTCCAGAACACAGATAGACATGTCAGTCTCCAGCACAGGAGCTGCCATTCCTCACTGCCAGTCAGGATGGCTGAGTGGGCAGAACACAGGTGAACTGTGAGGACAGAATGCGGAGTAGAGAAGGAGCTTACACCTGCTCATTTCTGTCTCGACTGAAACAGAAGCAAGGTCACCTGCCGCAGTCATAGGGCTGTGTTCAGGCCCAACCTCAAGAGGAGTGGGGAGCACGGGAATGGCTGGGAGTAACTTCCCACTCTCTTCTGCCATTGATGTTGCATGAAATTCTGTAGGTTGTGTGTATTGATATGAGCTCCCACTTGTGTGCCCACAGGCCTGCAAATTGCCTACTGATTCCAGTTCATTTAAAATGGCTGTTTGCTGCAAATAGTATTTTCCCAATGGTAACTGATCTTTGTAATAAAAACTATGGGTTACTTAAGAATTTATTGATTTAGCATGCTATTTTAACTGAATTTTACTATACTCAGATGACTTAAAAGCAGTAATCAACCCCTGATCCATCTGTTTCTATCTGTCCACATATACCAGATCTGGGTACACACACATTCACACAGAGGGGGAGGAAGAACTCGTCTATCAAATGTTTAACAGAAAATTCCATTTCTTAACCATATCAGAGCATTTACAGTTATTCAGTGTGTGAGATGGCACCCTCCTGCTTACCTGGCGTGTTCAAAGCTGTTTTTATGCATTTCTTTTTTTAAATGTGTTTTTATTGATTTTTATCGAGAGAGGAAGGGAGAGGGACAGAGAGATAAAAACATCGATGAAAGAGAAACATCATTAACTGGCTGCCCCCTGCATACCTCTCACTGGGGATCAAGCCTGCAAGCATGTGCCCTGACTGGGAATCAAACCTGTGACTTCTTGGTTCCTGGGTCAATACTCAACTGCTGAGCCACTCTGGCTGGGCTGTTTTTCTGCATTTCTCACCAAAGGTGTATATCCTGGCCACCTCAGGGTGGAAGGGACCTCTTCATGCTGCCAGGCTCACAGGCAGTCTGGGGACAAGGGCTTTGAAGCCAGCTCGCGCCATCAGAGCAAAGATAAATTCGGTTGTTGTCTCCTTACGTTGGTGACGATGGTTTTGGACCTGGTTTAATTTTATATTTTGCTATATTCAACTAATGCTGTCCTTATTTCCTTTCTGTTACAGGAAGCAGCTCTTGAAGCTCATCTTGTCCCTGTCTTGCACTCTCTCTGGCCCTGGCTTTTGATGGATGATTCATTGATGCAAATCGCCCTGCAGCTACTTTGTGTCTATACAGCAAATTTTCCAAATGGTAAATAGACCCAATACTACCTTCCAGTAATAAAATATACTAAAATGCTAATTTTATGTAATGTTGTGAAAGTAGACTGGGAAAATGAGTACATAGTTTGGAGTGTTTCTCCTTCTTATTGAAGGTATGCTGGTTAAAGGCATACTTTGTAGGTATCATGAGAACAGACAGAAATGTTAGTACAGCGGTTCTCAACCTATGGGTCGCTACCCCTTTGGCGGTCGAACGACCCTTTTACAGAGGTCGCCTAAAACCATCCTGCATATCATATATTTACATTAAGATTCATAACAGTAGCAACATTACAGTTATGAAGTAGCAATGAAAATAATTTTATGGTTGGGTCACAACATGAGGAACTGTATTTAAAGGGCCGGAAGGTTGAGAACCACTGTGTTAGTATGTCTGTTGAGATAGGAAGTCATCACACAGCTCAGGGAATAGAGAGGGAGAAACTGGCTTGATTATATCAGTGGGAAATTGAATTTAATAGGAAAATTGAGAGGGAAAATTATGCTGTAAGACCTTAAAAATCAGGTAAAAGTGAAAACTCTTACATATGTGAGAGTAGGACACTGGTATGATGAAAGGGAGTTCTAGATTCTGTTGGTTTGGTAGTAGTTGGGGTACCTCTTTCATTCATTCCTTTCACAGACATTTTATTGAGTGCCTCCTATGGGCCGTGCATTTTTAGAGGCTGAGGGAGATTGGGTAGAAGGTGAGAAGTGGCTGTTTGAGTGGAGGGAAGGAGAGCCTGTTAGGGAGGTGAAGTGGGATTGCTGGTGGTGTGAATTTTCCATTGGGAAGTTAGGGTCATAAATGTCAGGTTTAACTGGCTGGCAAGTTTGTGCACTTTATTCTATCAACATTCAGCAGCTCAGCAGCTGGGTTCTCCAAATAGCAAAACATAATCAGAGAAAGAACTGGAACTCAGAACAGTCCTGAGCCCGTGTAGTCACCACCCAGTGTGAAGGTTATCTGACTCCTTGATGGTCTGACTGGCCTCGGCCGCCTCTCTGGAGCTGCAGTCCACTCAGCTTGTCAATGGCCGACACAGACTGACCTAAACAGACCATTAGGTTGCTGAACTGTCATTCTGGTGTGTGGAGTGTTATGTCTCCATATCACCTTCTCTACCCTACCCTTCCTCTTTAACTTAGGGTTAAGGGAAGAAAAGAGAGAAAAAAAGAATCAGTTGCTAAATATTGAGCAAAAACATTTACTTTAATATCAATCGTTTAAAGCTATTATCTGCATTACTTTTATACTTAAAATTGATGTAACTATTAGAATGTGATTAGTTAACTAAATTGAGGAAGAAACTTTCTATTTTCCTGTTTGATTTGCTTCCAAGCAAAATCGCATCATTGGTGACTGTTTTATGTAACAGTTAATGGAAACATTGGTGTTGGATACTGCTGTAAAGTGTGCACACAAGAAAGATCAATGTACTTATTTGGGTTTGTTGGCCTTACGTGAGTTTATCTTACAGAAGGAGTTTGACTCTGGTCTAGTTATACTTAAGCTGGCCTTCACAAGTTAACTAACTTTTGGTTCATGTTGCAATATAGTCAGATGTATTTCTGATTTCTTCGTGATGATCTTTTCCCCTTGATAAGCTCCACATGGTTGTATAATTACTGAGAAGACATGAGACTCTGGAAAACCAGTTGAATGCCACTGCCAGCTCTTGCTCTTGTGGGCTGTGTGACTTTGAGCAGGTCACTGACTTCTCCAAGCCTGTGCCTTCATCTAGCATCTAAGGCTGTAGCATTTGTCCTGCCACCCCACCACAGAATTATTGTGCTTCTTTTTTTCTGTTCTGTAAAACAAATGCTTTAGACCAAGTTACCTCCCATTTCTAATATTCCGTTCCTATTTAATTAGATGTCTTATTTGGGAACTATTTAAAAAACCTATCATGCTTATTTTATTCTTTATAAAAAAAATAAATGTAATGTATGGTGGGGTTTTTGTTGTTTGTTTGTTTGTTAATCCTCACCCAAGGATATTTTTCTCATTGATTTTTTTTTTTTTAAAGAGAAAGTGGAAGGGAGGGGGTGGGTTAGTGCGGGAGTTAGAGAGAGAGAGAAACATCGATGTGAGAGAGACACATCGATTGGCTGCCTCCTGCCTGAGCGAAGCTGAGGAGCGAACCTACAACCCAGGTACATGCCCTTGACCAGGAATCAAACCCATAACTGTTGGTCTGAGGGCTGATGCACTACCACTGAGCAACACTGGCCAGGGCTACCCCTAGTGTTTTTAAATGCTCAATTGTGATCCTGGGCCCTTAGTGAGAACAGTAGCCCACTAGGCTGGCCATGGACAACACCAGCCTCGGTGCTGATGTGCAGTCTGCAGGTTCATGTCACTCGATAGACTGATGTGTTTTACAACTGAGGTTGTTCTGAACTGAACAGTGAAACTGAGAAGATGTTGTGACGAGCTGTTGTTTTTAAGGTTGCAGTTCTCTTTGCTGGTCAAGTTCTGTACAGTATCCCGTTCTAGCTGTGTACAGAGGAGCCCCCGGCAACTCTTTGATGCTGTGTATCCTGAAGTTGGCTTCCCAGGTGCCTCTTGAGAACCCCACAGTTCAGCAGATGGTCTTCATGTTCCTTTCCAACCTGGCATTGTCTCATGACTGTAAAGGAGTAATTCAGAGAGTAAGTACTTAAACTCCTTCCCATCATAGAAAAGGTAGTAAAATATTCCTGCCCATCAAGAATATGTGTGAGAAGTCTAGAACTCAGTGTCTAGGGTTAATTTATTCTGCTTTCAGGGCATTTTATTTTAAAGGATTGTGAAAGGATTAAGAGGGTCACTTTGCTTAAAGCCAGTCGATTGTTGATACATGAAAAGTAACAGAAGCTAGAATATGATGAAACCATTTCCTTCTAGTTTGTCTTCTTAGCTTTGGATTATATTTTATCACTCTCAAAAATGAGGGTTTTAGAAAGGCAGTTGTCTTACATTTATTTGAAATCATAAAGTATTTAAACAAGACCAAATTGAGCAGTAAATTTCAGTTCAATTTCTGTAGTCAAAATGGTTTATGAAATCATGGTTCCTTTTTCTCCCAAGTTAGACCTAAGTTCTTTATGACCAAAGAGGTGATTTTATCAGTCCTCTGGGATCCAGTGCCTAAACTTGACTCTGGTCACCGATTTAACTTAGAGTCCTTAAAAGGGATTGAATGGTGGGAATAAATTCTAGCACAGCTATTCAGTTAGACTGTATTCCGGTACATGTCAACAGAGTCCCTAAAATGTGAATTGGATGTTACTTAATAGTACATGCTGATTATTTGAGTACTTCTCTTTCTTTTACATGAAGGCCAAAATAAATTGCAAATGTTCACAGCATTCATAAGAATTGAGTCTCCTTTTCCTCTACTGTGTCATCTCTCCTTTACTCCCCACTAATCTCCAATTTGAATGCAATCTCCAAATAGCAGTCTTAAGTAAGGAAGGAGCTTTTCAGTGATGTGTTGGAGCTAACTCATGTTGACGTAGGAGTGTCCTCTTTAATTTTCAGGAATTTGCAAGCTAGTTGACTCTGGATGATATCTTGAAACCAGCCATAGTGGTGGTATTCACACCAGATAGATTGGCAGAAGGTGCAAATCAGGAACCCACTGCTCTCATTGGAGCCAGCTTTTACTTCCAGTTCATGGCTGGATATTTTCTTTATATATATATGTATGTGTATATGTGTGTGTGTGTGTGTGTGTGTGTGTGTATGAGTGTGTGAGTGGCAATGAGTGTGGGTGACTTTGAGTGTGAGTGTGTGTGCGTCTGTGGGTGCATGGAGTCATTTTGAACTGGATGCATGATTACTGTCTTTCCTTATATGCAAGAGCACAAACTGGGCACAGTGCTTTCTCCATCTCCTTGCAGAACATACAGGTAGGAAGCAAAGTAGGAATACCCAGGTGCAGTATGGGTACCAACCTCAGGTCTGAAGTGTGACTTTTAAGACTTACTTAAAAGGAGACTTTCTCCTTTTAACATATTCAGTTTCTTCATTTTTAAAATTATTAGGTTAAACAAAATTATACCTAAGGCATCTTCTGCTCTCACTCTCTGATTAAGCATATTTCGATATTGGTGTGATCAGACTGTGAGGTGTAGGTCACCCACCTTGTTTTCCGTCAGCTGCAGTAGCTGATAATGAGCCCTGGACACCTAATGCTGTGGTACAACTCAGATTCTCAAGTGTCTGCTTTCTCTCTATCATGACATGTTTCAGCATGTTTCACCTGATGTGGGGAACTTAAAAAGCATCGGCGGACCCAGCAAAGTAGAAGGAATGCCCACAGCATATTTCCTTTGAAGCACTGCCATTTAGTTTATCACTGTCATCAGCCCCAGATCTCCACTGTCATGGCAGAATCTAGCTGCATGGGGGACTCACGGGATGAATGTAGAAAAACGCTAATTTGGGCCAACAGATGAGAAGTAGGTGCGAGTGAGGGCACGTGCAGTGCAAGTGGGCATGGGGTTCTCCAGCCTGCTTGGTGCTTGTGCGATATCGCTAATATCTTTGTAGCTAACTCCATCCACACATTCAGTTATTTTACATGAAAGTTAAATTTATTTCATAGATTCAAGCCATCATTGTGATTTAGCTGCAGGAGGATCCAGGAAATAAGCCAGAGTAGGTTATGAAACGGGGAGAGAGATGAGATGATGAGACCTTGGGGGCAGTTATGAAAGTTAAGTGATCACATTCCTGCTCCTAGGTCACTTGTGCACCTGGCCGTGGTTCCCATGCTCTCCTGGGCTGCTTCCTATATGGTACTTTCATTCATTCTTTCTTTGCATGTAGATTATTCTAGACGATAAGTTACTGTCTTTTACATAGTTAAGGGTGTGCTGCGATTTTGTGGAAGGGTTTTGGGAGGTTGAAATGACTCTTATATTTGAAGTGATGGAGCTTTCTGGTTTCTAGGTTTACTAGAGTGACATGAAAAATCTGTAAAGAGAAACAGCTGGGGTAAACAGAACACAAGTGGTACCCACAGGTTATTTTTAGCTCTCATGTAGCGGTAAAGATTCAGGTATCCTCAGTTCTACCAGGGTTGTTACCTGGTGTCCGGGACTGCTTTGGGTTTTCTTTCTTTTTTTCTTTAATTTTTAAACGTTTTATTTATTTTTATTTTTTTATTAAAGTATAGTTGATATACAGTGTTATGTTAGTTTCAAGTGTACAATGTAGTAATTTAACATTTATACCCTACGATGCGATCGCCATAGTAAGTGTAGTCCCCATCTGTCACATACATGGTTATTACGATATTATTGATTATTTTCCCTGTGCTGTATCTTATACCCCAGGGCTTATTTATTTTATAACTGGAAGCTTGTAGCTCTTATTCCCTTTCACCCTTTTCACCCATTCCCCTCCCCTCACTCCTCTGGCAACCATCAATGGGTTTTGGTTTTTTTTCCTCCCCATAGGATACTTTTTAATGAGTAGCAAAATTGCCAGAAGGCAGACCGAAAGACAAAACTCCAGAGGCCTAAAATAATCACCAAACTGAATTATCAATCCAAAGTAATTGAGTCGACCGTAACTGCTTTATCCATCACCAGAAAAGAATTACTAAGAATTAAAATTTGAAAGCTATTTTGTTCTCAATCTTTTTACTTATATCTGGAAAAAATATAGATGGAGTATATGGGAAGTATTGAAGGAATGAAACATTGAAGGTGGGAAAAAGAGAGTAGAATGTTGGTTAATTGGTCTCCAAGGGACTAGGAATGCAAAGACTCCAGAAAAAAATAATGTTCTTTCTGTTTATCCGCAGACTAACTTCTTGCAGAACTTCCTGTCTCTCACATTGCCAAAAGGAGAAAATAAACATCTTAGCAATCTGACCATTCTCTGGTTGAAGTTGCTCCTGAACATATCGTATGGAGAAGATGGGCAGCAGATGATCCTGCGGCTTGATGGCGGCTTAGACTTGCTGACAGAGATGAGCAAGTTCAAGCACAAGCGCAGCCCTTGTCTGCCTCTCCTTATTTTTCATAACATTTGCTTCAGTCCTGCCAATAAGCCCAAGATCCTGGCCAGTGGTGCGTATCCACTTTATACACCTCACATAGACACACACATCCCTTTATACATATGGTGGTTCTTAGCATATTCCATTCAGATTGAAACACAAAATAGTTTTATAAATAATTTTCCAGGTGGTTATGAAACCCTCACTGTGTTCAAGGCACCGAGGGAGGCAGAGGCTGTGAGAATGAGGCAGGCATGAGTCAGGTGTGGCTCCAGGCCTTAAGGAATTACCTCGAGTCTCCGGGGTTGACAGGTCATATCGCTGGGGGACACACTGGGTACAGGAGGTAGCACAGAGGAGGAGGAGGGTGAGCAGGGGGCTCTGGCTTCATCTGTCCTCCCTTCATTCCTCTAGGCCAGGGGTCCTCAAACTTTTTAAACAGGGGGCCAGTTCACTGTCCCTCAGACTGTTGGAGGGCCGGACTATAGTTTTAAAAAAAACTATGAACAAATTCCTATGCACACTGCACATATCTTATTTTGAAGTAAAAAAAGAAACCAAAATGGGAACAAATACAATATTTGTATTTGCATGTGGCCCCGCGGGCCGTAGTTTGAGGATCCCTGCTCTAGGCTTTGAGCAAATTCTGGATGCCGGTGAAGCCAGCCCTCATGCTGCCTCCCTGCCTCCTTTCCCCGCTCACTCTTGTCTCCTTTCCTCGTTTTATTTTTCTCCGCAGCGTGACCACAGGCTGAGACACTTTGTGTTTTAGGGATATGTCTATTTATGCCACCTCTGCCCGCAGTAGAACACACACTCTTAAGAGTCGTGAGGTCATTGTCTGATTTCTTCATGTTCATGTATAGCACTTAGAATCGCGTCTGTGCTCACAGCTGTCAGTGGATATGGATGATGGAGATCCTCGGCAGGCAGGAGTGTGCAGGACCCAGGCACTGGTGAAAGTAGCCTCACAGAGACTTCCTTCTCTGAGATGTAGAGCAGGTGGAGGCGAGGACTGGGGAGCGATCAGAAAAATTTTGAAGCAGAAAGAAAAATGGCAAGATCTGTTTCTGTAACCATATGCTGTTTCTGTGAGGGCTGTGTGACTTTCATAGGGAGGGATTTTATAAGGAGACACTGTGTTATTGGGGAAAAAAGGAGAAGAGCTGTGGGTGATAGACCCTGCAACCACTCGTGATCACTCCAGCATCACTGGGCAGCTTCTCTGGCCCCATTTCCTCATCTGTACAGTGATCCCTCCTTCCTTGGTTTTCGTAGAAATTAGTTTTATAATAGCAAGTGCCTACACTGTTTATGGTTCATGGTAGATGCTCAAAATACATGAATTCTTGTTCCCTTTCATGTTTTCCACTTCATTTTTCCTTGGAGGGGTTTCTCTGTGAAACGGAGTTTTCCAAGTGAATGGAAACGATTCTGCTCACATTCTTCATGGGTGCAGCTATGATTCTGTTTTCCTTAGGATAGTTATTGAATGTGGAAATGCATGGGAAGCTTTCAAAAGTTTGGTCAGTCAGCTTTGAATTGGTTTGTAGCATTTGCTGGTTTTCATGGTGTCAATATTCTTATAGTTGATTTCAGGCTACCAACATGACATCCCTAAACTTAAAATTAACTCAGTATCACTGAGAAGAAAGGTAAATATTCAAAACCCTTCACTTCTTAATTACTTAACTATATTTTACTGTTACCTCATCTCTTGACATTATTTCCATATGAATGTGGTAATTCATTTCATACCTTACAGATAGACTTGCGAATGTTTTATGTGTTTTTAAAAAATTATAGTTGATATACAATATTAGTTTCAGGTTTATGTGTATTTTGTATGCATGTTATGTTTCACAGTAAAATGTGTGTTTGGTTTTTTTGAATATATTTTATTTTTTATGAGAGGAAGGGAGAGGGATAGAGAGTCGGACACATCAATGAGAGAGGAACATTGATTAGCTGCCTCCTGCACACCCCCCACTGGGGATGTGCCCACAACCAAGGTACATGCCCTTGACCGGAATCGAACCTGGGACCTTTCAGTCTGCAGGCCAATGCTCTGAGCCAAACCAGTTAGGGCTAAAATGTGTTTTTTAAAAAACTGATCCACTTGCATTATCACAACGGGCAGCATATTATTGACCTGTATGTGTGTGTACTTTATTGAAGCATTTTAAGAGATAGTACATGGTAAAAGGAGTAATGATAAATCTGTGTAGATCGTGAGTGTTAGTACCATGTGTAGCAACATCACTGGGTGATATCAGATGGACACACCATTCAATGATGTCCCCAAGAATATGAGCTGCCACCTGTCACCTGCCATAATGGCTGTGATGGGACAGCTATTGATACAGGCTAGTTGTGTATTGTGATAGAGGAGAAGCAGGGGACCACAGAAAGCGGGTGAGGGTAGGCAGTGGTGTGTGGACAGGAAACAGCACCCCACCCACCTCCACCCACACGCCCCACTGCTCAGAGCTCACTTTATGGAGCAGATGCTTTTTTCTTTTTTTTTCCTCTGTAAAGACTTTAAATTCCTTCAAATTCCTTTTAAGAACCCTAAATAGAATCACTGAAACAGCATCCATTTGCTTTAATTATGGAATCTTTCATCCAACTAGTATTTCTTGAGCCCCTGAAGTAGAGCGGCACTGTGGCTGGAATGTGCAGCAGTGAGCGGACCGACGCCGCTGCCAGGCCGCTCTGTAAGGAGATGCTCCTGCAGGTGGGGTGTGACCGTGCACAGCGTCCCCATAACATGTCTCAGGATTTTAAATCTCGTGCTGTAGAGGAAATGAGTCAATGTAATGACAGGTAAAAGTAAGGAATAAAGCAGCTTCATGTAATGTCTGAAACACCCTGGCATCTCCTGGCACCGACTTCTCTGCATCTTCACCTAAAACCAGTAGCTGCTGAGGATAATTTCCAAGTCTTGATTTCATGCTCTGGTTGGCTGTGCGAAAAGGGGCCTATCTTGTGAGTTGCTCTTCCTTTAAATCGCTTTTCCTCTGACACACACATCCACACAAACATTTCTCCAATGTGTCCAGTTCTTTTGTAAAAGGCTTACCTCATATGGTATTCCTTTACTATTATTTTGTAGAAGCCCGTGCTATTGATATGTTCATGTAACAGTCTTTAAAAGTTACCACAAGAGCAGACCCGTTTTCCTGTACACCAGCATGTGAGCTATAACTGAAGAGCTCATTAATATAACTCATTGTGTAATGACTTCTCCACTATTGTCTTGACATGAATGTGCCATTGTTGAATTAGGGCCGAAAACCATGAGGCCTTGGCTGCTCTGTGTCTGTTGTGAAAACTTGACAGGTTGTCCTCCCTCTGCCACATGCTATGAAGGTAGTTTTTGCCATAGTGATACCAACTTTGTGTGTATCTGATGGGAGAACAGGGCAACTGACTGGTTTAATATATACCAGATACTGTCTGGGACTGAACTTTTTTTTTAATGTCTCTCTTATTAGAAAAAGTGCTGAGTGTGCTGGCTGCCTCTCTGGAAAGTGAGAGTCCCAGTGCTCGGAGGATCGGCGCAGCCGCACTTTGGGCTCTGATTCACAATTACCAGAAGGTGAGTTCTTACAATCTTGGTCGTGAGTCGGGGGTGAACACCAACCTCTTGGGCAGCCAGGGACCTCAGAGGAGTGTCAGCTAGAGAAGACTGAGCTCGGAGCCTGTGGCCTGTGCATCCTTCGTACAATTAGTAAACCGTCACTCAGGTCTTCCTCATCTAATCATTTTAGCGGGCTTTCCCATCTCAGAAAAGTCTCTTTTTTGAGTGAATTTTCCGTTAGTATAAGTTGATTTGCTATATTGGTGCAATGTTAATCTAGATGATTTCTGCTAAAAGAAGGGTCAAGGAAAAATGCATCTTGAAATAAAACCAAATAGCAAAGCTTTATCCAGTGTGGGACCTCCCTATCTCAGGTACCTGTAGTCACTGAGTTTTGAAGGAGCTCAGTCCTCAGGCTGCAGCGCAGGTCCCGGGGGGCAGGCAGGGGGGGACTGGTGCCTGTTCTCTGAGTACAGACAGATCTCACTCCTGAGGGAAATGCCCACGTGTGTCTAGCAATTAAATAGTGGCCAGGTGACAGGGTGAGCATAGACACCCATCCCCAGGGGCTTCTCAGCTGCTGCCCCTTGTCTGCATGCTCTTCCCGCTGGGTGGTGTCCACGCACACGGACAGAGGCGGCTGCTGTCCCTCTCACCCGTGTGTCTTCTCACAGGATGTGACACTCTGTCGTCACTGTGGATATTTGTTGACTGGTAATGTGGTATGCTTGATCTGAAACCTGAGGTTTGAGGGAATGTGAAATAACTAAAACTAAGATGAAGTAGTTTAAAATAGTGCATTGAGATTAGGGAGAAGGGGAAAGGGAAGGGAAGCAAGAACAAGGGGCAGGAGAGAAGAATCGAGTTAGCGAGGGAAGGGTGTGCTGACACTGTGATGGTGTGTGCTAATATCTAATTCTGTAGCTTCGTTACTACATTTTATAATATCCTGCTTACTACTGTGGGCAGAAAGGCAGAGTGAGGATTGTATCGTGATCCCTACACATGGAAACGAGTCTAATTCATGGCTTGTTCCATGTTATTTCCAGGCAAAAACGACTTTGAAAAATTCATCAATAAAAAGAAGAGTGGATGAAGCATATTCCTTAGCAAAGAAAAGTAAGTTTCATTATGAGAGATTGCAGTTCAACTTGGAAGCTATTAAGCGAATAATGAATGAAATATTTGGGCAGTTCACAGCAAAAAAGAAGTTTTTTCTACACTGATGTTTTACAATAATGTTTGAGGAACTTTTTGGTTGATGCATTGATCAGTATGTCGGTATTTGGTCCGTGCTTTTCCTTGTAACATTTTTTTTTTGTTCTTTTTTTAAATTTTATTTTATTGCTTAAAGTATTACAAAGGGTATTACATATGTGTCCATTTTTTTTTCCCCCCCGCCCTAGACAGTCCCCTAGCCTCCCCTATCCCCCAGTGTCTTATGTCCATTGGTTATGCTTATATGCATGCATACAAGTCCTTTGGTTGATCTCTTACCACCCTACCTCCTGCCCCCCAACCCTCCCCGGCCTTCCCACTGCAGTTTGACAATCTGTTTGAGGCAGCTCTGCCTCTGTATCTATTATTGTTCAAAAGTTTATAATGGTCTCTATTATCCATGAATGAGTGAGATCATGTGGTATTTTTCCTTCATTGACTGGCTTATTTCACTTAGCATAATGCTCTCCAGTTCCATCCATGCCGTTGCAAATGGTAAGAGTTCCTTCCTTTTTAGAGCAGCATAGTATTCCATTGTGTAGATGTACCACAGTTTTCTAATCCGTTCATCTACTGATGGGCACTTAGGCTGTTTCCAGATCTTAGCTATGGTGAATTGTGCTGCTATGAACATAGAGGTGCATATATCCTTTCTGATTGGTGTTTCTGGTTTCTTGGGATATATTCCTAGAAGTGGGATCACAGGGTCAAATGGGAGTTCCATTTTCAGTTTCTTGAGGAAACTCCATACTGTCTTCCATAGTGGCTGCACCAGTCTGCATTCCCACCAGCAGTGCACAAGTGTTCCTTTTTCTCCACATCCTCTCCAGCACTTGTCGTTTGTTGATTTGTTGATGATAGCCAGTCTGACAGGTGTGAGATGGTACCTCATTGTTGTTTTGATTTGCATCTCTCGGATGATTAGTGACTTTGAGCATGTTTTCATATGTCTCTTGGCTTTCTGAATGTCCTCTTTTGAAAGGTGTCTATTTAGGTCCTTTGCCCATTTTTTGATTGGATTGTTTATCTTCCTTTTGTTAAGTTGTATGAGTTCCCTATAAATTTTGGAGATTAGGCCCTTATCAGATATGACATTGGCAAATATATTTTCCCACACAGTGGGTTTTCTCGTTGTTTTGTTGATGGTTTCTTTTGCTGTGCAGAAGCTTTTTATTTTGATGTAGTCCCATTTGTTCATTTTCTCTTTAGTTTCAAGTGCCCTAGGAGCTGTATCAGTGAAGAAATTGCTTCGGCATATGTCTGAGATTTTGTTGCCTTTGGATTCTTCTAGAATTTTTATGGTTTCCTGTCGTACATTTAAGTCCTTTATCCATTTTGAGTTTATTTTGGTGTATGGTGTAAGTTGGTGGTCTAGTTTCATTTTCTTGCATATATCCGTCCAATTTTCCCAACACCATTTATTGAAGAGACTATCTTGGCTCTATTGTATGTTCTTGCCTCCTTTATCAAATATTAATTGAGCATATTGGTTCGGGCCGATTTCTGGGCTCTCTATTCTATTCCATTGATCTATATGCCTATTCTTGTGCCAGTACCAGGCAGTTTTGAGAACAGTGGCTTTGTAATACATCTTGATATCTGGTATTGAGATCCCACCTACTTTGTTCTTTTTCAGGATTGCTGCAGCTATTCGGGGTCTTTTTTTATTCCAGATGAATTTTTGGAGAGTTCGTTCTAGATCTATGAAGTATGCCGTTGGTATTTTAATGGGAAGTGCGTTGAATTTATAGATTGCTTTGGGTAGTATGGACATTTTAATGATGTTGATTCTACCAATCCATGAACACGGTATGTTCTTCCATCTGTTTATGTCTTCCTCTATATCTTTTTTCAACGTCCTGTAGTTTTCTGAGTAGAGGTCTTTTACCTCTTTAGTTAAGTTTATTCCTAGGTAGCTTAATTTTTTTGGTGCGATGGTAAACGGGATTGTTTTTATAATCTCTCTTTCTGAAAGTTCACTATTGGTGTATAGAAATGCCTCAGATTTCTTGGGGTTAATTTTGTATCCTGCTACATTGCCAAATTCATGTAGTAAGTCTAGTAGCTTTTTGATGGAGTCTCTAGGGTTTTGTATGTATAATATCATGTCATCTGCAAATAAGGACAGTTTTACTTCCTCTTTTCCAATTTGGATGCCTTTTATTTCTTCTTCTTGCCGAATTGCAATGGCTAACACTTCCAGTACTATGTTGAACAGGAGTGGTGAGAGGGGGCATCCCTGTCTTGTTCCTGTTCTTAGGGGAAATGGTGTTAGTTGTTGTCCATTGAGTATGATGCTGGCTGTGGGCCTGTCATATATGGCTTTTATTATGTTGAGGTATGATCCTTCTACTCCCGCCTTACTGAGAGTTTTTATCAAAAATGGGTGTTGAATTTTGTCAAATTCTTTCTCTGCATCAATTGATATGACCATGTGGTTTTTTTCTTTCAATTTGTTTATGTGATGTATCACGTTTATTGATTTGCGGATATTGTACCATCCTTGCATCCCTGGGATAAATCCTACTTGGTCATGGTGTATGATCTTTCTGATGTACTGCTGGATCCGATTTGCTAAGATTTTGTTGAGGATTTTGGCATCTATGTTCATGAGGGATATTGGCCTGTAATTCTCTTTCATTGTGTTGTCTTTACCTGGTTTTGGTATTAGGGTGATGCTGGCTTCATAGAATGAGCTTGGAAGTGTTCCTTCCTCTTGGATTTTTTGTAGTAGTCTGAGGAGGATAGGTTTTAGTTCTTCCTTGAATGTTTGGTAAATCTCCCCTGTAAAGCCGTCTGGTCCTGGGCTTTTGTTTGATGGAAGCTTTTTGATGACTGCTTCAGTTTCTTCCATAGTTATTGGCCTGTTGAGATTTTTAGATTCTTCCTGATTGAGTTTTGGAATGTTGTATTTTTCTAGGAATTTGTCCATTTCCTCCAGGTTGTCTAGTTTGTTGGAGTAGAGCTGTCCATAGTATTTTTTAACAATCATTTGTATTTCTGTGGGGTCTGTTGTTATTTCGCCTCTATCGTTTCTGATTTTGTTTATTTGGGTCCTCTCTCTTTGCTTCTTGGTGAGTCTGGCTAGAGGTTTGTCCATCTTGTTTATCCTTTCAAAGAACCAGCTCTTGGTTTCATTGATTTTCTGTATTGTTTTTTTGGTCTCTATGTCATTTATTTCTGCTCTAATCTTTATTATCTCCTTCCTTCTGCTCACTCTGGGGTTTTCTTGTTGCTCTCTTTCTAATTCTTTGAGTTGTAGAGTTAGATGATTTACTACCATTTTTTCTTGTTTTTTGAGATAGGCCTGTAGAGCTATAAACTTCCCTCTCAGGACTGCTTTCATTGTGTCCCATAGGTTTTGGATTGTTGTATTTTCATTGTCATTAGTTTCCAGGATGTTTTTAATTTCTTCTTTGATCTCATTGGTAACCCAATCAATATTTAATAGCATGCTATTCAGCTTCCAGGTGTTTGAGTATTTTGGATTGTTTTTATTGTAGTTTATTTCTAATATTATGCCATCGTGGTCTGCGAAGATGCTTTTTATGATTTCAATCTTCTTGAATTTGGGAATACTTTGCTTGTGACCCAATATATGGTCTATTTTTGAATATGTCTTATGAGCATTTGAGTAGAATGTATATTCCCTGGCTTTGGGGTGAAGTGTTCTGAAGATGTCTATTAAGTCCATCTGATCTAGTGAGTCATTTAGGATTGCTGTATCTTTGCTGATTGTTTGTCTAGAGGGCTTATCCAGTGCTGTCAGTGGTGTATGCATAGTCCCCTACTATGATTGTATTGTTGTCGATCTCTCCTTTGATATCTTCCAGGAGTTTTTTTATGAATTTGGGTGCCCCTGCATTGGGTGCATATATGTTTACCAGGGTTATATCTTCTTGTTGTATTGATCCCTTTAGTATTATGAAGTGGCCTTCCTTATCTCTTGTTATGGCCTTCACTTTGAGGTCTATTTTGTCCAATATAAGTATTGCTACCCCAGCTTTCTTTTCCTTTCCATTTGCCTGAAAGATATTTTTCCATCCTTTCACTTTCAGTCTGTGTGAGTCCCTTCTAATGAGGTGGGTTTCTTGTAGACAGCAGTTGTATGGGTCATGTTTTTTTATCCATTCAGCCACTCGATGTCTTTTGTTTGGACCATTTAGTCTGTTTACGTTTAAAGTTATTATTGAAAGGTACTTGTTTGTAGCCATTTCTTTTTTTGTGTGGCTGTTTTCTTTCTGAGCTTTTTATTTCTTCTTTTTATACCAGTCCCTTTAGCATTCCTTGCATTGCTGGCTTGGTGGTGATAAACTCCCTTAGCCTTTTTTTGTCTGTGAAGCTTCTTATTTCCCCTTCAAGTCTGAATGATAGCCTTGCTGGATAGAGTATTCTTGGATTCAGTCCTTTGCTTTGCATCACTTTGTAAATTTCCGTCCATTCTTTTCTGGCCTTATGTGTTTCTGTTGAGAAATCATTTGATAATCTAATGGGAGATCCCTTGTATGTAACTTTCCGTCTCGCTCTTGCAGCCTGTAAGATTCTCTCTTTGTCCTGAACATTTGCCATGGTAATTATGATGTGTCTTGGTGTGGGTCTTTTCGGGTTCACCTTGTTTGGGACTCTCTGGGCTTGTGTGACTTTTTTCTTCCCCACCTCAGGGAAGTTTTCTGATATTATTTCTTCGAATAGGTTTTCTAATCCTTGTTCATCTTTCTGTTGTTCTGGTACCCCTATTATTCGTATGTTGTTTCGTTTCATGTTGTCCCAAAGCTCCCTTAGGCTCTCCTTCTGTCTTTTAATTTTTTTCTCCAATTGCAGTACATTTTGGGTGTGTTTTGCTTCCCTGTCTTCTAATTCACTAATTCGGTCCTCCGCTTCTCCTAGTCTACTATTGATACTTTCAATGGAGTTTTTCATTGCAGCTATATCACTCTTCATTTCTTCTTGGGTCTTACTTAAGTTGTTGATTTTTTCCTCTGTTTCTTCTAGCTTCTTCCATATGTTATTGATTTTTTCATCTGTTTCTTCTTGCTTCTTGCAGAGGTTGTCAATTTTTTCCTCCATCCGGTTTATGCACTCTAGGACCCTTATTCTGAATTCTTTTTCTGTCATGTTGCATGCCTCTGTATTACTTAGCTGCTTTTCTGGAGAGTCCTCCTTCTCTTTCCTTTGGGGGTTTCTTTGTCTACCCATGTTTCATCTCACTGACATATCTAGACGTTGAGTCGTTCAGTGGCTGCTCCCTGGGTGGCAGTGACTCCTTGGTCTGTGGTTGCTCTTTGGGCGGTTGCGGTAGCAGCTGCTCTTCAGTTGGCAGCAGCTCCTCTGGTGGGTGCTGTTCACAGCTGTGGTGGCTCTTCTGGCTGGTGGGGGGAGGTTTCACGTACAGCTGCTGTTCCTCAGCAGAGGGTGTGGTGCTCATGAGGCTGCTGTTGCTTGGATCTTTCCAGGGGAGTTCTGCCCTTCTCGGCTGCAAACCGTCTCACCAGCTGAGCAATTTCGCCAATTTGGGGTGGGTGGTATTAGTTTCAGCTGCTCACTCCATTTGCTCCGGGACACGACCTGGGACGCGTCTGCCTATATCGCCGCCATCTTCTCCTCCTGTTTTAATCTTGGAACATGAAAATGTCACGTGGATGTATTTAGACTATAAGTGGTTAATGATTGTAACATTTTTTAAATAATAAAAATAATGGTTTCTTACAACATGTCTGTGATCTTTCTCCAGGACATTTTTTCCTTGTACAAAACGTTGCCAGTGCCTACCACTATACTAAAGTGTGTTCTTAGGTGATAAGAACTGGACCCAATTAGAATTGACCTTGAACAGAAAACTGACCTGACTTCAGGAGTTGAGCTAGTCTTCCAGAAACAGACCCATTGCCCATATCCGCTGGGCCTTGTGATTGCCATGGGACAGGAGGCGGGCTTTCCTTTCAAGTGCATTTTTATTTTAAGTGATTCAAGTTTTCAATGAGTATTGTTCTTTGACTACTTTTATGGTCAGACACTGAACTGTGTCTTTCCCACGTTGTTATAGTCTGAGTTTTTATAAGTGGCTTTTAGATTTTTTTGTTTCTGGCTGTGACCGTGAGCTTCTGGAGGTCGTGGGTAACTGAATTACTGTCAGTGTTTAGTGTTAGGAGGGATGGTACATGGAAAGAACAAGGCAAGGCATTCATTTGGGCTTATGGATAATGGATCCGTTATGGAGGTGCACTGTTTTCAGTTTACATTCTTTGGTTAAACCATTAATTAAAAGTAAATAAATTCTGTAAGTTCATTTTTTTTTACAATGTGAAATATCCTAATGCCAAGTACATCAAGGAATTAAGTAGAAATCATACTTAAGTCTGTGTGTGTGTGTGTGTGTGTGTGTGTGTGTGTTCACTCTCAGGTGTAGTGCTAAGTTTATCAGCTTGTTCCTTCATACTCTTATTTTTCTCTCAGCTTTTTCAGACTCAGAAGAAAACCCCCTGAATGCCTATTATTTGAAATGTCTTGAAAACCTCCTGCAGCAGCTGACCTGTCCCTGAGGACCCAGGCGCTCTGCTCTGCAGCCATAGCCTCTGGACAGGTGGACAGCCGTGAAGCCAGCTGTATGCACAGCTATTGCCCGAGGACAGGCAAGCCCTCTGCCCGGGGTGACACCTTCTTTCCTGACCGACATTGAGTGATGCCCATCTCTGTCCCTTCACCTCCCACCAGCTCTGTAGTTAAGAGCAGCAGCCGACCAGAAGATGACGGAAAAAGCATAGAAAGTGCTGGGGACATAAAAATTTTTACCTTTTCTATGCAATTTGCTTTGTAAAAATCCTATTTAACAATTATTTAATAAAATGTTTCTAGAAACTGAAAATTGACTAATAATTGCTGCCTACAAACTCAATCAGTCTCATGAATATACATTTTAGGAATGGAAAGAAGACATTGCATTCTGATTTCCTTTATTTTTAATTTTTACATGAAATTTAGCTTTTGTCAATATAAACCCTTATCTTTCAAACCTTTATATTGTCCAGAACATTCACACTGGTGATGGAATATTTGTATGTAAGTGTGTGTAATTGTGAGTAGCTTTTTTCTGCCATGTTTAGTGATACTAATTCCTTCCCCTGTGATTTATAAATACGTTATATATATTTTTTTTACCTTTCAACGTGTGAAATACTGTGTAATCATGAAGGAAGAAATAGAGTTAATGGTCACGTAGGCCTGTGTGCAAATTCCAGCTCAGCCCAAAACACTATGAAGAGCAAGACTGAAAATCTCTCAGGAACAAGTCCTGTCAAGCACATGGTGACAGAGGTTTGTGAACTCAGGGGTTTGTGAACTCAGAACTTAAATCCATGTCAGTTCAAGTATTAATGACTTTCAGCAGGTTCTTAACACATTTGAAAGAAAGAAGAAAGAAAAATGGTGTCTAAGAAATGAAAAACAAAGCTGGTGTGTGTGTGTGTGTGTGTGTGTGTGTGTGTGTGTGTGTGTGTGTACACGTACGTACATACGTGTACCTGTATACACACAATATACACATTCATTTAGGAGAAAGTTTTCTAATTGAGTTATGGTTAACAAGAAAAAGTAATACATTTTTTCTTACTAAGTACTGTAGCAGATTGCTGTCATCAATAAAATAAGCCAGGTGATGCTATTTAAGCTGGAAGAATGAGGACAAAGTATATGTTAAATGATGAAATAGAAGCAGGTAAATTTGTAGTGTTTAAACATTATCGATTTGAGATAGGACAGATTAATTTCAGAAGTTCAGAAGTTTCTGTGCAGCACAACATAATTTGGAGCAAATTTCAACAGCTTGTAAGTGACTCCTTGGTACCAATTCTTTGAAAAGAATTCAGCTTAGTTCTTATAGAAATAATTATTTTTCATCTCATTTTTGTCATTAATATTTAACCAAGTTTTATAATTCTGGTCACGAGGCTGAGTGTCACAAATGGTTTAGGAGCTGGTACACCCCAAGTCTTGCTCCGCATGACCCTAGCCTCCTGGAATCCAGAGGGACCTCTGCTGGAGGGAGGCCCGCCTGCCCTGCTCATGGATCGGCGTCCACTATTTTCCATTCTCCATTATTGGGAGAAGGGAGAAAAGTGTTAAATCTTAGCAAATCCATCCTGCGGTGTCTAGTTAAGAAAGGTTACATCACACTGAGCTTTTAAGGTTTCTTGAAACTTAACTTGTTCTGGTTTGTCTTTGTGGTTAACCCTTGCCTGGCTCCCTATTAGGAACAAAGGTTGCAGAGGATGCATGTACTTGCTGGGACGTTACTCTTAACTCACCTTTTCCTTCTCACACCCCCCAGCTTGCTTATCCAGGCCCTTTCTCTCCTCCTCTGTGAATTAAGTGTTGAACTTTCCCCCACCCACCTTCACATTTCCATTTCTGCATATTTTCAAAGGCCAGCTTCAAATGTCACCTTTCCCAGGAGGCTGTGTCAACTTGCCCAGCTGGGAGGAAATTCTTTTTTCTTTGAGTTTCCATGGCAGTTTTAGTTTGGTTTAGGTCTTTTTTAAGTTTTTCTATCACTTACTCCTTTTCCCCTTGTATTATGCTGATTTGCATTTAGTCATTGTTCCCACCATCTGCTTGACATGACTTCTGTCATTAATATTTAACTTGTACCTCCCTGCCTCTCACAATGTTACACAAAGCAGATACTCAATTTATGTTTTTGTTAATGAATGGATGGATGAATGAATCAATATGGAAAATACCTCATTAGTAAAAGCTACAGAATTTCATAGTGTAAATTAGACTAACAGCTATGTTGACTTTGCAAAAGATACACGACCGTAAGTATTTGTTTTATGAGAATAGATTTTTGTTCTAAAAATGAAGGATGAAAGCCAAAAGCGCTGCTTAAAAACACTTTAAAATTCTTAGAATATTTTTTAGTTCAGTAGAGAAAAAAATAAGTATGATTTGAAGATGAAACAAAGATATACTAATATAAACTTTTCAAGAACCATTTCTTTCTAGGAATCTAACCTGAGATATCCTGTTTGGGAAGTAGAGTATAGGTATCAGTTTTTTGAAATTAGAACCATAAATTGTGAAAATCAGATAAGCTGCAAGTCCGGCAGTGTGGAAGAAGCCATTCCCATTAGCCATACTGTGTGAAAAGCACAAAACAACGGATAAACTGCCCGCCTCCTTCCGGCCCCTGTTTCTTGGTGCCCACATTCAGCCGCAGCAGGCACTGGAAGACTCAGACTTCAACTCCAAAACGTGACACTGCAAAGAATGAAAGGAGGTGGCTGAGGTAGAGGCCGAAAGCAAACTTAAGAATTTGATTTCATGAAAATTGGGGAAAATGCTCATTCTATTGGTGCCACTGCAGTAGGAACGAAGTCTGCCATTGTATCACTTTGCATCTTTCATACACTTTTCTTATCCAGAGCTGAAAAAACTCACTATAATGATAAAAGATTCAACTCACCAAGATGATGTGGCAATTTAAAACATAACATGCATCTAATCAAATAACCTCAAAATGTATGAAGCCAAAAGTGGCAAAACTCCAAGGATGAGCTGATAAATCTAAAATCACAGGAGTAGCTTTCAACACATACTCTTGATTTTTGATAGGTCAAGCAGGCAGTAACTAAAAAAAAAAAAAAAAAAAAAAAGATAGAAAATATGAATAACACAATAACCCTGGTCTAATGAATATATACAGAATTTTGCAAATGTGCATCAGAGAAATCACCTTTCCCCCTCAATTCACACGAAATATTTACAATTGATCCAAGTATTAGGCAGTTTAGAAAGCTCCAATACATTTCAAAGACTAGGTCCATATACACCAATAATTTGTACCACATTATAATTAAGTTAAAGTTTAATCAAAAAAAGATAGGCAAAGTATTTTTGCATATTTGGAAATTAAAAGACATCCTTCTCAAGAACTCACAAGTTAAAACAGTAACCACAGTGGAAATTTACTGAATGATAATGAAAACTCAATGCATAGAGGCCTGTGGAATGCAGCAAAAGTGAAAGTTCTTTCACAATTTTTTATCCTCAAGAGACATTTTTGCTTTAAATCTGTTTAAAAGAAGAAGGCCTCAAAATTAAGAGATAAGTGTTTATCTTAAGAAGTTAAAAAAAATGACAGAATATACCCAAATTAAGTTGAAGGGATAATAAAAAAGAGAAGTTGATGAAATGCAATCAAAGGTATTAAGATAGAAAATCAACAAAGCAAAAATTGGTTCTTTGGGGGAAAATAGCAATAGACAAATTTCTACCAAAAATGATCAACTGGAAAAGCAAAAGGACACAAACATTGTAATCAATGTGAGGAGGGCACATAAGAACAGATAAAGTGAGAGACACTGCTACAGTATTTCAGCAATGCTGTACCTGCAAATTTGAAAGCATAAATGCAGTGGGCACATTCTTGGAAAAATACCATTTACTGGAATTGGCCTCAAAAGTAATAAACTTTAGCCGAAACCGGCTTGGCTCAGTGGATAGAGCGTCGGCTTGAGGACTGAAAGGTCCCAGGTTCGATTCCGGTCAAGGGCATGTACCTGGGTTGCGGGCACATCCCCAGTGGAGGGTGTGCAGGAGGCAGCTGATCGATGTTTCTCTCTCATTGATGTTTCTAACTCTCTATCTCTCTCCCTTCATCTCTGTAAAAAATCAATAAAATATATTTAAAACAAAAAAAAAAAAACCAAAAACAAAAAGTAATAAACTTTAATAGTCCTATAGTTATTAAAGGAATTGAAGTAGTGATTATAATCTCTCCACGAAGAAAACACAAGACATGATTTTATAGGCAACTTCTAACATTCCAAGGACATTCCCAATTTTATTCAAACTCTTTGAAGTTATAGGAAAAGGAGGAAGAGTGCAATTCATTCCATGAGGCCAGTATAACTGTGACACCAAACCAAACCAAGACATTATGAGAAGGGAAAAGTGTAGGCCCATTTCTCTCATGAATAGAGGCAAAAATCCTAAACATTAACAAGCAAATGGACAATGTCTAGAAAAATTTTATATGCTTATCTTATACTAGTGGCCAGGTGCATGGAGTCATGCATATTGAAAGGAAATTAATTAGAAGAAATATTTTAATATCACTATTTGCCCTTTCTCTATAATAGATGTGTCCGAGATGAAAGAAAATCAGTAAAATGTATATGAAAATGATATATAAGTTAACAAACAATAACAACGTAATATAACAACAACAAAGACATGACATAAAAACAACAAAAACAAAAACAACGTTGATAAAAACAATGACTGATAAAGTGATTAAACTTATTCTAATATCTCCCTGTATACCACATTAAGAGTAAAAATACTTTCAGAGTGCTTGACTAATTTCCCTTGTGATGAAGCATTTACAACTTTGACTTCAATGTCACACGCTGTTCAAACTTGAGAGAAAGCAACATATAACTGACCATGTCCAAAAATGGGTTTAGGTAGGAATATTCCTACTCTGTCTAGAGTTTGTCCTTGTGATTTATTAATAGTCATTGCAAATGCTGGCACCACAGAAAACTGTCTTCAAATTAATTTAAATGGGAGGCCAGTGTCAGACAGGGACAAATCAATTCTTGGAATCAGAACAACCTCTCCTTCTGCAGATCCTGTTAGTACTTCAGCTTTAAGAAACATACGTGCACAATTGGCACCAGCAAGAACTTTATACGTATCACGTATGCACAAGTCAATGTTTATTTTTAAATTGCCAGTGCGCGTCTATATGTACAGGTCGGTTGGACGTACATATGGTCAACCATATATATATATGGCTTATATGTAGATGCAGAAATAGTACTTGACTATAATGAGTTATTTT